TCGAACCCAGGACCTATCAGTCTCGTGCCAAGCGCTTAACCAACTAAACCACTGAGCTAGCCGGCACCTAACAGTGTTAATGTCTAACTTCAACCAATCCACGAAGTCGCGCTACCGTATACCACTGTCTAGAGTGAGCTGATATCTCACAACAGACCTGATTGAACTCCACTAGTAACGGCTTCTCACTAGAACTCCAAGAGTATCTCTTGAAGTCAGTCACTAGTGAACAGTCCTTCCAGGTTTTCTATGGTGTTCTAGCTTCAACTGACTCATGATTTCAATCTTCTAAATAATTTTTTTCTTAAATTCTATTTATGATCTTACTTTTTTAAAATTTCTCTTTATTCATTATCTATTCCTTCTCATATGAATATAATGTCACTTATTATTAATAACAGATTTAATTCTGATCAATGATATTAATAATCATTACAGAAGGTGATTAATAAACAGATAATCAAATCAAATAGATATCCATTCATATAAATGTATTGAATGCCATAAAAATTCAATTCGATTTCATATACTACTTATTATCATGATTATTAGATTTTCTATATTTTACAAAAGAAAAACTATTTTTTTTTGTTTTTTTTTTTCAAATATTTTTCACACACTTGTTCATCTGGTTATTTGTTTACTTCAATAATAATAATCCTTGTTAATCTTTTCAATCCTAATGGATCTTGTAGGATAAATTTTATTTTATTTATTTATTTTTGTTGTTGTTGAAGTTTTACTCATGACGACATTTTGTATGTGTGTGTGGGGGGATTGTGGAGGTGTGTGTGCTGGGGGTGTGTGTACAAAACAAGTTACACCATCATCAATCACTTATTAGTTATGGTCATGAATATTTATGTACACACACACCCCCCACACACACACACAAGCACATTGACATACTCATAAACATACCTTGTATTGATTGATGTCAAATTTGTAAATTCTTTTCTTTTCTATTTTGTTGTTGTGAAGTTCGTTATTTCAGGGAAACGATACATTCATAAGATTCCCTTGAGATCATTAAGTTATGCATGTATAATTAGTATTTACTCAATAGTTTATTCAGAAATCTAATGTTTGTATATGAGTATGGACATTAGTTTCATCGAATACTACTCACTGTTTTCATTGCTTTTATTCGTTATCACCACCACCACCACCACTACTACTACTACCACCACCACCACCACCTGCTTAACACAGCTACTATCGGATAGAATATGAAAGAGACTCGAATTCTTTCATTCTTTTTTTGTCTTTAATAACTTTTTTTTTCTCTCTCATCAATTGTTGATTACTCTTTCGTTTTTCATAATCCTTCTATCCAACCTCTACTTGTTACTTAATGAATGTCATTAACATATTGTCTTCTATATACATCAATATGATATGAGAAAAAAAAAGAAAGAAGGCTAAATGTCTCAACCTATTCACATTAAGGTTACAAAGGAGATTTATTCGCCTTTGGGATGTTATTATTAATAATAATAATAATAATTTTTGCTCTCTCTTTCTCTCTCAGCTTTTGTCATTTATCTCTATGTAAGTAGATGTTTGTGGTGAAGTATTAAAGGCTTTAAAAAAATATCTCAACACTTAGTTAATCTGACCATCATCAACATAACTGTGATAAGCTTATTCTTTGTCTTCACACTTTACTATTCCTACTACTACTACTACTACTACTACTACTACTACTACTACTACGAATAGTATTGATGTTAACTAAAACATACTACTAATATTATTTGATAGTATATGATTATTCATAGTAAATTTTCATGATCATATCTTAATTCTTTTGAAAATAGAGACTATACTGAATGATTAAATAAAGGGAAATAGAATATACCATTTCTCAGAACTAAGTAAATATCATAGTTATTTAAGCGTATGTGCATTTATTCGTTTGTTTTAATGCATCCTCAAAAAAAGGCCACGCGCCACTTGAACTAACTAGATGATTACATTCTAGTAATAATAATAATAATAGTAGTAGTAGTAGTAGTAGCAATAAAAATAGTGACATAGGACCTAATGTTATTCTTATGGTATACTTACAAACTTTCTCTCCCTCGTTCTCCCTCACCTTCTTATATATGCATACAAATTCAGATTAGTTATTGTTATGTTATCATATGCGCTTCACTTGTGAAATCAGTCAACGATAGAAGAAATATGGTCAGAATTCCTAATGAAGATTATATCTATGTATGTATGTATGTGTGTATGTTCTCATTTTATGTGATTGTGTACAAGTGTATTTAAAAGGTGTAAAAAAAATACGCCTACCATCCAATTCATTCTTATTGTAGCCAAATCAACGGACAACTAGTTCACACACTTAAAAAAAATAAGACTTGACTACAACAATAACAACAACAGTAATAACCAATTGGTGTAGAAAAGAATAAAATAGGCAGGCAATGAAATATCTTGAAAAGAGTTAAATGGTTCATTAATCCCTTCATCACTATCATCATTTAATAATCATTATGACGTCAGTTAGAATCTTTCAACAACAACAACCACCAAAAGAAACAAGAAGTAGAGTGGATAAACTATTAAAAAAAAATAGAGAAATAATAAAGAATAAAGACAAACACAATAATGAGAAACAAGGTGAAACTAGAAGAAATAAATGAACGATAGAGAAAATGTTAGATAATATAACAACTGAAAGGTTCAGTTGAACGGAATGATACAAAAGTTATTGTGAATAATTGACAATTAACAGATTGGTTGAAGTTAGACATTAACACCGTTGAATGCCGGCTAGCTCAATGGTCTAGAAGTTAGGCATTCGTGTGTGAGACTGATAAGTCCTGCGTTTGAATCTTACGAGTTGGGATTGTGGATGTACACTGTTAAGGAGTCTCACAATAGGATGGAATGTCCTTTCAGTGCTTCCAGGTTTTCCAATAGTGGTCTAGCTTCAATTAACTCATGAATTCGACTACTAAATTATTATGATATCCACAAAACTCCTTCTGATATTATCCAACATATGCTCACTATTGACTGGCTTCAACAGATATTTCCTGGAGTTCATTGGTTACTAAAGCTAGAGCTCAAAGATGGCAGGTTCTTATTATATAACTAAACAGAGTACATGTGATCTTTTGTTACCTTACTTGAATATGACTACATATAATCATCAACTAGAACTTTAATTCAATTTCAAGTTGATTTTCTTGAAGTTTAGCTTGTTCATGAATATGTTCTAGATTACACTGACAATCATAATTCAGCAATATACCAAAATTTGTAGCTGCAAACAACATATGAGTATCAGCTTAGGATATACAATATCAACAGTATCAATTCAACTTCATTCCGAAATTTCATAGGTTGAAATCATGGGTCGATTGAAGCTAGACCACCATGGAAAACCTGGAAGCACTGGAAGGCCGTTTCGTCCTAGTATGGGACTCCTCAGCAGTGCGCATCCACGATCCCGCACCGCGCGGGATATATTAATAATGGGATAACATAAACTCTTACAAATACCTTTATACGTTTTGAATATGTGAGTGACTATCTGAACGTAGAAAATTAGTTGATAGTTTATTGATTTTTGAAGAGATAGGTATATCTCTGAACTTCAGTGTAAAAATATACCATTACATACACTTGATTATTTAGAATCAACAGGAAGCATAATTGACTGATTATAAACTAAGTTATAATCCAAGCATATACCATTCAATATGATGGAAGGATCCAAGTTAGTTATAATGTAAAGAACTAGTGGAGATTTTTGAATTTTACAGTTTACATCATGAACAGACCTTAGTTAGACAACCATCCAATACTATGAAGCATTGGATAGTTATTTCACCTTGTTAGGGGACTCCTTTGCAGGGTGCATCCATGACCTCACCGGATATCGATCCCAAGATATTCAAATCTTTTGTCGAGTACCTAACATTAAGACCAACAAGCTGGTATCTATTAGATTACGAAACATAGATAATCATTTCAACGGAGAGATGTTTGTAGGTTCGAAAAGCAAGTTGCGGATAGGTTTCAACAAACTAGAATGAGACATTTATACAGTATGTTTTAATCTTTAATTAATTATGCTAGCCAAAGTCAGTCTGTGATAAAAATGAACTTCGAATAGAACAATTTCTGCAAATGATATGGAATATTAACTAAAAATGAGCTTGGATTATTTCATATTAAAACGTGATTTACTGGTGGTTGATTGAATTAGATTAAGTGCTTGCGCACGAAACCAGTAGGTCCTGGGTTCGGATCTCGCAGGGGGTGAGGTCGTGGATGCGCACTGCTGAGGAGTCCAATGGTGGGACAAAATGGCCGTCCAGTGCTTCCAGGTTTTCCATGGTGGTCTAGCTTCAACTGACTCATGATCTTAACCATTGAAATTACTATAATATCCACAAGACCCATCTGAATTAGATTGGCTTAAGTTAAACTAAATTCATGAAAACTTGTTTTGCTATGGATATTCTCTTCTCATCGAGTGAAAGAATCTTCGTTTCATACAGAAAAAAATCTAATTTTATCATTTCTAATCAATCTTATTCACATTCCTCTAACTAAATCGTTTAAAAATTATTTACTCAGAATTGAAATTACATAAAAAAGTTAAACTACTTTTAATTTTATGAGTAGTACAAAAAACTGAATAAATACTTCTTGTGTAATTGTGAATGTTTCAGGTTTATGTTACATTTTTAAATGAAAATAAATAAGTCCTGCAAATTTTTATCATAGAATCGTCAACAGACAATTAGAATTCAAGCGAACCGAAAGGGAAAAAAATCCCACTTCACAAACTACGTAATTCAAATAAGAGAAAATCAAAATAATTTCCAGAGTAAAACAAGCAGCTCATAAATAAAATGAGGAAACAATTTTCAAATAAATTTGTAAGAAAGAAATTGAGTGAATCAAACAATGGACACAATAATTGAGTGCATAATTGAGTGCACATTTGTTTCCCTATGGTTTGAACTTCATTGATTATGAAAAGGCGTTTGACAGTGTAGATAGGAGAAAATTATGGAAACTTCTTCCACACTATGGAGTTCCTGAGAACATTGTCAACATTATTCGCAACTTATATGATGGACTACAGTGCAAAGTCGTGCATTCAGGACAACTGACAGATGCATTCCAAGTAAGGACCGGAGTCAGACAAGGCTGTCTATTCTGCCCCTTCCTCTTTCTACTAGTGGTTGACTGGATTGTGAAGACCTGGACATCTGAGGTAAAGCACGGAATACAATGGACATCTCAGAAGCAATTAGGTGATTTGGACTTCACAGATGACCTATCTTTTCTATCCCATACATATCAACAAATACAGATCAAGACAACTAGTGTAGCAGCGCCATAAGCATCAGTAGGCCTCCACACAGCTTCATTGTTATATTTTGTTCTTTAATAAGTAATGATGAATGATTGAGATACAATAAAAATCCTACATTTTCTTCTACCTATTTACATGCTTCAATAGTTACCTATGAATTAACAGAAATGATGAGGAGTATTATAAAATAGGAACACATACACTGAGTTTTAAATTGTCCAAATGAGTTTTCTGCCTTGTATAAAGAGGTTAGTTTAATGATTTTGGCAAAACTATAATTAATGGATGAACCAATCAAATTTAAGAGAACAAGTGGCGTGAAATTCAACTATCCATTTGGCTAAATATCGTTTCGGCATAATAACTGATGTCAGTTCATGATAAAAACCATAAATCTAATTCCTAACCCTAAAGTACAGATATAAATTCTATTATTGATTCCTCATATTAATTTATAATCCAGTAAGTAAGTGAATATTATCAAAGTCATTGTTCTTTTAGCAGTTTTATTGTCCGTTTATTAAGAAATAGTAAGAAGACTGGCATTTTCTTTAACACTACGTTACATTTCATTTATTTTCATCTTATCTTTATTGTTAGAGATTGTGATGAAATGTCTATTAACTTGAACATAATTACGTGTCGACTACTTACGTACTTACTTGCTTATGCCTGCTACTCCCAAGTGGAGCATACGCCCCCGACCAGCATTCTCCAATCCACTCTGTCCTGGGTCTTCATTTCTAGTTCTATCCAATTTTTGTTCATTCTTCTAATATCTGTCTCCATTTCTTGCCGTAATGTGTTCTTTGGTCTTCCTCTCCTCCTTTAGCCTTTAGGATTCCGAGTGACGGCTTGTCTTATACCAATTAAGATCTACAAAATTCCTTTGAATATTTCTATCAATAATCCAATGGGAATTTCATACTATTAATAAGATCCAATAAAGTCTGAGAGATGTATACTTAACCAATTAAGATGATAAATAAATGTATTATTATTACTATTAATGGTTTTATCCAGTATTGTATTTTTGGTATGAAATAGAATTCGCAGTACAAAGTATTTCAACAAGTTTCCATTTCCAGCTTCTTGATTGATCCCGACGACAAATATTGAAATTTTGTAATGATACTAAGCAATCGTCTTGTAAATCATCAAATCACGATTCTTGAATTGTGATTACACCATAATTACGATGTATGTTTAAACTTAGTATGAATTGAAAACAGTCCACTTAGCCAATTAAAGATCTTCAGTTAGATGTTAGCAGTTTAGAAATTGACATCTGAATAATGTTCATTGACAGCCACTACGATCTCTCTAATTATACCTTGTACATTGAACTTTTTATAAACGCACCCGAATGGGTCATGAGATTCGTAGATATAGTGATGTATCAGATGGGTTTTGTGGATATTATAGTAATTTCAATGGTTAAGATCATGAGTCAGTTGAAGCTAGACCACCATGGAAAACCTGGAAGCACTGGACGGCCATTTCGTCCCACCATTGGACTCCTCAGCAGTGCGCATCCACGACCTCGCCTCCTGCGAGATCCGAACCCAGTACCTACTGATTTTGCGTTCGAGCACTTAACCACTAGACCACTGTGACGGCATCCAGTGGTGTTAATGTCTAACTTCAACTAATCCACGGAATTGAGAGACACATCCACCATTGCATTCAATGAGTTACTATCTCACAACAGACTTAGTTGAACTCCACTGGTTACTACTTCTCACTAGAACTCCAGGATATACCTCGTGAAGCCAATCACTAGTGAGCATATATTGATTAATATCAGATGGGTTTTGTTGATATTATAGTAATTTCGATGGTTAAGATCATGAGTTAATTGAAGCTAGACCACCATTGGAAAATCTGGAAGCACTGGACGGCCGTTTTGTCCTATTGTGTTAAAACAAATGAAAAACAGATAACTTGTCGAGATATCTAGATGACAGGAATAGATAGCTCAGATATTCAAGGAAGTTACCAGTTAAACTTATGTAGCATGAAATTCTCCCTCATTAATAATGAGTTTTACATTTATCTGATCTAGATTTTATAATAAAATTATGATGAAGACTTCATTCCATACAAACTTAACTGATTAGGTGGTAAAGTGTATTAAACCTGGATTGTACATCTTAGTTATATAAATTATTGAGAACTTCTTGGATTTATTCTTTTATTAAAAAGAAACATTTTAGATGGTCGGTAGTGGTCGGCATGAAATTGAACACAGTATGGAATCCGTTAGTCTAGTGGTCATAATTCAACTTGACAGATAGAACTCAAGCATCACTAACATATTCGTCTAGAATTGGAGCCAATCTAATCATAAATCAAAGCTTTATAAAGTAGCACAAAGGTAAAATCCCAATTATTCATCAATCAGAGCCGTAATTTAATGCTTAATGTACTCGGATTTGAAGCAATAATGTGGTGAACGAAGATTTAATGCGGATAACCCACTTAATGTTTAATACAAACTTATAGAATGTGTTGCTAAATTATGAAAACTATACATTAAATACTTCATTTGCACATATTCTATCAGATGTCTTTTACATCCTTCATGATTCTTCCAATTCTCAATTCCTTTATGTTTGACTTTTTGTTTTCTTCAGTTCCATCTTCTTAACCTACTTTTGACAGACATTCAATTTCTGATTGGTGTTATATACTACTTTTATTTGTCAACATAAGTAGTATACACCACAATAGAATTTGGGTTCGAAAACCACTTTATTTACTTCACTATGATCTAAGTACATAGATATGCACTTGGTAAATAAATGAAATTAAGTATTAGATTTTGTAAACGGATTATCTGTGCGATGTAAAACAATCATACTAATCAATGTTTGTAGTTCCTTAAAACAAACTTACTTCTAGAGAATTTCTTAAAGTTCAAAAGACACTAGATCATTTCCTACTCTCTGATTTCATTTATTCTCATAGATTAACGGTTCATTAATGACCACATTTAACGGCAACATGAGAACATAAGCTGATATTTGACAGTATCCACGATTCTTTATTTAATGTTTTCAGAGTAATCAAATATCTACCCTTTAATATTATCATATTCAAGATTTCATCATGCATTTTGTCATTGTAATTATACTAAGTTGGAGATCCAATGGTGTTAATGTCTAACTTCAACGAATCCAAGAAATTCAGTGACATATCTATCATTGTCATCAGTGAGTTACTATCTCACGACAGATCCGGTTGAACTCCACTGGTCACTTCTCACCATAACTCCAGGAAATATCTTTTAAAGCCAGTTAGTAGTGAGAATACATTGATTAATATCATTAAAAGTTTTGTGAATATTATAGTAATTTCAATAGTTGAATTCATGAGTCAATTAAAACTGGACCTTCATGGAAAACCTGGAAGCATTGGATGATCGTTTCGTTCTATTGTAAGACTCCTCAACAGTGTGCATCTACGGTCTAGTTTCAATCGACTCGTGAATCTCAACGATTTAAAATTACTGTAATATCCATACAAAAAACCCTTCTGATAATGTAGTTTACTAAACTATTTGTTCATCAAAACAACCCTCCCCCCCCCAAAAAAAACTTAAAAAAAAACATGCAATAAGATACAATAAATTACATTTACATTACACAATCTATTGAATTCATAATTGTAATCATTTATTGATTAATTTGTTCCACACACACAAAAAAACGAAATTGCACTAATAATTGACCATTCCACCATTCCCCATCATCCCCTTGACATCGAAGTGCATTTATAATCGATACAGTAAAAGTCTAATTTTTTTTGTTTTTTTGTTTGATTATATCAAGTCGATAATTTGCGTAAATTAAAAACAAACAAACTCAATAGTTTTCCAATCAATAAAATTTCATTCTTTTAACTTGATAAACTTCTTAACCCCCCCCCCTTAGATAATTTAATTTCTTTCTTCATTTTTTTCTTCTTTTCATTAATATACAATTGAAGTTGTTACTTTCAATAATGTTCATATTCAATAGTTTCCATATACATTTACGATCATTCTTGTTATTGTTTGTATATTTAACTTGGATCCATTCAATTGTACAAGCAAATGATAATAAGAATGAGACAGTTACAACGACGACGACGACAACAACAACAACAACAACAACACATTCCAATTCTACTCATGAAAATATTTCAAATACATCAACTATAACAAATAGTACTTCAAGTAGACATAGTGCAATTCGAGCAGCATCATTTACAATGACTGATTCATCATATTATGATTATAAACCAAATTCAATGAATCATAATGAAGGATATAAAATAAAATCAAATGAACATTATGATAAACATAAAGTTAATTATGAACAATATTTTAAAAATTATGATCAATATTATCATCGCAAACATAAACATCATCATCATCATCATCATCATCGTCATCATCATCGTCATCATCATGATCATGATCATGGCGATCATGATCATAATGATCATGATCATGATCATTCTCATGAACATTCTTCTAAAGAAGATAATAATCCAAAGACAATATCATCTGAATGGATCTATGATAAATTAAAAGAATATTTAACTTGTATCTATGAGAAACAAATTAATTGTGAAGATCAATTTGTTACAGAATTACAATTGAAATTATTAAAAATGCAATCAAATAAACAAAAAAATGATGAACATTATGAATCAATCTCATCTGAAAATATGAAACAAATTCCAATTATATCCGTTGAAATTGATAAAACATCATTAGAAACAAAACATGAAGATGATCATCCACATCCGGAACATCAACATAAAGAAGAACATAAAGAAATTAGAAAAGATTCATCTACTATATATCAAACAAACAATAATCAATTTGAAATAAGTAAACATAAAGAAATAGAACAAACAGAGAAATTTTATTCACATGAATCTTATCAAAGTTTAGATAATGATAAATATTCAAGTTATTATCATAATGATCATCATGAACGTCATCATCCTAATCTTCGACATCATCAGAATCAGCATCAACATCCTCCTCCACTTGATCATCATCGTCATAAAGATCATCCTGATCGTGATCATCATCATCATCAGCAGCATTATCATCGTTCATCTTCATATTATAAAGATGGATGGATGGAAAAACTAGATAAAATGTTACCAAGCTTGGATGATGATGATGATGATGATGACGAGCATCGTCATAAACACAAAGATAAACATCCACATCATCATCCAATGTATCGAAAGTATTCAAATAAATATTAAGTCATTTACAATGTTTCATCATCATCTTCAACAACAACAACAACAACATCATTACCCAAAAGAACACCATTAATGTTATCAATAATTCTTTGATGAACATTTCTAACGGTGAAATATTTTACATTATTGAAATTTTTTTATTATATGGTTAGTAATAAACCTCTGAGAATACTACTACTTATACTACTCATAATCAAAATAATGATGATAATAATATATAAATATACCAGGAAATCTTTTCATTCTTCTATGTATATACACTACTCCACTTATTAAAAGGGGTCAACTAATTAAACTATTGATATTTTGCTACATATTATCCATTTAATATTTTCCTTTATAATACAACAATCAAGTACATGTCTATTATTGATTGAGAAGTAATTACTAGGATACTTTGTTTGACCTAGTTTTTCATGTTACATGTTATTTATCAGTAAAGTATATCTATAACCTAGAACGAAGTGATATGCTGGGTTAGAATTCTAAAGTATGTTATCTAGTACTGAAGTCACTAAACTATTTGGTGTACTACTGAAGAGTCCTAAAATGGGACGAAATAGTCATCCAGTGTTTCCAAGTTTTCTATGATGGTCTAATTTTAATTGACACATGATCTCAACTATTAAAATTACTATAACATACATAAAAAAACCTCTTCTGATATTTGGTATATGAATGGTCTCTTGAAAGATTAAGATGTTTACTTGAATTGATCTTTCAGAAATAAGTCATTTCATATTGTTTATTCATAAATACCAATAGGATTCTACCAATTAACCTACGATTTGAATGTTCAAAATCAAACAAGCTGCATGATGTTGACAAATCGTTTGTATTAATAGACGAATTAGGAGTTGATAGTACTAGGAACTAGACAAACATACCATTGGTTTCTCATGAAGTGATGGTTAATATTGAAAGAGCAAATATTCAATACACAACATCTCCTCTGATTGATTTCCTCAGCCATCTAGATTTCACTCGGTAAATCTAAAGTTAAGATTTGAGTCATGAAGAAAAATTAATAACTTCACAAATACAAATCGTTTTTTTTTGTTTGTATGAAAACCATTAAGCTTCGGTGAAACTATAATTTATGGACGGACCAATCGGATTTAGGATAACAGGTTTTGGATCTTGGTGCTAAATTCACTCACCCATTCACAACCAAATAGCTTCTTGGTATTTTAGCTGATGTCAGTTGGTGATGAAAACTATAAATCTAAATTCTAATCCTTACTATCAACTTTAAATCATTATTTTTATTCCTCAAACTGCTTTATAACCTTCATTTAGCTCTATATTAAGTAGGTAAACACTCTCAAGGTGACTTTGACATCGCTCAAAGATTGTCCATAAATTATAGTCTCACCAAAGCTTCTTATATCCGATTTTCAATTTCACTTACTTTATACATTAAGGTAATTTTAATAACTTCTCATATGTAATTCATTTCCTTGATATACCCATATACATATCTCTCTTACTATAAAATTATACTAGTTATCAAAAACTTATGGTTAGGTTTGCTTTTGTATTTCCTTTACGATATCTTAGTCGATTTGTAAAACTAATTTAATAATTGAACTGACCAAAATGAGAATTCTCCTCAAATAATACATCTGTAAACCACAATCTGACAGAATATAGATGATGTCATCCATAGTTACCTGACTAAGTACATAGATTAAATATAACGGAAAAAATGTTATATATATATGATATTCAACCAGAAGAGTATGACTATAAGCTACAAACCGGATTTTAAAAAATGGGTGGTTACTAACAGTAGAATCCAGGACGCGCGTTTCACCCTATTTGGGACTCGTCAGCTAGATATACTTACATCCTAGAGTTAAGGTTTACTTTAGGACTCAAACCCCGATTGGTCAGTTGCAGCCTTAAACATCAATGAGAAGATTCAAACAACAAACACATATAAATCAAATGTCAAAAATTGGCTAATGAAAGATAATAGTGAAGACTAGATAACTAACCAATAATCTTCACATAATTATCGGTCATAACAATTCTAAGTGATGAAAATACTAGAAGTTACACTTAAGTACAAAGCTTTTGATCACATTTTCACAAAGTATCTCAGTGATATTGATCTGTGTAACATTTAGTCATCAACAACAAAATCTAACGAGTCCCACAACAGAACGAAATGGCCGTTTAATATTTCCAGGTTTTTCATAGTGGTTTAGCTTTAATTGACTCATGATCTCAACTGTTGAAACAAATCTAAATGAAAAATTGATTGTATATGATATTCCTTAGTATCACTTAGTGCTTATTAGCTATTTGCATTTATTGAACTTATATTGTTTTATGAATAGTAATGGATGTTTAGAATGTATTTAAATGGTTCATGGGAAATAAATGAGAATGAATAGTTAGGTGACCAAACAATTTTGTTCAACCTTTAGTAAAAGAATACTGTTGGAATAAGACAACTAATTGATGAATATTAGGTTTATTAGGTTGGTAGAACTATTATACATACTGTTCTTTCAAATGGGAAGTGGATAGGACACGCATTGAGGAAAGCACCCAACTGCGTCACAAGACAAGCCCTCACATGGAATCCTCAAGGTTAAAGGAAAAGAGGAAGACGAAAGAACACATTACGCTGGGAAACGGAGATCGACATGAGAAAAATGAACAAGAATTGGATGGAACTAGAAAAGAAGGCCCAGGACAGAGTTGGGTTAGAGAATGCTGGTCGGCGGGCTATGCTCTATTGGGAGTAACAGGTGTAAGTAAGTCTTTCAAATGACCTTCAAAGGCTAACCAAATAGACATCAGGAGATAGAATCAATATCCAACTATCTTATTCCATACTTTTAAGCAATTAAAATTCTCCCTTATATGTAACATATCTAAGCTAATAGAATTTATCATGTGGGAAATGAATAATAACGGTTAAGGTAATCATAAAACAACAAAACCTTATTGATTTCTCTCCACAGTATATCAATCAGTTGTTCTATCCAAAGGAGTTTAGAATAACACATACAGTTTTAACACTGTAAGGTATGATGTGATAAGAGAGCTGTATGTCTCAAATTGATAATAATTGTATTGATTTATGGTTGTAAACTTGATAAGGAGTTATATGTAGGGACTATCTTTTAGAAAGCAAATGTTAGATGGTTTAGAAATAGGATGCAAATATCCAATGTACATTGTTTACATGAAGTACTTCCAGAATGAAAATGACTTCCATTGATGAAATTCATCTTTTAGATTAATAAAGTTAACATGGCCTTTGTGATGTTGTACAGAAGTGTTAAAGGGAGTATACTGAAGTTTATTGAACCCTTAGTTATACGAAAATTTAAACCCCTTTTGTTCTCACTTGAACCTACCCTGGTAATGTTAGATGATTTTCCAGCGTGATGAGTCTTCATACTGTTTTTCTTATTATTTTCTTCGTTATCTTTGTTTCCTCTTACTGTCCATTTGTCTAGTTGACCTTTTATTTTAGATATATAAATGTACTTAACAAGTATATGTGTGATCAGATTGTTAGAAATGTATTGCACTCATGCATCATGTAGTTCTGATAATCTTCGTTTTCTTATTACACTATCCAAAGTTAATTGAGTTTATCAATGTTTAAAAAATATTGTTTAAAAGAATTGGAAAGGTTATTCTACCGTTTAAGACTCCCCATTAGATTATAGTTTTCAAAGTGATGAATTTCTAATAAGCTAACTCGAAACTATTTAACTGGAGACTTTTTTGTATTACGAGTTTTCGTATAAAAGTTTCCTACTACTTAATGTTTCATAAGTAGTGTACTAGTGTTAGTAAATTAATTAGTAACAATATTAACAATCAAACGTTGACATAGTAGGTATCCGTAATTTATTCATGTTAAATACGAATTTATTATTCAGGTGTAGGTCTGTGGTGGAAACGAATGCATTTTTAATACTTACTAACCAGTACTATTATGCAAACCAATTTGTATCAAATATTTCTATGTGAACCTAGTTTAAATTGTAATCAATTTGATATTTCAAGCATTTAGTTATCTAGTAGTTGAATTCATGAGTCAATTGAAGCTAGACCACTATGGAAAACCTGAAAGCACTGGACGGCCGTTTCGTCCTAGTATGGGACTCCTCAGTCCCTAATGCGCACCTATGATCCCGCCTCGCGATATTCGAACCCAGAACCTATCAGTCTCGCGCGCGAACGCTTAATCTCTAGACCACTGAGCCGCCATCCAACGGTGTTTATGTCTAACTTCAACAAATCTCATTTATTTATCTCCAGAACACAGCCAATTTTACGCATTAAAGTGTTACAAGAGTAATGATCAAGTGGTAATCTTCACAGGACACTGTGGAATGATGAACTAATCGTGGTAAATCCACTAAGTCACTGCATTCGCCATATAACACAAGTGCCGTATAAATCCAAACATTCCTAAATCTACAGTTAGGACACTTGGGACCTGGATAAGTGTTCAAAACGACTGTGTACTCATTCAAGCTCACAAATTACGTAAACTCATAAGATACAGGGTCACAATGCATTCTAACTAGTATATCTCAACATGTACCACTAACTAGGGCATTTTCGAAGCAGTCTAAAGGCTGATCCGTAATTAATTAAATGTAACCTATCAACGGTAAAGGACAAAGCTAGATAGACATATCACTAAACAATTGTTTAATATATTCTAACTACTCCACTACAAGATAGCAACTCGTCTCATATTTCTATATTTTCTCTTCTTTTCCTAACAATTTGATCACAATTTAAAACAATCGATTTAAGCGACCATAGATTATGATGATATTTCATTCCCTTTGCAAGGCCAGAACGGTTATGTTTACAGAATACAATGAATTCTTCGTCTAGAGCCACCCCTTCTCCACAGCTAAACATGTATAATTACCTTATAATTTTCAGTAAACACTGATCTCAATTGAAAATTAGTACAGATGGACTTTGATTTAGTGGTCTGAAGGCTGATTGCTTACCGCGACCCGTGAAGACTCTGCATTAAACCAATAATGAGGTCTTGGGTGCGCACGAAACAGCCATTGAATACTCATTAATTTATACTGGTGTTCTCAATGAAAGTCAGTCTGTCACAAATATTACCTCAAATACCAATATACTGTGAAATCTCAAAAATGTATAGCCCACTAGATAACAGTAAAATTGTTCGGGATTCAAAATTATAATAAGTTTTCTGTAAAACTCATCATTTGAATGTGACCACCTTGGTCTCTTGTGCTGTTACGGGTATGAGGGCTGATGTCACTTCCCGGCTGCCCACACCGTGGAAGGGTATTTCTTGATGAACCTGAAAAGGAAATTGGATTAGTGTTGGTCTTAAAGACCTGGGAGCGTGACCGCAGAGCCCAAGGGACAACTGCTTGAGGCCGGTCGCGCACGGCCTTTTTGTGGAAGGTTTTTGACGTGTTAGCTCCGTTCTTCAAGGGGCCTTACCGCCGGAGACGGAAATCCGTGAGGTAAGGTGAGGTGTGCATTTTTAGGGTCGACCTTTTCTAACCCCACCCCTCCTTGTGGGAAGGCAGCATCGCTGTCATGCTGGTTGTCCGAGGGAAACACCTTACTGCTGTCACACCTCTCTACAGTCAGCAGTACGACTTCGCCCTCAGACCTTGAGTTGTTGCTTTTAGTCTTACCGTTCGCCAATCGACCTGCCTGACATGGTAGAACCTGCAGGAACATATGTTCCAGCCAATATAGCTCGGTTGGGTCATCACGATAGGCTAGGGGCGGCCAAACCAAAACATGGCACAAGTCCATGAAGTCACTGACAAGTGAACTGAGTCATGTTGGTAGGTGTAGACCACCTGGTTGGGGACCGCGAGATGACAGCAACCGATGGTTAGAGACCCTGAATGACATGGCTCAAAATCGTTTGCAATGGCGCAGGTGCATCCATTCTCTGTGTTCTCCCAAACTCTAATCTTCTGAATTCTTCATGTCCCTTTTTTCCTCTTTCCAAATTTCTTTCACTGGATTATACTCTTTAAATAACATCTCCAAACCCTAATCTTCCCGATTACTGGTTATACTCTTACCACCTCTATCACTACGGGATTTGAGTCGACAAGTGCATCTCTGTGCTAATGTGGTGTGGCAACTCGAACTGATGTACGTACGTACGAAGTTCTACGTTGTTACTGACTGACTGACTGAAAACTCATCATTAACATCATCTGAGCTGCAGTCAGTGGGAGGATAGACAGATACGACGAATAAGCAACGACGAGTGTCCCTATCTTTCCGAGCACATAAGCGACTGTCAACTGGGATCCAGTCGAAGAGAGCTAGTTGTGCCCTAGGACTCAATGCTATACCTACACCAGCGAGGCTACGGGAAGCAGCACCAAGGCTTCCAGATGGTTCTTTATTTTGATATGGTGAGGTCAAATGAATGATGCTACTCGAATCCTGAATGCCCGTTTCGGAGGCGCAGCATACATTGATGGCGCGAAATCCTGAAACCCTAGCTAAGGAAGCCTGCTGTCGTATTTGGCACAGTGTTCGGACGTTAAAAGCTCCCACATGTAGTTTAGAGCGTGGTTTCAGGAGACCGGGAATGGCGTTCCGCGTACTCAAATTGTTGGCATTAGCAGCGCGAGGTGATAAAGGAACGTGAGAAGAGTTAGCCGTGAAGATAAGAGATTTATTAGGTGTAGAAAGGATTTGAGTGTGATCAACTTGGTCTCGTGTGCAGTTACGGGTATGAGGGCTGATATCACTTTCCGACTGCTTACACCGTGGAAGGGTATTTCTTGATGAACCTGAAAAGGAAATTGGATTAGTGTTGGTCTTAAAGACCTGGGAGCGTGACCGCAGAGCCCAAGAGACAACTACTTGAGGCCGGTCGCACACGGCTTTTGTGGAAAGTTTCCAACGTGTTAACTCCGTTCTTCAAAAGACCGTGTTGCCGGAGACGAAAATCCATGAGGTAAGGTGAGGTGTGACATTTCTAGGGTCGACCTTTTCCAACCCCTTCCTTCTTTGTGAGAAGGCAGCATTGCTGCAAATACTGGATGCACGAGGAGAACACCATAATGCTGTCACACCTCTCTGCAATCAGCAGTACGACTTCGCCCTCAGACCTTGAGTTGTTGCTTTTAGTCTTACCGTTCTCTAATCAGCCTGCCTGGCATGGAAAATCCTACAGGAACATATGTCCCAGCCAATATAGCTCGGTTGGTTCATCACGATAAACAAGCCCGACCACCACGTCAAGGTAGCAGCAATGGTCGGGACCAACAACTTACTCATGAAATAGACCCAGAATCATTTATGGCACAAAGTTACAAATGTTATGGTTTATTAGCACACAACTATTAGCCCAGTGAATCAGAAGTCGGTAAAAGGTATTTCAAAAGCCACATGCAGATGATTAGTCGATATGTATGAATGGTTATCGCTGAGCGAAAATGAATGATGGTCGAGCTAAACCGTTAAGTGATCAAGTTTGAAAACCTTAAACCACTGAATTTTACAAAGTTAAGATGATAATTTTAGAAGCTGTGAGTAAAATGGTCATTTCGCTACACCTTTTAGATGGATACATTCTGTCGGAATGTTGTAGTATGATCTGGAAATTATTACGGGACGCTGTTGTAGCTGTACAAATTAACCTCGTAAGAGTAGAATCTACGCATCATACAGACCAGCAAAATCACCTATTCTGAATTCAACTACAAAAAAACGATCAAGAATCGGCTTGAGACGCATCCTAAAGGTTTAAATTCATCCATAAAGAAAGATGATATATGAACAAAAATGTCCTGGACTGGATTCCGTGACAATGAAGAATGTGTATATGTCTACGTATTTTGAGTTCTTAAAATCTCATTTATAGGTTAGTGATTCCAACGGTATTTTAACTCTACCCTACTGCATCACACACTATATCCACCCTAAATGACTTGTTTGGCTATTTCGGCCTTGCAAGTACGTGAAGACTTTGAGTCATTTCTCCTTCCAAAAACAAATAAGCGCGAATACCATATATAAATAAAGTAATTCCAGCATCCAATAAACCTGACAGATATGGTCCTAAGAAAGTGTAAAAGTGCTTAGGAAAAATTCTCTTCAAAACACAAATATATAAACTGTAAGTTTACATATTGAATTGAATTTTCAAACATGGACTTTATAATTAAACGAGATTTTATACGCGAGAGGCTAATTTATATGTAAAAGATGTGAAAGTCTTATCAACCAAGGTCATATTTAAAAGCACTGATCTCAAAAGACATTTTTCGATAAGCATAGGACCCAACTTCAATTATTAAAACCAAGGCCAAAAGTTATCAAAATGACTATAATTCAACTTGAAAATATCACTGAAAGTTTGAAATATCGACCGGTGACAAAATCTATATGAACAGCTTCAGTAGTAAATAATACAGTATTTACAAATAATTAACATATTGCAAGTTTGTATGACTGGAGAATTCAGTTTCTAAAACGGAACATTTTTCGCCGTTGCCTTTTGGACAATATTTTGACCTTCCCTTTTTAGGACAGTTAAAAGAGTCTGAGAACTTTCCAGGATCTGATAAATAAAACTAAAGTGATAAACAGATATTACGCACCTTCATATAAGCTGCCTCAGACTCTGCGATCGTTCTGTCATACTCATTTCGTGTGGATAGTTTTTTCTCCAACGATTCATTTACTCTGTTAAGCTTATCATTGAGAACATTTATCTCCCTTTGAAGTTTAGCGCGTTCAGTTTCATCTTGTTGAATCTGTCGCTGTAAATCTTCTCGTCTCTTACAAAGCTCTTCAAAGCCTTAAATTTCAATAAGTAAGCAAAAATGCCATACATTTAACAAGTTCATTATTATAGTTCTGAAGTGCAGCTCCTTGGTGAGACATGAGATTGGAATGTTCTTCAGTTAGTACGTTAAAGTCTAAGATCCAAGAAAGTTTCTACTTGCAGTGCTCTAAAGACTGGGCACAGTAGTCTGAAATAAAAATAGAGGAAAACGTAGACCAGTTTGGTGGGGATAACGAATGGATAATACGTAACAGTACACAAATGTAAATTGGAGGTAGTCCATCAAAGTAAGGAATACTAGAAATCTCAATGAATATCACAAATACTTCTCACATTTATAGACAAGAACGACCGTGGAGATTATTAGTGTACACAAATGGATTCAGGGGAATCTATTGAAATGAAAGGACAGAATGTCGAACTTGCAGACGGGCGGAGAGCAGTAGAGCGAACCGTGCGCTTTCATTGTCATGACACTAACAAACACATTCAAGGTATTCAAATAGATCAACTGGTTCTCGAGAAAAGCAAGAGCTCAATGAAAAAAGTTTTTCGTTTAGGTCTTTTACGCCCAGCATTTTCGCCAAAAAGTAGGTGCAAAGTTTCAAAAAGGATTCAGATAGTATGCTGAAAGATGAAGGCAAACGTTTAAATACAGACTAATTTCTGTGTTTTCAGAGATTATGAGGATCATGGAAATGGTTATGAATAATTCTTCTCGATTCTAATGACTCGAATGCTCTATTCTATATAACTGTGAACATGGATTTCCCCCAGGTGGATCATATAATTCAAGCCTGTTGACCACCTGGAATATTTGAACACTTAGTGGAACATAATTGTACCATGCATATGACCCAACAGTATTTTAATTTGGCAGTTGACAGAGTTGGCCACCAAATCACCAGCACAAGTATGAGATCGCTAAGCACTAGTGTGTGTTTGATTTAGTGGTTACAAGTTTGTTTGATGGGAAGATTCGAGAATTTTAAGACGGAAGCTTCCATCCCTAAGTTCGTGAAAATACAAACTATACTGGGAGTTTACCCCTTAGACCCCCGGAAGGTATGACGAAAAAGCTAAATTCTTCTCCCAAGATCCTGATACTAATGACCAGTTTAGAATTATCATCCGATAAGAAGAGAATAGGAACGTTGAAGTCACTCGAAAATCGTCAAAAGAAAGTCCTCTGCCAGGAATATGTTCAGCAACCGGAGTTTAAATAATCCTTACTCTGCATAACCTCCCTGAAACCATGGATTTTTCAACTGTTACCCTTTTGCATTACTGTTTAGGTAGCGAGTGAGGTAAAGACAGTCATTGAATATTGCAGTGAAACCGTGAATCGTGTTGAAAGGAATGTCTTTAAGTAATATGCCAGCAATGTTTATATACATAGTCTAAGTTGCTACGCTCATACTCAAATCACCAGAACGTAATTCCTTTCGAGACGTGAAACTATACGAAGATGCGATGGTGACAACTATCGTGCCAGGTGATTCAAGAGTTGCCTGGAGTAGCCTTAGTAATCTTGATGAGGCAAGGAGTTGAATGACACGATTGACGAGTGCACTGGCTGGGGTAAGTCTTTCTGAAACGCACCGTTACTGTTCAAGAAGTAATAACATTCATCTATTCATCTGTGGCCTAGAGACTTTGTCAATGGTCTTCTAACGATTATTTGGTTTAAATATTCTCCGTAATACATAATTCTGTTAAATGCCTACTAAAGGTTGTTGGGACAGAATGAACAATTAAACTAGACATAGTACAACTGTTTACTAAGGCAAAATAATTGGCAGTCAACTTCGAATAAATGTTTCAAATCCGGACATACAAACGATACCACCAACAATTAGCTTAACCGAAAATGTATTGAATGACAAACACATGTACAGTCATTTGGTTTCGTTGTGTATTGCTCCGTACAACTTCCGACAAAATATTACTCGGCTATGTTGTAGTTATGATGGATGAAGTAGCTTAACTTGATGGAGCAAACTGGGTCCAATACTATGTATGTAATTTCATTGTTGTCCAACCACACATTCACCAAAGCCGAAGATGCCAAAACTGAGAAGATCCGCATTAAACAGATAAAATTATAGAGATAGTTTGAAATGGTGAACATGGAAACAATTGATCGGTTTGGTATGGCTCTGCTAGGCCAATAAGATAGAACTTCCTCAGTAATTATTGAACTAGGACGTTCAATTTCTTGGTTTACCAAACTATTTAGCTGGTGAATTTTAATGGATTTATACTCCCTGTAAAATGTTTCATTTTCGTTCCGTAATGGTTTTACTTTTGGAAACGCAAATCGATTAAAACATACGAAAATAGCTTCAGTGGGGTTACAAACACCAAAGCAGAATTTAACACAAAAAACGACATCAACAGTGTTTTCCAATGAGTCATCTGCAAACTAATCCCAGCTTGTCATATGAAGCATGTTTTTGAGATGTTGGATATTTTCTTCTGATAAATTTGTGTATTTAACTTTCTTTTCCTGACACAATAATATGCCCTTTGCAAGCCTGCTATGTAGTCTGGGTAGAACACTGATAATGCAGTGAACAGAACAAAACGAAGTGCGTTTATAAGTCATATATTTTCCAACACCACTATTTAATGAAAACTAATTCTAAATGGACATCCGAACGAGTGGGAAAATCGACTGAATTTTAGTGATACAGTGATGAAAGAAAGCTACTATCACTTAAATTAAATTCCCCATATCTAAATGAAAGAAAAACTTTGAAAGTAGTAACAGAAAAATCGGTGAATTTTTCGTGCCGGTATGTACCACCTGTTCTATTCATATGAATAACCAGACTAGTGAATAGGCCTTTACTTAAATCGTGATACAGGATAAAATGCAGCGCCAGGTTACCCGTTTTAGACACACAGTTTTCCAACAAACAATACGACATAATAGGAAATATAATCTCCATACAAGGTAAGGCTTTAAATGAATACTGGCTCTCTATTGATTCGACATATACTTAGATGTTTGAGGTCAATTCTTAACATATCAACCTAATTTGTTACAAATTCACCAACGGAAACAAACAGCGCAAATGAAATAAAGCCGTGAGTCACGTAAATGTATGTAACAAACAAAATTGCATATGTTCCGGCGTTTTGGACGAAATCATAAGTTTAAACTGTCAACAATTTATTCTGAAAACTAGCAAAGTTAGGTGGACAGAATTTCAAGTTTACAAATGTACAGAACAACGGTCTATTTCGGAAATCAGTGCTACACTAATAATAGACCTAATCGTAAATTGTGGATTCGTAATGATGTGAAAACCTAATCTATACGACCTTACGTGTAGGCCACGTCATTATCTATTCCGACTCGTCGTACCGTAACAATCAGCGATATAACGTTTGACGTTTCTGAAGAACACATTTACGCTGTAGATAGAACAATATATTTGATATGAATAAAAGAGACAGGCTACACAAGAGCCAACACGCCTGTAAGGCTGAGCCATACCAAACGATTGAACTGAATGAATGTTGCTGCGTCCTCTATTGTTAACCTTCTCCTCGAGTTAATTGTTTAGTATAAATGATTCTGGTAATGATATACTCGGCTTCAAATGTAGTGTGGTTAGGGTCCAATGACACTACAAATATAGTTACACCGCCTCACACTTTCTCAGTGGTGCTATTTCTCAGTTTTTCCAATCACAAGATATTTTAAACATATTTCTATAATAACCCTTATAGCGCTTTAAACTAGGCAGCAACTGAATTATGTGACGCATATCTTAATCGCCTCAGCTCATATTCATAAATCACGATTACAAAAGTGATATACTTTCGAGTTCTGGTCATTAACTATACTGTTACCAGAGATTTTCAACAAATGTTTTGTAACTATATCGGTTTTGGTAATAAAGTGCAAAAAAATTAGTTAGACTTTGAAAAAATGTATAAGACTTTTTATTTCGACGGTAGCACTACTCTTTAGTCTTTTAGTAGCTTGCCTGATAAGCCGTGTAATAATGGGTTAAGTTTCCTTTTTATTCAGGTTAGCGCTGACAACATTAGAACTTATAATTTACAGAATGTATCAACCTGTGTTCAACACTATCGTAGATTTTTGAAATTTCTGTGAAAGGACATATTCAACACATGTTTCATACTCCTTAATGTATTCCATTGTATAGGAACGTTTTTTTCACTGAAGAATGAAAGGTAGAAAAATTAACTGACTTACGCCCTTAACCGAAGACTGACGACAAAAATTCGGCGCACAGTTTATGCTTTCAAGGTCAGACCAAGGTTGTTGTGAAATCTTGATAACTACGATGAAGGTTATTGGCAGGGAGCTGAATAAAAACTCATCTGGATATATTACGCTTATTGCAGAAAATGAGGAGGACATGTGGTTAACGTACAACTTAGTCCAGGTTGGAGATAAAATGAGATGTTCTACGGTCAGAAAGGTCCAGAATGAATCTGCAACCGGTAGTGTGCAGACGAAGCAAGTGAGAACCAACCTAACAATAGAAGTAGAAAAAATTGACTTCGACTTGCAGGTGAGCATCAAGAGTGTTCCTCATCATTGTTCATCGAATTTCGACTCATTATATTAATCAGTGAAGTCTAAAATTCAGATTTTCGAAATGTGAACTTCAAGGGTTTTTTAACGGTGTGTAAACCTATGAGTGACAGGTATTGAAGAATATTATTGGATTGGGGTTGATATGCTTGACTGGGAGCTTAAACAATGAAGTTGTCGTGAAACCTTGTTTTTCCTTTGGCTCAGCTAACACTAGGTGTTCAATTCATTCTTCATAGTTTTTAGTAACAATGTTCACAGCAAAATCTTGAAATAAATGAGGTATACGGTTTTGTTGTCAGACCAACGGAAGTCTTTGAAATGGTTAGAACATTGCGAAGTAAATTTGTTTGACGTAATTTCCAAAATGTATGGTGCTTAACAACGAATAAGTTATTAGGATCGAAACGGCGTTTCAGCGTTGTATGACAAAAAGTGTTACTATTTGAACTTATCGGAATAGTCAATTAGCTGATGACAGAATAATTCAGAAGATTCTGAATTATCCGTGTTAAAACCCTCGTCCCGCTTTACACATCGATCAGGGCTTCGCTTTCATTGCCGAGTTTATGACGGCCAATAAATACATAATATTCGTTGGTCCTAGATATTTGATCATTGTTATATTTAAGACATTGCTTTCATAAAGTGGGACCACTTAGTAATCATTAATAATGTAGTGGTTAGTAAACTTGGTAAATATGGGTAGAATACTCGAATCTCATGGAATTAGTTGACAGTCCGTTCCAAAAAGTGTAAGGTTTACATTTTGCAACCAAAATGCTCATTCGCTCTATAAAACTAACAAAACGTCTTGCGTTCACATCCTAAGCGTATCTCCTGATTGCGTTAGGTCATTTTGATGTTTGTCTTTTATCGCCTACATTATATTGGCAATTTATATTGAAAGTATTTTTTCTTAAATAGGGTTCAGTACTTCACTTGAAAGGCCGCAATGTGGTAGAAAATCAGTTTGTCAAAATGGGCGCCTACCACACATTAGACCTTAGAATCGATGAAAAGTTTACTATCACTAAAACAGAATGGGATAGTGTTGCAATTATGCTTGTCGAACAGGCATCTGACCCAACACAACAAGCTGATCTTGCTGCAGTTATCATGCATGAAGGCCTGGCTTATGTTTGTTTGATAACAAGTACAACAACTATTGTTCGTGCGAAGATTGATACTACAATTCCACGCAAACGTCCAGGTTTACCTACTGCTCAGCACGAAAAGGGTCTGTCACGCTTTTTTGAACAAATAATGCAAGCACTAGAGCGTCACATTCGTTTCGACAGTAAGCTTCTGCATCACATTACATTTACTTTTGTGTTATATACCTTTTTGCCTTCTGTTCAAGGATTTCGAAACCATATTGCTTATTGCCTCAGTTATAAATATTAGTGGAATGATTTCGTAGTGGCTGAATCAGTTAAAGCGTAAACATTGGCTTCTTTACTGGAACCCGGCCACATCAACTTCGATCCAAGCACCTAAGCACTATTATTAACTCTTACATAGGAAATGTAGCTCAAAGCTTGATACACTAAGACCGATACTTCGTGAATGAGTTATGTGAATTTATTAAATCCTTTGATATTATAACTTTCCTATTTGAACTACAGCTACTCCCCTCCTACAGAATATATACACAAAACTTATCACTAGATGTTAACTTAGGTAATATTCTAATCCTCATCAATAATCCTATCCCTTCAATATGAAGAATCATAAATGGTTAATTAATTTAATACTTAGTAGTGTGTTTTATTTTAGATTAGTGTTATTTCAAAGCGATCGAATGGTTGTTGTATAATTCATCCCAAATTTTAAATAGATTTAGTTTCAAAAGGATATAAAGAAAAGAATAACATTTGTGTTTCTAACTAATGCCGTCACTTTTTTTCTCTTCGCTTTTTCAAACTATCATTTAATGAGTTAATACTGAATAAATTCAGTCAGCTAATCAATCTTAGTTTGTGTAGGTCTTAGGATAAATTAATAGAGTAAAAAGCAAAAAGAAAGAGGGAGAATATTCATTATCATAGAAATATGGAAACATGAAAGATACTGTTGTGAAAGGAATATATAGGATCAAAGAATGGAAATTGGGTGATGATAATTAAGTCAGGATTTAGAGGAAATGGAGAATTAATTTTACTGCATTGTTGCTGTCTGTTTTAATGTAACCTAACATTCGAAACTATCGACTACAACTTCCGTACAATTCCTGACTAGGACGTCTGCACTCATAGTTGTGACTTAAACTTTAAGTCAATGAATTCATGAATTAGTATCAGATATTGATACTGGGATAATACAAATATATAAAATAAAACAAAACTACGTAGAATATGTACTAGGTGCTCTGCACCTTCTTACACGAATAACAGCCAATAATTTCATGGATTGGTGCTATTACTTAGTTTTTCCAATCACAAGGTTTTTTAAACATACTTCTATAATAACCCTTATAGCGCTTTAAACTAGGCAGCAACTGAATATATGTGACGCATATCTTAATCGCCTCAGCGCATAAATCCTCGTAATCCCATCAACCAATTCATCACTTACTTGTAGTTCTGCATACAACATCAACATTGCCTATTTGGTGAATTCAACATGCATAAACAAGACTTTGAGGGCGCATGTAACCAAGTACTTACAGTTTAGGTATGTCTTCCACATTCTAGCACATCCACGACAAGTGTAATATAAAAAAAGCGAACTGTCGTTCAGCACTTTTGCTTAAGATCATTGATGACTTCACTTACATCAGAATTCTCATCAATTCTCGTGGATAAGAATCTGATGGTATCTCGACACATATTTAGAAATGTCTGTTGGCTTTTGCCAGCGTGCGTCATTTGTGGCGTTCCACTTTACAGGTGTGAAATGTGACCATTAAAAGTAGGGGATGTTCTTAGGTTACTAAGATGCAGTCATAAGTGTCTTTGAAAAAATATTCACCTGTTTGAACTGTCGAGTGAGGAATATTGAGGTTAGGCATGGGTCACTAGTTAAAAATGATAAACCGGCTGGTAAGGTAGTAAATCCATACCTACTGATTCGATTGGGATATGCAATGATAAATATCCACAGCCACCGCCTTCCTCAACCTGTGATTTTGCCTGGTATAAGATTCAGGTGAAACAAAGCTATGAACAACCAAACCAAGACGTGGCATCAGCCTATGAAATTTTTGGACTGAGTTTTAGTGATAAGTAGAGATTACCTGGTTGGGGTGCGCATAATTATCAAAATTAGTGATTGAAGATGTTGGGTAACATGACTCTGAATCGTTCGTAACGGCGCAGATACATGCACTCTTTGTCCACCTTTAGATGTGGAGTCAGAAAAGTCTATACTTTCTTCTATTCTTTCTATAGTTAGTCTTTTCTGCCACCGATACTACTATTGACAATTACTACTTCTACTCTTCGACAATTTCATCTGGTTGTGTTAATGTGAATCGATAAATATATTTGCCAATTTCTATGTTGCATATAACTGAATGACTGAATCCCTACACTACAGGTAAAGTAATTCGATTTGAAATGGTTTGGATTATCGTGTTATTGATATTTTTGGCTGAAATTTGATCAGTTTTAGTTGTTATGTGGACATTCTGTGCAGATTGCCTCGATATAGCCATTATGACAGGTTGATACAGAACAGATGAAATGTAGCTAGCAGATGAGTCAAGGGCGCTCATCCCGTTTTATTTGGGACTTATCAGCTGGGTGTCCTGGATTCCAACGTTAGCCGCATTCCATCTATTCTATATCACCAGGTAAAGTTACCAAAGATCAAATGGCCATTTTGCAACTCTGCTGATATACTTGGAAACTTTGTAATGCTAAGTCCCTAGATAAAACTGCGCACCTGAAGTAGAGTTCAAGCTTTCTTACTTACTGACTGTATCCAATCACATACTTCTATCCTACTATGTTTGTTTTTTATTATTACACAAAAGCCATAGTACAATCGAACATCATAAAATCCCCCACACCAAACAACAGGTTAATATTTTGTAAATATAACAGAGTAAAACTGATAAAATCAGTAAAAAATTTTAAGAAACTAAGAATACCGTGTGTTAAAATACACAGTTCAAGTGAAACTTTAATCAAAACATATATGATTCAGTATAAAGTATGTATGAGCCACTAGAATGATATGTCTTTGAAGTTGGCGGAACCATTAATTTATCGCTAAAGTCTCTTTCTTTAAAATTACAGTCCTTATCTACAAAAATCTTGGTACCAAACCAGATATTCTGATCAAATTATTTGCACCTAAATCCTTTGATGCTTCTCAAACAAAACCCTTAATTTCATTTTTTTTGTCAAATTTAATTTAGTCGTCAAGTGTATCATATTAGCCAGTCCTGGATTTCTACGTGAACAATTTTTTGAATTTATGATCCAGACAGCAACAAGACAAGAGAAACGTGTATTCTTAGAAAATAAATCAAAATTTATGCTTGTTCATTCTTCATCCGGTCATAAACATGCATTGAAAGAAGTACTCACAGATAGTGTTGTTATGAGTAAACTAGTTAATACAAAAGCAACATCTGAAGTTACGGCATTAAATGACTTTTATCAAATGCTTAAAACAGATCAATCACGTGCATTCTATGGGTATGCTGTATTGTATAAACATTTTCTAAACTTCATTTATAAATTAGTGATAATACAACATTCCCTTTTATTTGTAGTATATAATGATCAGCCAGTCAGTCGATTGTAGATAACATAAGACAACCCCAGTATAAATATGTCCTTTACCTCGTATTACCACATTTGGAAGTGTTTTTTTAGATATCAGAAAGATTCTGACATGTATACACTTTAAATTTCTCATAGTAATTGAGTTGTTGTGTTCACTAATCTTCCTGTTAGGAATCATTAGTGTGTTTATATTTTGTAGAACATAGTCGTATGATTTATGTATAAGGAAGAGAATTTTAAGGCAACTTTTAAAGTCTTCACAACCAGTTTAGTTTCATAAATTGTTTTGTCACAGGAAGATCATTTGTCTTCTTGAAAATGCACAGTTGTGATATTATTGATTAAAGCACTTGATTTCTGTAGGTCTCAAGTTTGAACTTCACTTTATAATACCTTGATTTATACAGCTGAGTAATATTACTAGCATTCATATAAGTAAAATTTAACTAGACTCTGAGTAAATAAACCTGTCCTTGGTAAGTAAATTATATCAATGCTAGTTGACATCCCGCTTATATTTTGTCGGACATCTATTTCATGTTAATATCATAAAGAATTTCCCTTGCACTTGAAATGCGTACATCGATATTCCATTGTAGATGTGAATTGTACATGGTTATATGGACCAATTACTTACTTACGCCTGTTACTCCTCGTGAAGGAGCATATGCCGCCTATCAGCACTCTCCATCCAACCATGTCCTGGGAAATATATGAACTAGTACTTATCTTGAACTAATAAAGGTCAATAAAGTCACAAATTGAGAAAGTTACTGTCTGTAATTTTATCTCAATATCTAAAATTATTAGCACACCTATATCTCTGTAAACAACTTCAACACCGTGAAAAGCAACCTACAGTCATTGTTATTTAGTAATTCTCTGGTTAGATGTGACATTGCATTGTCAAAAGGGTGAAATCAAGTCTGCGAAAACCGATTAGTATGATATTGCAAATATGAGTTCATATAGCAAGTTATTGACCGAATGGTGTGTAATACTCAGTCAAATTACATTAATCTGAATTAATCCGGCCGAAATAAACCATACGGAATGTATTGTATACATATGCCACTTTGGTTTATTTCTGAGGTCGAATAAATCCTTAGCACCAGTCTTTGTTTTTCACTAAACGTTATAGGATTTGGGATGTCAGTGTATCAAGCCTAAGCCAGTTGAACACTCTGAGAGTATGACAGTCCTGAATATAACAAAAGGGATTCAGTTATGCTCTAGTCATGTTAAAACTTGACAGTATTATCCATCAAAATAGGGTCAATAACATTATCAAGATAATCATGCAAAAATGCCCATTTCATAACAAATTCATATTACTTCAGTCAGTAAGTCAAGTATTTGAGACTAACAAAACAGAGTCTGACTACTTCAATGATCGTATAATTATTTCCATTGTCATAAACTGTCATCAGTTAGTAAATCATTCAAAATCACTGACCATATAAAATATGTTTCATCCTAGTGTAGAGCTACTCAGTAATGCACATCTATACAGGATTTAGTCACAGTGTGATGTGTGCTATTGATGTCGACAAATATAAGTAGTATATATCATCAACTGAAAGTAAAATGCCTGAAGGCAGAAGGTTAAAAAGATCAAAAAAAGAGAACATGAACAGAGAATAACTGGTGTGGAAAAGAAGGGACAACAAAGTCTGAGACAATTGGTGGATATTCTGCAAAGGAAGTATTTACTGTATGGTTCTTAGATTTTACTAAGAAATTTTGTAACTCTAGACTGCTCGCACGTGTTTTACACGTCATTGGTCCGATCAATAAGTCACTGCCCTCTAATCGGCGGTCACAAGTTATAACAGTTGGATAAACAATATTCGTAGTAGTAACTATCTTACATTTGTTTTTCTCAGTTAATTCATTCAATCTTTTTTATTCATTTTACTTATAAATTCAAACGTAAATGCAGTTACAAACATGTTAAGACGGCTGCTGATGCATGCGCTATTGATACACTACTGATAACTGATGCATTATTCCGTTCACGTAATTTAGAAGAAAGAAAACAATATGTGGAGTTAGTTGACCAAGTTAAAGATAATCAAGGCATTGTACGCATATTTTCAAGCCTACATGTTTCTGGTGAACGTAAGTTTCTTTTTTTATTGTTACATACTCTTACCTAATATAATAATAGTAATAATTTTTGTGTACTGTTCATACTTACTTACTTACTTACGCCTGTTACTCCTCGTGAAGGAGCATAGGCCGCTCACCAGCATTCTCCATCCAACCCTGTCCTGGGCAATCCTTTCCAGCTCCTTACAGTTCTTATTCATCCTTTTCATATCTGCTTCTATTATCCGACGTAATGTGTTCTTTGGCCTTCCTCTTTTCCGCTTCCCTTCAGGATTCCAAGTTAGGGCTTGTCTCGTGATACAGTTTGACGATTTGCGTAATGTATGTCCTATCCATTTCCATCGTCTTCTCCTAATTTCCTCTTCAGCTGGAAGTTGGTTTGTTCTCTCCCACAGAAGGCTATTGCTGATGGTATCTGGCCAATGGATGTTGAGTATCTTGCGTAGACAGCTATTTATAAATACTTGTGTACTGTTCATGCGAGAGCTAAACTGTGTTTGTAGTTGATCATGCATAAAATATCCCAACCACCTCACCTGATGAAGTTCTGAACCGTCACCAACATATTCACTGCTACCTATGTTGTAATCCTCCTTCAATCCTAATATTACTCATTCCGTAACTTCACCGTATGCAGACAATGCTTGGAAAACGTCTATGATCTAATAATAGCAAGCTACGACATGCTTTCTACCTTTAAAGATCACTTCTGACAATCGTGAGATAATACACAACAATCTTCTCTGCAGTATACTTACGTTTAATAGGAAAACGGGTATATCGTCTATATCAACCTTCCTGGTGTTTATAACAATGCAAATATATCCAAGCAAAACTATTAATGAAACGCTTATTCTGAACCCATCTATAAAAACGCCGGGACATTCTCTCTTAAGTGACAATAGCTGTTTCTGTCCAATTGTTATCAATTTCCGTATATCAAATATTAAGTTTAATAATTAAACCACTTCTCACCATTAATTGACGTCATAACCGTTTTGTTTTATTTTTTGATGATATAAAAATTTGTAGAGCTTAACCAACTATCAGGTGTAGCCGCAATATTGCGCTTCCCAATACCTGAACCTGTGACAGATGACGAGTCGAATAGTTCCGAAGATGACGATAATTAACTAATTAGTTCTTCTACTTAACTTTGTACTCAATGAATTTTTTTTCCATAAGTAAACATGTATATTGTGGTTTGTGTCTTTCTATCAATATTATTATTGTGATTTTCATTTCCACTTGCCTCCTTTTTGACGTCCTCATTCTTTGAGTTCGTTGTTAGTATTATTATTTATCTTCTTCACTCTTTAATTGTCCTTTATGCTGCCTTTACATTGTTGCTGTGCTTATATAATACCGTGCAACTTAAAATCAGTATCCATTTGTGCCAAATCCCAAGTTCTGTACTTTCATTTGTCTCTCCTGTACAAAATTATATTGAAGTGTTTGCTGTTTTTATGGTATCTTACTTAAATTTAAAAATGATTTCGTATTATATCTTCGGGGATAATCTTGACATACGCAGGTGAATTCGCTAGTCGGGCTTACCATTCCGGATAGGAAGAAATAAAATTATGAAATTTACGTCCTAACCTCCTCTGAATGACAGTCGTTCTCCTTGTTTGAAAATAAACCAGGTCTTCCAAGTCTTATTGTGCCAAACTAGCCATCATTTCAGCAAATAAAACGTAGGACTTTGTAAAAAATGTGTGTCGGTCCAAGTTACCACACTACCAGTTGTAAAGTCACCAGGTCTAGTAAAAGTTCTAAGATCCATTAATGTTTCTAGCTATCTCTGACCATCTTGTTGATTTTGGACAGTGATGAGGTAGCGAAAATTCCCATCTGGATGGCGAAAAAGCATCAGAATCAGAGGTTCCTCTTGACTATTTCTAAACACCTGAAACCCCAAATATTCATGTACTATTACTCAAGTGTTTATAAAACCTTAATTTGCCAGCCTTTTCGCCAAAAGATTACTGTCTATTATGAGTGAATTCCAATAAGAGATCAAATACTCAGTTGGGAGAAAAACGTGTTACCTTTAGAAGTATGTCCATGACAATATTTTCTACAAAGAAGGGAAAGTTAATACCCGGCAATGTAATCGATTCAAATATTAGTTGAGTACAAAATCTGATCGGACTACAATTGTCCAAATAAATAGCCTTCAGCAGAAATGATGTGTGTGACTGGTATCTCTTTCAATGTCTCGCGATCAATGAATTTGAACGACTCCGGATACATGAATATAATTACAGTCGAGCGGGAACTGGTCTATCTAGGGATCTGATACAGTATAACGTTTTAATCAATGCACCTATAATCATGGTTATGTGTTTAGCCTTATTGGGTCAACTGTTTCTGCATCCTAGTCAAGCGCCAGATGATTACGAAATCTAGCACCTCAACGTCTACATCAGTCGGGCTTACTCCTGTGTGGCGATATTTATTTAAACGCATAAACGTTGGTACAAGGGATCATCAGATATATATGCGCCACACTGTCATTCGATTTGTGCATTAATGATAACCAGAAATTTATATTTGCCTGACTACAACTTTCCTACGTGTCTCAGTATTGAGACCTTTCGTAATGTTTCAGCTCTTAGTCTGAGAGTGAGGTCAACACACAGATGGAGACCAAACGCATTTGTACACTGGTCAATGTCACTGAAATTCAAAACCAATCATCTATTTATTATGTATTTGTCCATTTAAACACAATTTACATCAACAGATGTTTTCTTAATGAGTTCCTCTTGGTAGACTAGAATATTATACATACTGAAGTCCTTCTATGATCCATTATTCAAAATATATTTGAGATTAAGCAAAATAGGTCAATATATTTAGATTATGTTTAATATACATGAACCATGCCATAAATAAAAGTCCAAAATAAAATATAAGTAGTTAGTTCTCCGAAAACCCCTCCATACGTTAAACACGAACGCTGAATAAAGTATTTGTTCCATGATTTTCCTGCCTTTTGTAACAGTAACAATGATAGGAAACCATGCGCCAGAAAATAAAACATAAATCCCATGATTCCTGCAGATTGCATTAAGGTATTAATAATAATCTTACCTGTCAAACCTAATATCCCGACTGTACATCCAGAAAGTGCCGCGATAGATATGCGACAGTAGTTAATCAAAGCAAGGTTATGTTGTGCAGCAGCGGGACTGTATGTAATTAAATCTACCGGAGATCCCATTTAGTAGCTTTTTCCTATTTAGCTGTAGAAGTATTTCTTGAGGACACTCGGTATATAACTGGTTTAGTTTGCTTCCACTCCCAGTTTACTTCATATAGAAGTAACCAAATATAAGTTTACCTGGTTTGATCCAAAAATACGGACAATTAGAATTAGATATAAATCATGGTTGTTAATATAATTCAAAAATATTTAAATGCTTACGATCGTTGATACATAAGTAAAGACGATAAGAACATGACAGTTCTTGCATTGTCAACCATAACATGCTACAACATCGTTCGTAAATTATAAAGCAGCTGTGTTATGGTATACGATTAAGTCTACAATGTTGCTATTCAGGCCACTGTAATTACTTACTACATAGAAATTACGGATATTTTCACAAACAATGGGCTTCTGATTTGATAAGTATAAATCAGCTATCCATAATTTTAGATTTATTAGTGGAAAATGTATAGAAACATCGAAATTACATGAAAAGGTCACTTGACTCATCCTCCACTGTCTTCACACAGTTTTAAACTTAAGTATGAAGGAATGATTCAAAAAGGTAAAACTTATTATTCCATCATGAGTTTATGCAGTCACGCTTTCCGGAGCTTTTGCAAAGTCAGTCAGTAACAACGTAGAACCTCGTGCGTACGTACATCAGTTCGAGTTGCTACACCACATTAGCACAGAGATGCAGTTGTCGATTCAAATCCCGTAGTGGTAGAGTTAATAAGAGTATAAGCAGTAATCGGGAAGATTAGTGTTTGGAGATGTTACTTAAATAGTATAATACCGTGAAATAAATTTGGGAAGAGAAAAAAAAGACAAGGAGGAATAAGGATATCAAAATTTGGGAGAACACAGAGAGTGGATGCACCTGCGCCATTGCAAACGATTTTGAGCCATGTCATTCAGGGTCTCTAACCATTGGTTGCTATCATCTCGCGGTCCCAAACCAGGTAGTCTACACCTACCAACATGACTCAGTCCACTTTTCAGTGACTTCATGGACTTGTGCCATGTTTTGGTCTGGCCGCCCCTAGCTTTCTTCCAATCTACTCCTATACAACAAAACATCGCACATCGAGGCAGTCGGTGGTTGAGCATACATAACACATGTCCCAGCCATCTCAACTGATGAAGTTTCACCACGTCATCAATTGATTTGCCATCCTCACCTAGTACCCGTTTCCTAACAACTGCATTACTTACTCGATGGTCCCAGGATATGCGAGCAATATTTCGAAGACACCTATGATCAAATACTAGTAACCTACAGATGTCCTCTACTCTACCGGCCATGTTTACTCTTACAAAAAACTGAGTTCTAACCGGAAAACATACAGCAAAAGATGACGTCTGACAAATGACAGACAGGTCGTTAAGTCTGTAGTGTGAAAATCGGTCAGTCCCCCAATAGGATGAGTACAAATGCTTTGCTTAATTAGTATCCAGCTGACTATAAACGTCCAATTAAGGATATTGATTCAACCGACAATTAAAGCAATAACCTACAAAACAAGAGGTTGGAGTTAAGCTATTCTAAATAGCCCTCGCACTTGAACGACCTACACCGGATATATTCAAAGCGATCATCCTGTACTTGTGGAACTGCTTTTCAACATGCTTTAAAATGATGGACGACTGATCAAATATACATACACTTCCTAAATGTTTCTTGCAACGGTCCAATAATATTATGCGCGGCACTTCTGCTCTGCAACAGTCAGTCGACGCGCTTTTGTCAATTTGCTGAAAGGGTATAGACTAGGTAGCCATACGAACTTGCAATAAAATGAAATCAGGCTGCTTAAAGTATTATTTAAATCCTCTTATGAACTGGATACTGATGAGACTGTGGAGGTAGGTCTGACAAGCTTATTTTGTAAATAGTTTTTAATATTATTTGTGTTCATTTTGTCAATCTTTCACTGTCTGTATATTTATCATTAGATGATTGTACCTGTTGTTTCAATAAATGACCTTGACACTTTCTGTTGCAATACTGACGTAGCGTGACACACTTGTGGTTGTTCGCAAATACATTACTACGCACACACTCCTTGTTCTATTCTTACTCGTTATCGAGCCAATTGCATTCTAAATCGAATATTATCCACATTTTAGACTGTTGTGCCATTACTAATACATCCCACGTCAAAGGAAACTTACTGGGGTCATATTTACCTCATCGGAGTTATTACTGATTTATAATTGTGGATTTTGGTACCAAAACACAACGGAATGCGCGACAACTAGCTGATCTAAGTAACGTCCCTGAACTTTTATTTGTGTTACTAATTTATAAGTTGTTATTGTTACATTAACCCTTGGACGTAATAACTTTACTGTTAATTTTTTGGTTTGTATACTTTTTGGTCCACTACAAAACAAAATTTTAAAATTGAGACGCGCGAAACACTTGTCCCTCGACTCCTCGTAAGTCTAGTGTTGTACGTAGAAAGAAAGTAATGCTCCAAACGCTTGTATTCGTATGTAAATCAAAGGACTAAATAAATTGTAAATATTCCAGCGCTATGAGGGGACAGTAATGCTTCATCACTAGTGGAGGTTGACTTTTCAAAACCTCAAGTATTCTCATATTTGTTTAGTAAAATATATACCGTAGAAGCGCCTGAAGATGCAACAGGTACTTGAAATTTTGACAACGCTTTAACCAGTAACACCTTTCAATCTGAAATCAGAAGACAGAAACAAGGAGGTTCGAAGACATAGTTGATAGGCTATCAATATACCATGGATCGCCTGGTCTAATTAGGCCAGCGATTGCACGGGATGTTGGACTCAGCGTTCTCGCCTGTGGTTTGGTGCAGATGAATGACCGAGCGCCTACAGCTATTTGAGTCCATTAAAACTAATGTGGTCAGCATCAAACGCCGAAAACTTACAGAGCTACTTATTTTGGGGATTTATTTACCGCTACACACCCTTCCAGTCAGTCGATACAAATCCCCTAAAATACACACTGTACAACTCGAGCGCTTATAAGCTTGATGTCGTTGGTCTGCTAAATCAGCTAGACATAGGAAAATTCACGAAAACCTATGAACTTCATTCTAGGTTACTAAAAGAATCAACTAACTTCGTTGCAAACCCCAACAGTATATACTTTAATCTATCCGTAACACAGGATCGTTCACAAGCCATCTGAATTATCAAAGCTTAACCGACATCCAGAATTACTACAGTCCTGAAGACTACATCAACTTTCCTCTTTGACGGCCTTCTGCGAATCAGCTTGTACCATGTTATCGGAAATTTGCCTAGATAACTGAACACTCGAAGGAGTAGAAATTTTGTCCGCTGTCCAGCTCAATCTGTTGTGTTTCTGGTTTCCAGATATTTCCTGCAACATTTGTTTCTGAACTGAACGTAGATAAGTTGTAGAATTATGGTGTACTATAATATTAGTACTGCTCTAATAATAGACCTAATCCTAAAATTGTAGATTTGTCATGATATAACTGCTTGATCTTTAAGATCTTACGTGGAAGTCACACCATCGACTACACCAACTCACTGTATCGTATCAATTACCAATACATGATGTAGAACAAGGTTAGGCTAGAGAAGGAACATTATTTCTAATATGAATAGAAGATATAAGGCAACATTCAGAGGGACCACGCCTGCATGGCCGAGTCAAGCCACTCGATCAACTCCAGTCCTTTCCTTGTTCGCGCCTTCTCCATCGTTAGGTATTTCTCCGCGTTAAATATTGAATATCTATTTTCCGAGTAATTTCGTATTCAACTTTGAGGATTGTGTGGTTATAGTCCAATGCCACTACAAAGTAAATCAGGACTTCTAGAGATTTTCTTGATGCTCCAAGTCATTAACTTGTCACCCCCAGGTTGTTTACATCCTAAGAGCCCCACACTAGTTTTCTGTTTCGGAATGGAAGAGGAGGCATTATGTCTACATACTCTAAGTAGGTTGATATAGAACTATAAAAAAATAGCTGAAATTTTCCACTGTCAAACTAATGGAAATGTGCTTCAAGGCTACCAGTGTACGGTTTCACTTATGAGAATTTTTGCCACATTCTTCATACGATTTTGGATTATAAATAATCAATATACTCAACTTCTTTCGTTGTAGAGTCCTCTAAAGAGGACCTATTTAACTTTGGTGTGTAATTTACGGCGTTTCACCCATGAAGTGTCATACACTTCGAGGATTTGAACGCAGCCACATTATTGTCTTCCCAACTTTGCAGTTAAGTCAGATCCTCCAGGATCATCCTGGTTGCAAACTTCTCTTCAAAGTTCGTAATCGCCACCCGAGAATAATAAATTGGGGAACACTTTCTGGGGAGGGTAACTCACGTAAATTAAACAGAGAGAAGGTCCTTAGGCTGAACCCTTGGGAAGATCATTTGGACATCCTGAAACCTGAGATAACGAGTGATTTGGACTAGCCTTGAATGGTCTATCTGTCTTTCGGTGCTGAATGACTATCTAATAACTTGGGCGTAATTAAAAGACATTCGTGGTTGACCCTGTCAAAGATTTTAGGGATAACGTTTCATCAGTCCACTATGCTCAAAATATACACTGTGCAGAAATGACCCAGCCTAAAGTCATCTTGTTCAAGCGAAAAAAAATTTATGAATTGACGTAAACCAGCGATTTTATGACTTTTAAGGGCATTTATAGAAGTAGTTTGAGGGATAGATATTTCAGCTCCAATGAAGACTGGGGTGATGTGGCCCAGCTTTCATCTGTCTAACGCCGTTCATTCGATCTCGGAAGTCTGAGGACGGTCAGCTAAGTGATTTCGTCAGAAGTGAGATATCTTCTTCCAGTTCAGTAGGTTAAACTACGTCATTCATTGCCGGCAGTTACGCAATCAGATAACTCAATCATTTATACCCTGAGTAGTCCCAGAGAAGCAGCACGGCCATCCCTGTATGTTCCAGGATATTCGCAGTTTACTAAGACAAAAGAAGAAATGTTGGAGAGTTGCCTTCAGCATTGGCACAGTAAGTACGATGTTATGCTACAGGTCAGTGAAAAATAAGCTTATAATTGTAATCCAGAAAGCTTAGAGGAAATATGAAATGCACAATCTGTAATCAAGCCGCCTAAGAGACTAGTCTCGTGCATAAATTACGGAACAAGGACGCATCATTGGATCCCCAACCTAATTACGGAAGAGAGCGGACCTAAATTGATAAGGGATGATCGGAATAAAGCGAGGCCTATGAGGAGCACTTTTCGTTCAGGATCCTCTTCTAGATGATGAACTAGATTCATATACAAAGCTGATAAATCATCTGTTAACTATGAACTTCGATCGAGACGATGTAATAATAATAATAGAACTCTGCCAGGACAGATGAATGACATTTTACAGGCATAATCTACAAATGAGAATACTCGTTGGCTGACGGTATGCTTCCACAAGTAGAGTCGTCAAATAGATAAAATCAATAAAAGTGAATAATAGTGCATTCGTGTAGATGTCTTAGAGCCCTTAGCACTCTGGACACGGAAAAGTCAACACGCCCGGATAGACTACACCTCAAAATCTTGAGACAAATTGCATAACATATTGCGGCCCCACTGACTGATATTCAGTATGTCACTTGGTCGGGGTGTGTTATCTACGGACTGGAAGGATTCAGTCGTCGCTCCCATACATAAAACAGGACCAAGACAACCTCCAGCGAACTACAGATATGTCAGCCTCACCGATGTCGTAAATAAAACACGGAAAAAGAGTAATCAAAAGCCCATAGTGACACTCCTGGAAACCGACAACTTGTTAAAGAGAAATAAATTTGGTTTCATGAAAGGAGTATTTTGCACAGCAGACCTCCTTATAAAAGAAAGTAATGGATAGGTGCTCCAGATAATGAAAAATCTGCATAGACTTTAGCAAAGCATTTCATAAGGTGCCGAAAAATAGATTGCTCTTGGAGACCACATCTCAGTGCTGTTAGGTTGCATCTTAGTGGTTTAGAACCCTATGGGCTTAAAGACGGATATTCGCCAAGTAAGATACGGTTATGTTCACCATGGTATATACAACCTTAGTGAGAGCTAAACCTGAAAACTGCGTTCAGGCTGCAAGCCCTTGATTAAAAGGTGACTCTAATATCCTGGAAAAGTGAAGGGGGCAGTTACCCACGCAATTCCATAGATCCGAAATTCGCCATACACAGAGCGGTTTCAGAAGCCAGACCTATTTATTCTATCCAAACTCACATTAAGAGGCGATCTGATTTCGACACATATTATACTAAGAATTGATTCTGGCCCTGATATATCTTCTCTTTATTCTTCTATCAGACAAGCAGACGAAAAAAATACCAGTGGCATGCATGGTTTCAGGATGGGTCACTCTTGTATAACCAACCGGCTGACTGCTATGGACAGATGAACAACCACCCTTGATCGCAAGGGGAACGCTGACGTCACTTGCCTTGAATTCTCAGAAGCTTTTGGTAGGGTCAACCATATAAGTCTTATCGTTAAGCTCAAACGATTGGGTATCAGACCACCTCTAATTGAATGGCTCACTTCATACCTTAAAAAGTCGACATTTTATGGTCAGGGTTAACTCCACCTTCTCTCAGGCTATGGAATGTCCTATTGGGGTCCCCTAGGGCTCAGCACTAGGACCTCTTCTGTTCTTGATTTATAGAAACGATCTTCCCCAACAGGTACCATCTGGCTTATTACTTTTTGCTGATGATTTGAAACTTTGGAGAGACACTCAACCAAGAGGATAAACCGGCACTTTAGAAGGATCATACCCGATTTCAGAGTTGGGCAGATGACGACGGACTTATCTTTCACACTTCAAAGTGTAAAGTAGTCCATCTGAGACATGTTGCAGACTACAGTTGCAACTTACGAAATTCCTCTCTAGAAGTATCCCAAGTTGAAAAAGATTTGGGAGTGCTGGTACCCTACGGTTTGAAGTCTTACGCTAACTGCGACAAAACTGCCTTTCGATCAAACCTTACACTGGTAACATTGAAGAGCATTTTTGACTAGTTTGACGGTAGAACCTTCCACCTAATTTTTAAAAGTTTCGTTCATTCCCATTTAGAGTACAGAGACATAGTATTTCCCCCTCATTCCAGTAGGATAAGGACACTCTGGAGTATATCCAACGGCGAGCCACGAAACCAGTTCATGGAATATAATTCAAGCCTTATGAAGAGCGCCTCCAATCACTAAAACTTTGCCCATTATAGTATAGGCGTCTTAGAGGAGACCTAATGGCTTACAGTATCCCTAACACTTCTGTACATCCCCTCAAACACCTAATTAAGTTTAGCTTTAACACAAACTTAAGAGGTAACACGCAGAAACTAGAGACAAAACACAGCAGAACGGTCTGTAGACACAACTTCTACTCCTTAAGAGTTGTTAAATGCTGGAATTCGCTTCCGACTAAGCTAGTCCAAGCGACTTTCCAGGAGTCCTCTGAGAAGCAACTTGACATATTCCTAAGGGCTATGAATAATATCTTACCATGATTTACCAATTTCTTTTTCCCCTACTATCGTTAATATACCTAGGTTCCTGTCTGGAGGTACTGGTGATCCTTAGCCAATAGACACGGAAGCCCGTTAATCGAAAGCTAATTTTTTTCCGTCCACAACCTTTTGAACCATTTGAACGTTTTCACAGAGTCATCAGTTCTTGGAACCTGTTACCCGGAGCAGTGGTATCCGCACCTTCAGTTGACTCATTAAAGAGAAGAGACACTTACAGGAACAGAGTGGAAAAGAGTAACATAGGCTGTAGGCCTTCTGCCCTTACTATACAAATCTGAATCTGATCTGAAACTAAAAGACGTAGTTCGCGATGTCCTAACCCAATACTTGAATTACTATAGGATGACAGTTCTAGTCAAAGCATAAACATGGTACTCATCTAGCACTGAATTATCATTAATGTCATCTCGAAATATATGCATTGGATTCATAACGTCTTTTGAATGAACTACAGTTTGGTTTCTAATACCACTAGCACTGTTTCAAATAGTACCAAGGTCGCTGGATGGATCTACTTGCTAATTTTAATGACTTAGAAGAGTGTTTAATATCCGATGATCTTTTCGAAAATTACTTCAATTATTTCCTGTCGCTTCCGGTTAGAAATACATTTTCAGTATAAACAGTATATTTATAACAGGTTTTTTCGCTTAAGTTACAGTACAATAGACTAAGTGGTGAATTTACCCTCACGGATTCGCATGAACTTGATACCAAAGAGTCATCACGTTTGGGTCTTTCAGAAGAAGATCGAGAACGCGTTATTAAATGGGCTGAGTCGGAACGTCTTCCATACTTTATGCGGTAACTTACCTCTTTGTAAAAATATTTTCAACACTTCCGTAAACAGGAGTGATATTTACAGGGAACTACTACTATGCAAGTTCTTGATAGCTCCACTTGAACTGAATACTGATCTCATCGATTATTGGGAGCCGTTCAGTGCAGATTTAGCTAGCACTTTAGGTTGTCATCCTGGAGTTAGTAGGCATACTTATACTTCCTGGACGACAGATCTCAGCACTTATGATGATGAAACGGAAAGCAGTTATGATTACAATTCTGAAAAAGTTAGTGAATTTTGCTTGATCCGAGTGTATATATGAGGAAAATGCTGTGATTTTTAATGAACCATACTGATGACCGACACTCGTTAGCTTTACGTAGGTTTATATCAGTTTGTTGAAATAGCTCTCATTTAAGGAATTTTTCTTCAGCCTACGGTGATACGTTATTAAAAATAAATACCTGGCACTTTTAGTACGGTGACGACATACTTCCCCTCTGAATGACTAAGTATTAGTTGCTTTCATGAATAACACTGGTAGAGGATTTCACCGTGTTACCGTGTCATGTCAAGAATTAGCTTCGGTACTCAGATGATTTTTTTCGTTTGCAAATCCTTTCATAATGCCTTATCACCCAGTCGAATGTAATTGGTAATCACTATAGAATCTGGCAATAACGAAGTCCAACTCAAACACAACCATCAAACTAAACTACTTAAAAATCCAAACTAAGAAGAGTTATGTATTTTTTGGACACTAATAAGGTAAGAAAAATGCTACGTAGTTGCAAAATGGCTGTCCTGATTATTTCATATATCATTATTACTTCTAGTGATTACAAATAATACTTTTGCACAGAAATAATTTGAAAATCTGGATTTCCTTAATGTATTCTATATCTTATCCGTGAGTTTATCTAGTGTTTCCCCATTTCCGGATTGAGCATAAAATCCATACTATCGAAATCCTGAAAGTGTACTTCATCAGATGTAAGTTGTGCATTCCTAAATCTTTAGTGTCTAGAATCCATACCATGCATATTCAAACATTCACCAGAATCTTCGTGGACTGTTGAAAGTCATTCCCATGATAACATCTTACCCCCACAAACTGAGAGGATCTCATATTCGGACAATAAATACCTTCATCCAATAATTTTTGAGCAGTCTGTCTCGTTGGAGAATGTTTGGAATCCCTATTTTGCATCAAAAATGTGTTCACACTCTTCATTAGTTTATCTATTGTTACGGTAGTAATGGAGTTATCAACAGTTTTTAACACCTTGACGAAATTGTCCTTCTGACCGTCAGAACGAATGTCTTTGGGAGCACCAAACAGATGTTTTCAACCTATCTCATCCAACGAGGCAGAAACTTCATTTGTAGTAATATGAGAATCACAATTAGTCACTAATATCATAAGAACCTCTTTTCGACTGAACTGTTTTCCAAATTCTTGGATTGAGAGGTCAGTGCTCGCTAGGATTATAAAAAATAATTCGTCATAATTAAGAAAGGAACTAGTAAAACAAGTGCATAATATCTGCCGAGAAATGGACTATAATAGTCTACATGAATTCTCTCCCAGGCCTCAAATGATACTGGTCATCTGGTCTACTTTGAGGGATGCTTTTTTGAGTTATGACATTTTTCACAGGTGTGCAACATCTTGATGAAATAGACAGGAAACCTATGTTTCATATTATCGTTCCAATCTTTTTGTATAGCATTAAATAGAACTCTAAATGGTGAACGAGTTTTTCCACTAAGATCTGAATAGCTGACCGTTAAACACTGTATTGATCAAGTCAGAAGTATTCATAGGTTTATCTTGCGACGAATTTCTAGACAGCTGGTCTACGTGCTGAATTTATTCAGCACTTTTGTGCTAATTGGTTTGGTTTTAAGCTTTTGCAGTAACACTCTGTCGTTAAACCATGGCGGATGGGGAACATGCTAAAAATGTTTCGTGGTGATAAATGATTTCTAAAACTTAATAACCCGGAACAAAAGTGAATTGCTTTCCAAATAAATGTTTGCAAAGTTGTTTATCAGCCAAAAATACAGCTAATGCTACTCGCCACATATAATAATAACATTATTTAGCGACAGTAAGTTCTCGTGAAACATAGATTACTGGTCTACCTCCCTGCTTTGAAACTCCACCAATACTCACAGGTGACGAATCGATAACAAGTAAAGAATGTATACCATGAGAAAAAGTTCAAAGAAGTGCATCACGCTGAAAAGCACTTAGCAGACTTTGTTAGCACAACTTTTGCCCCACATTGCATATAAATGAGTTGTATGTTTAAATTTGAGATAGACAGCAAACACAATATAAGTGATTGGAAATTAAACGGGGATAATATTAAAGGGGACCTACCAATGAGTCTAATTCTGTAACGGATTGTGACGATGGTTCCTTTGTAAGGGAGTTTTTCCGCTTTAGACCTAGCTATAAACCACTGTCATCAAACAAACATCCAAGAAATTTAAAGTCGAATACACAGAATAAACACTTATTTGAATATACAGGAATATTCTGCTCAAGAAGACGATTTAATGAGACAATAAGCCTCTGATGATATTTATCTTTATACACTTCAACACCTTTAGGATTACCGACTATGTTATTCGTTAGTCCTTGAGAAATAGCTAGAGGACAACTTCAATGAAATGAAATGTAGTTCTATTTGAATAAATCAAGAGGAGTGTTAATCGTTATTAAAATGAATGAAGATTGATACAAGGGAATTCTAAGGTAAGGATCTTTTAAATCATTTTTCAAGGATGTTTAAGGATCCAGAAGTCAATTAAGAATATTTTCAGCCTCAACCGTGGTGCGCGTTTGCTTCAATAAACAAGAGGTCAATGTTAACGTGCAACCACCATATATTGTGGGGACTTCAGCATAAAATTTCACAAGATTGCATAGGATTTCCGAGGAGAAAGTTAATCACGAGATAAATGCTTGTCAAAATTATGCTCACTTTTGTATGCTTCTTTAAAATTCTTTGTTGAATTAGTTATTATGTTTCCACGACAATGAAAGTCCTTACTAACTAACCACGAATTTGAGAGAGCCTAAGAACAGATTTTCACTATGAAAAATGAATAAGGTATCAGAGATTTTTACATGCCGAAAGTTAAGTTCATTCACTACCGTAAAATTAATACGACTTGTTTTAATCTCTTGAAGTGAAACTTTAAGTATTTAAATTAAATGTCTTTCAAATTTCGGGATGTTTATACCAGCAATCAAACTACCACGAGGTTGAATTTACAGCAGATTTTCAAACTTCAATTCTCACCCTGTTTTGGCAGTTCCAATTAGGAAGCCACAGAATTTCAGGCTATTTTAAAACACTATTTTATGGGAATTAGATCATTCTGCATTCAGATTAATTCACTGAAGATGGTTGAAAAATGATTGTTCGAGAGATTTTTCTGGAAGTGAAATGGGGTCGTCCGGGAAGTCAAGATTTTTGAGTAGGTTATATGTATATTTACTAAGGAATACAAGGAGATGAGGGCAAAGTTTATCATGCTTGACACTTTTTCTGATCAAACATCAGATTTCAAATCACTATATATGGTTTTCAAAACTTTCCCACTTGAATTAGCATCCAATTACCCAAGAGCTAACACCATCATGACCCTAATACGATAATTAGTAGCCGAATTCGATATACTAACTAGCAATTACCCGAACTATTCGATTTGTACTTGAGTAGTCATGAATGAAACAATATTCAAGTCATAGAAAATCAGTCAACACAAACAACAGTATTGTATTTTGTATTCAAATAAAGTGAGGAATGACGTAGAAAGGAACTGTTAATTAACTCAAACATCACATCGTCGTTAAAAAATAAGGACTATTTATACGAAATCCCGAAAATTCGTGATTTAGTTAATAGCAAACAACTTAGATATTCTTCGTTTAATGGGTCGAAAAGTTGATTCGCACATATTAATCAAGTTCATAGTCAATTGCATTGTAGTGATCTATACTCTAGTTACCACGGTACACTGGCATCTTGACAACATTCTAATGCTATTAACCTTAGCAACTTGAATCGGTCTTTCGTATCTCTTAAATAAATATCATAATAAGTTAGTGTGTGATCACACCCTCATATTATATTATTCTGATGTACTCAGTTGTAAGAAAAGGAAAGGAACGACAATCAGGAAAGTTGAGCATTTATTTTTGAGTGAATTAGTTAGTATATTTTTGATTTATGATATGATTCATGATATTTTCTGTAGCTTTAACTCTAAGCCAGCTTTTGTACTACTCTTACTACTCATAACTATCTTACTCAGAATTATGTCAATAAGAAAGAGACTATTGCCAGTTCAACGTCAAATATATGTTACTGCACATTTACATATCTCTTATGTTTCTGCTACAAAAATACTTAGAAATTCGCCAAAAATTTATAAGTTTCATACTTTGAACATGAATTCTGAGATGCAGGTACACCCAGCTGATGAGTCTTAAGTAGGACGAAACGCACGTTCTGGATTCCATTGCTAGCCACTATCTATCTTTGCTTAAAAAGCTTGTGAATTGAGACAATATCGAGGCAATCTGTACAGGATGTACATATGCCAACATGAGATTGACCAATGCGGTCTTAAACCTCAATGGGAAGATTCAAACAAAACAATACTAAGTGAATTTTATTTGTTTAGCTTAGAACTAGTAGGTTCGGAAAGTGAACATTCCTAGACATATGACCCGATTGTCCATAAATACTCTTGAGTATTCCAATGGACTTGAGCGACGTAATGAAATTGGTAGTATTGTTTATTACATACAATAGATTACTCCTAGTCTCTAAATAAGCAAGAAAACACTTTATCTCGATGAATGTATAGGATATTATCAGATGGAATAGTACTTATTACCATGTGTTTCTAAAATGTGATAGGACTATAGATTTAGATTAGTATAGAATTCAATTCGTCAACAGAGAATTTGAAGTCAGCAGTATTTAATTGTATGATAGAATTGTGACAGATAATCCATCATGTAAAATGAACAAAAGTAACGATAATCATCCACATAAATGATTCAATTAACTACGATTTAATTGCATGAATATGGAAGATTATATGGAACTGACTAGAACTCAAATACTTATAGAAAAGAATCCAACAGAATGCGAATAAAAATCTGTCGAGAATATTCAATTGACAACTGTCTGTAGTTTTGTTAGTCAATAATAACCTAGTTGTGCTTGTATTGTGATTGATTATTTTTGAAGTACTTTGTTTTCGTATAATAAGTGTATAAAAACGCTTATAATTAGTTACATCAAGTTTGTAGATAAGCCTTACTAACATTTCTAAGCTAAAATGAAATCTACATCAAAGTGTAGTGAACAAGAACACCAGTGGGGACAATCGATTGTACTTGACATAACATTACAGGACTTGTGAATAAAATCTAACAATCATAAAGTAAATGCTTAATTTACAAAATGTTCATCGATTGTCTCAAAATAACTCAGACTTCATTGTTCTTGCATTTTCACACAAATTGCATCCTATTTCTATTCTTTACTGTTTGATCCTCTTGTCTCTCTGCTGCCATCATCTACTACTTATGTCAATATAAGTAGCACACACCACAAAAGTAGTTTCCTGCTAATCTCTGCCAACTATCATCACATTATTGCTGTTATTTGATAACAAAATTTCTCGTGAAAACATACATATAATGACTCCCATTAATAGTTATACCTTAAAAATCTCTATTTGAGTATACTAAAAATAAGAAATGGATGTATTTTCATTTTATCAACAATTTACATTACTTATATATAACGTATTGTTTTGTTAAATTATGGAATACTGACTCCGAGACAATTTAGTAGCTTCTATAGATGTTTCGTAATATTATAAAAATTTAGTAACTAGTAAGATGGATAGATTTTTCAAATAATTCAGTCAGTCAGCAACAACGTAGAACTTCGTATGTACGTACATCAGTTCAAGTTGACATACCACATTTGCACAGAGATACAATTGGCAATTCAAATCCTATAGTGGTAGACGTAGTGACAGTATAAGCAGTAATCAGAAACATCAGGGTTTGAAGATGTTATTCAAGGAGTATAATATAATGAAATAAATTTGGAAAGAGAAAAAATCGGGACATGAAGAATTCAGAAGATTAGAATTTGGGAGAACACAAAGAGTGGATGCACCTGTGCCAGTGTAAATGATTTCAAGACATGTCATTCAAGGTCTCTAACGATTGGTTGCTATCATCTCGCAGATCCCAACCAGGTAGTCTACATCTACCAAGATGGTTCAGTCCAATTGTCAGTGACTTCACGAATTTGTGCCATGTTTTGATCTGGCCATCGCTAGCTTTTTTTCCAACCTACTCCTACACCATAAAACATCACTAGTTAGGGCAGTCGGTGGTTCAACTCTTATTTACAATGTTTCCAAACAATTATTCGTCCTATGTACGAATCCTGAATATCAGTCAAAGTTTATTGATAAGTGGTAGTTATATCGTCAGCAAACTATGTGACATGATTTGTATATTACTATTTATTTATTTAAACACATATATATCAGTACAAAGGAGGCACCAAATAGATATGCGCCACATAAATCATTTGATTTGTGTGACAGCCGGAATACTGCCCAGGTGCCTAAACCGAATCAGGTAGTTTTCTTAAGAGGGCCACACTCGGAGCCTTCAACCTGAAGGTCTAATCCACAAGGTACTGGAACAACTCCAGGAAATACAGTCCCATGGTAGCCGGTGGCGAACAATAGGTTCATACACCATTTGTTCCCTTAGGATCCTGAAGCCCATGTGCACCATTAGTTTGAAATGAGGGTTTCCCAAATCCCCTATGTGGACTCTCCGTGTCCACCAACTCGGTTAAATTGCCGAACATTCGCTTTTCATCCTTTCGATTTCGCAAACAACAATAATGCCATGAGAAGATAGTGAGTAGGACTTCCGTGGAAGTGATTATATGCACGTGGCCATGTGAGAGTATTTCGAGAGAGGAAGAGTTGCCTCTTCCCACTCTCGGCCGTATCAGGGCATTTGGGGGTATGATTTGCACCAACAATGATTTATTCTAAAGAAATATTACACCAGAATATAACCGCTTTATTCACTCTTAGCCTAGTATACTCTAATACAAAATCATACAAGGAATACTTATTGATAAAGGTCTTTTAAAAATGTATAATGCGTTCATATTTATTAGCTACAGAAACAGACAAAGTAAGCAATTACATAAAATTATGAAGGGTTTGTTTTTGTTTTTCTTAAATCCATAAAACATGAGTGTTATAATTTCTTTTAAAATTACCCAGCTATTCCTATTGCTTAGTATTCTTGGACACCAATTCACTAAACAAGTCCCCAAATCAGAAAACGGTTGAACAAGAACGAAATCATATTCCAAGTAAGAAAAGTAGATGGAAGTGTAAGAAGCACGATAAGAGATATGTCGGTATATTTAAGGTATTTACATGAGAAACTTCTAGAGACTTTTTCAAGCCACCGAATGTCCTGGTACGGCCGAGAGTGGGGAGAGTCAACTCTTCCTCTCTCGAAATACTCTCACATGGCCACGTGCATATAATCACTTCCACGGAAGTCCTACTCACTATCTTCTCATGGCATTATTGTTGTTTGCGAAATCGAAAGGATGAAAAGCGAATGTTCGACAATTTAAACGAGTTGGTGGACACGGAGAGTCCACATAGGGGAGTTGGGAAACCCTCATTTCAAACTAATGGTGCACATGGGCTTCAGGATCCTAAGGGAACAAATGGCGTATGAACCGATTATTGGTCACCGATTACCATTGAATTGCATCTCTTGACGTTGTTCCATTGCCTCGTGGATCAAACCTCTCAGTCAATGGCTCGGGGAGTGGCCTCTGAAGAAAACCACCTGCTTCGGTTTGGGCACCCAGGCAGTGTACCAACCCTCACACAAATTGAATGATTTATGTGGCGCATATCTATTTGGTGCCTTCTTGTACCAATATCTATGTGTCAAAATAAATAAATAAATAATAATCCCATAAAAGCATGATAGTTTAGTACAAATCAAACCATATAAATAAACTGGTATTTTATTGATGAATAACTCGGATTATGTTAAGAAATTCACAATGAATTTAACAGACTCAAACAAATTCAAAGCTGGATATTCAAACAAGAACAATAAACTATAGGAATATACATATATATATATATATATCAATAAACCTAAACTATGAATAAAGAAAAAGTTTGTAGAGTCTTTTAACTAACCCTGATCTTCTACTTAGTTACTATTATGTCTTACGGAATAAAAATAATTCATTTTCCTTTCTAATTTTCGGGTGTTTTTTTTGTTTGGCTAACATTTTAGTTTTACGAACCGTATTTCATTACCTTATTACCTAATTTTCAATACACCCATCTTACTTACTTTTTTGTGGTTAGCGCATTTTTAGCAAGTTAGTTTTCTACAGGATGGGGTCGCTGACCCCTTGCCCAACCCTCCTCCTTTATCCGGGATTGGGATCGGCAGTAGCCCCCGGAGGGACTCCAGGTGGAGTTACACCCGTCTTAACTACTCTTTATTAATCTGTGGTAACACAAAATATCTATATTTGTATCCAGTTTCAATTTGTATTCAAACATTTAAGTAATTAGTTGTGGAAATTAGCTGGCTACGATAATTCACTTGTCTTGACTTTAATTTTACAGACATTGCTTTACTAACTGAATACAATATTCATGATATTGAGCGACTATATTCTATTGTCTTCGATGGATAACTACCTCACATCCAACGCCGATTAGCTCTACTGGTTAAGGTTTCACACTAGAACTCCGAGAATTACCACATGAAGCTAGTCATTCTTGAGCACATGATAATTATCAGTATAAGGTTGTGGAGATTGTTGATTTTTTATTCAGATGATGAATTGATCAATGTTAGACTGCCATTGGAAACTTGGGAGCAATTGTTTTGTCCTAGTATGAGATTCCTCGACAACACAGATCCACGATCCCGCACACGGGACTTTAATAAGGGACTAATTGCAAAGATATATTTCTTTCCTCAACTTGTATTTCCAAGAATAAAAGTGTAATATTAGACAAACAATCGATCATATGATTTGAAGAATAATATACCATAGGTTGAAACTATGTAAATCGCGCTATACGTCGAAAACATTATCACTCTTGTCTCGTTTATATGAGTAAAGGCGATTAATTACTCAAATTAACTTATCTGTATTTATGCTGATCTTATTTTTACATAAACATCATTTTCTCCATCTTCGATTTACTTTCTTTTTATGAATTCTTATATAGGATAGTAAATCTACTCCAATAAACAGTAACCAGTCAACTGATGAAACTCCTAATATAGTCAAGGAATCTGTCAGTTATGAGTCTTTCGGTAGGTTTTCTTTTCTTGATTTCTCATTTTTTGTCAATGTGGTTGTAGGAAGCAATTTCCTACAGGTGTAACTCTAAGCTATTCTCTAGACTGTCAAGCACAGAGTCTTGGTTTAGCCAAAGTCAGAAAAAGCAAGCTATTTGGCTTGATAAACTTTATCTGTTTCGAACAGTAACTAGAGGATAGGAAAAATTAGTCAACAAGGCGAATATTGTTTTATAATGAACATAAAAATTGTGATTGGTATATATGCAAGACATAGTCATACAAGGTCAAAGAAAGTTAATGTGGTGGTGGGCGTTTCACTTTATCATTTGTGAGTTCGTTTATCGGTCACACTTTACACTCCCCCGAAACACGCACCACGTCCATTGTCCTGGGTCGTTGTCACCGTCAGATAGCCGGCTTCTTCCAGTAGACAGAAGTAATGAAAAGATGAAAACTACCCAGTAACCATTGGACAATAAATAGTGTTACAATTTTTTAGTTCACAGTAGTAACTAGATTTTATCTAAGTAGATAGTTGATTGACACTTTAGTAGTTAAATAATTTAATCTTTGTCCCATTATTATGAAGAGTTTGAATCATCCGATTATTGATGATATTCGGAAGACAGGATTTCAATCAGTCTTAGTTGGAATATTATCCATCTTGTTCAGATTATCTCAGTTTGAGCATTAACGTGGGGATCTGGAAACATTTAGTTGATAGGTCCCAAGTAAGGAGAAATATACTTCTTAGATTCTACTACTAACTACAATCTATCTATTTTACAAAACTTATCAATCATCTAGTTCCATTCTTAAACTCTTATTCAGTTTGAACAGCTAGGTAATACCATTAGTTTTCATACAACATATATTTGGTGTCAAGTTTAACGCCCGAATCTATACTTGATTTTAAATAAATTCTAATCTCAATGAAAAGAGTTTGGTATCGATTAGTTGAGAGTGTCCTCAGAAGATAATCAATCGATAAACTTCAATTGGTTCACGTGGAGAACATAGATAACAAGACACTAGGTAGTATTCGGTAATTAACTGATTTAGCTCTTTAGAAATTAACTTGAACATATAAAATTCACTAATCACTCCGCCTACGAAAATACCTTTGTGAACTAAATCCATTTCCTTAAAGTTAGGTATGTTATTGATTTCACAATTGATTGATCACTGGGTGGTAATCAATCAATTGTGAATACATTTCAGTCCTACAGGAAGTCAGTCGCGGCCCGGATAGCTCAGTGGTAACTTCTCTGACTGTGAAGCTGGGTGACACGAGATCGAATCTGCCAGGGAGCGCCAGTTCCCTCAAGATTACAGGTACACGTTGCTGACGAGTGCCAAGTAGTATGAAACTCGGGTCCAGGGTTTCCTGTCGACTACCTTCAACCACCATCTAATCTCAATGTTATTGATTTATCAACTATGAAATTTTCACAAAATCTGGATCGAACAGTTTTTCTTGTTGGTTACTTTTGATCAATTACAAAGGTCTCGCTCTATAGGGCGAGACTGAACGATAGCAAACTCTTCTACATATTACAATTAGAAAATATGGATTAACCTTTTGGTTAATAATAAAGGAGAAAATGATACTAATGGGAAGAACTTCTATGTATTTGATCACACACATACAAAGATAGATGAATATGAAACCATGAGTTTTGCTATTTGAAAGAATAAAGAGATGTGTTATATGCACGTTCCTCATAGACATTATACAACAGATAGTGTTAAAAAGCTCCAAACCATTAGTAGGAAAACTTTCGTGAACAAGAGCTATATCATGCCTTCATTTTATTATTTTTATGACATAAATATTTTAGCATAATGAGGCACTAAAGATAATGCATAACACTAAAAGGACTGATAATGTAGATGAAGAAAAGTCATTTAGTCACTGAACGAATGAATGACAATAGTAAAAACTAGAGTTCTTAGTTCAATTTTCGGTTAAAACAAGATAAATTTCATTCACTTGCTAAAGATCGTCTTAACTCTATAAAGTATATGATAAAAAAATATCAGGCAACTCACGGACTTCTATTCCGAACCTCATTTGATAACTTTCTAAGTTACAGGGTTTAATGGTCTTTAGAGCCCTGGCAAAGGAGTTGTATTAGATCAACACCTATCAGTCTTATATCTTTATCTTCTACATTACAACTCCATGCTATAATGTGACTACGTCTTCGCTGTTTCCATGCGAACCCAGAATCAGCAGACAATACATAGTATACAAAAAAGCATGATGATATTCTTGAAAAATATCTATGGACCTGAATCCAGCGCTTCAAAACTGTAACACCAATCAAACTATCATCATTTTTGCCGTATACGCACTTCTCAACCACCACATGACTTAGTTATCATTATCGATAGATGTTAGAACTCATTTGAAGACGACATATAAGTTTTCTGAACACCCTCTTCGCTGAAGGCCAAGGTTTGATAAATAAGAGCATAACTATTTTAAATGACATATTGCATACCCGAGCTTTTACTGTCACATTAATATGGATGAAATTGGCATAAGCTCTGGATTAAATTATCTCATTTACTACGCCATCACCAGTACTTATGCAGCTACCAAGATATATAAAATTGTGAACCATTTCCAAAAAATCACCACAAAGATTGTATGTAGACATAAGCTTCTAGATAATTCCTTTTCTGATACATTTGCGTGAGACTGGAGGTCCTGGGTTCAAGTCACGCATGCGGGATCGTAAATGATCACTACTGAGGAGTCCCATACTAGGACGAAACGTCTGTCCAGTGCTTCCAAGTTTTCGATGGTGATCTAGCTTAAATCGACTCATGAATTCAACTACTAAAATTTCTACAATCACCATAAACCCTTATTCTGTTCATTTTAATATGATCAACCTAATTTATTTAAGTAATGCTATTCTACCAATTCATACATATAGATATATATTAACTGCTTTTAGATACAGTAAAATCGGAAAGAAGAAAAAGTCGTGAATACTCAAAGTATTTTAAAACTAGGTAAGTAAATTTGTGTCAATAAGAGAATTTCAAATTGAACAAACCACAGATCTTATGAAGAAATAATTAACCATTGATTTATTTAAACATATAAACATAGGTACAAGAAGGCACCAAAAAGATATGCGCCACATAAATCATTCGATTTGTGTGAGGGCTGAGATACTACCTGGGTGCCCAAACAGAAGCAGGTGGTTTTCTTAGGAGGTAACACCTGGAGCCTTCAACCTAAAAGTCTGATCCACAAGGCAATGGAGCAACGTCAAGAGATGCAATCCCATTGTAGCCGGTGACCAATAATTGGTTCATACGCTATTTGTTCCCTTAGGATCCTGGAGTCCATGTGCACGATTGGTTTTGAATCAGAGTTTTCTAACTGCAGTAGGTGGACTATATGTGTCCACCAACCCGGTTAAAGCTCCGGATATTTGTTTTTCGATGCTAAAGAGACCTTGAGAATGTCCACCTTACATACTACGGCTAAATAAGATTTATAAACCAGTGTGAGGAACTAGGAATAATATTTACAGTTGGTAGTCAGGGTTAGGGTTAGGAATAAGATATAGGGTTTTCATCACAAACTGACATCAGCTATAATGCCAAAACTCTATATTGCTGAATGAATGAATGAACTTCGCGCCAAAATTCAAGACCTGTCATCGTAAATCTGATTGGTTCGTCTATAATTATAGTCTCACCAAACTATATTTTCCATGACTAGTTTTAAACTATAATCAGTATCGTTATGCCCCGATAAGCATAACGAATGGGGACTTTTAGAATCCATTATGGACCAATACTATACGTATATTTTTATCGTATCACTGTTAAATAACTAAACTATTCATATTCATGTCCCTCTTATTATGAGCCTTATTTTGACCTATGAACTATTATTATACAATTTACCATTCTTGAATTATGCCCTGTCTATTAATTACTATCTCCCTCATTCACAGCCACTTTGGGCTAAATCTTGTACAAATGTTATTTTCTATTTTATGGTACGATGTGGTCTGTTCGGTTGATATATGAACCCAGTATGCTTGAAATAAATGATTCATATTGCAGAGATTGAGATTGGTATCTTGGACTTAACTGGTTAGGCTAGTCAGGACTAATAAGGACTCTAGACTGCTTGCACAAGTTTTACGCGTCATTGATCCGATCGATAATTCACTGTTCTCTAATTAGCAGTATCGTTACGTTATACATTAACAGGGTACACAGGCCACAAATTATAACAAGTATTGATATTTTGATCATTTGCATTTTATTTTGTCCTACATTTTCTCTTGTACTTTTGCAAAATATTGCAATTTTCTATGATTCAGCATGTGATAACGACTATAATAATCTATAATTTTCAACCAATAACCTTAAACTAACTTAATTTTAGCGAATATTAAACTATAGATACGTTAGATAATTAGCAGTGAAACTAACGATAACCAAATTCTGATTGTCATGTCCTTTAACCTTAACCTCTTACAAACATAATCCCATTTGAGCCAGCCTCATATACTGGTTAAATGTCAGCTTATCTATGAATGAAGTATGATTTAGCTAGTTATCTCCAATACATGTTTACTTCCATTGATTCTCAACATCAACACAGGTCAATTTCTAGGAAAAAAAGGTGATCTAACTTGTAATTATAGTAAAACTATATATGTATTCTTATTGTGTAATTGTTAAGTAACTAAACAACATATATTTATGGATAGTAGGTAGCGGTGGAATCTAGGACGCGCGTATCGTTCTATTTGGGACTCGTCAGTTGGATATACCTGCATCTCAGAGTTGATGTTGACTCTGGGACTCGAACCCAGTACCGTTCGCTCCAAACGCCATCGCGTTATTCACTTAGTCACTGAGTTCTGATAGCCACCTGCTTGTGGAATAGGTTGAAGTTATATTTGCCTGATGTTGTTTATCTGTATCTCTCCATCTTTATTTAGGATTGAAATTGATTAGTCTCTTGATCGGGACTCAGTAGCTAAGTAGATAACGCGATGGCGTTTGAAGCGATTGGTACTGGGTTCGAGTCCGAAAGTGAATATCCACTCCGAGATGCTGGTGCAAACAGCCGATGAGTCCCAAATATGACGAAACGTGCATCCTGGATTTCACTGCTAGCCACTATCCATCTTTGCTTATAAAGGTTGACTTAAGGCAATATTAAAGCGGTTCTCACAGGATGCATGTATGCCCATAAGACACTGATCAATTGCAGTCCTAAATAACAATGGGAGGATACAAGTAAACAACACCAAGTGAATATATATATTTATATTCCTCTTATAATAAGCTCCTTATTGACCTATCGGTTACTGTTATATGATTTACTATTCTCAAATTATTCTCAATCTATTAGTCACAGTTCCTCCAAATTACAGCCACTTTAGGCTAGATCTTGTATAAATGTTATTTTCCATTTTATGGTACGATGTGGTCTGTTTGATTTGTATATAGACCCAGTATATTTGAAATACATGATTCGTATCGCGGAAGTTGATATTGACATTCTGCACGTAATAGTCAGGGCTGGGCGGAAAAAGGACTAATCTTAAGTGTAGGCTGCCCGTACTGATGTATGCATTATTAATGTAGTCGTATAAGTCAGTGTATCTAATTGGCGGTATTATCACGGGACATAATTAATTCATGCATAAAGACTGTTATAACTTGGTGCCTTGTGTCCTATTAATATATGACGTAATGATACCACGAATTAGAGAACAGTGATTTGTCGACCGAACCAATGACTCGTAAACCCGTAAAACCAGTTCAGAGTCCTTATCGGTCCTTCTTCGTACCTAGCCCTGCCAGAACACTAATCTCAGCCTCCGCAATATGAATCATATATTTCAAACATACTTGGTTTATATACAAACCAAACAGACCACATCGCTCCACAAAATAGAAAAATAACATTTGTACAAGATCTAGCCTAAAAATGGCTGTGATTATGGGAGACTGTAATTAATAGACTGCCTATAACTCAAGAATGGCAAATCGTCTAATAAAAGTCTATAGTTTCAATAGTTAAGATCATGAATCAGTTGAAGCTAGACCACCATGGAAAACCTGCAAGCACTGGACGGCAGTTTCGTCCTATTGTGGGACTCCTCAGCAATGCGCATCCACGACCTCGCTCCCTGCGAGATCCAAAGCCAGGACCTATGAGTTTCACGCACGAGCGCCTAACCACTAGACCACTGAGCCAGCATCCAACGGTGTTAATATCTAACTTCAACTAATCCACGAAATTGAGCGACACATTCACCATTGTCTTCAGTGAGTTACTATCTCACAACAGTCTATAGGTCAAAATGAAGCTTATAATAAGAGGAATATGAATATGCATAGTTTAGTTACATAACAATTATACAATAAATATATATATATATATAGTATCAGTCCATAAATGGATCCCAACAGTTACCATTCATAATTCTCATCGGAATATATCAACGACATAACACTACTTCATACTTTTTTTTTTACTTCAATAAATCATTCACTATTTTTTTTCCCTTTAAATCAGGAGATTAACCATGTTTGAATGTAATCTAGGAAAAATGAATGATCTAAATCGTCCAAGTCCATTAATTGAACAAACTAGTTGTGATGAAAATAGTCATACAACAAGTAATAATAATAATAATAATGATATTAACAAAAAATATCGACGTCAATCAGAACCAATTAAATCATTGAATTATTATTATTATCATCCATATTCTTATTCTAAAAATGATCCATTCAAAACTATTGAACAGATTCAACAAAGTTTAAAACAATTAAATGAGGGAAAATTAAATTCAAATAAAACAAGTTCAACTACTACTACTACTACTACTACTAATAATAATAGTAGTAGTAGTAGTAAGAAATCAAAATCTCTCATATTTAATATTGATAATAATAGTGATAATTGTAATAGTAATAGTAATGGTGATAGTAATGATAGTACAAAAAGTATTTTATATGATGAAATCGATGAAAAGAGTATATTTCATGAAATTCAAGCAATGGAACAAAGACAAAATATACCGATGCAACAATTAAAAGAATTATTATTATCATCTGTAAGTATGATTAGAATATATATATATAGATCGATTAGTATTTAGTCTTTTCTATACGTTGTTATTTCGTGGATTAACACCATTGGATGCTAGTCGGCTCAGTGGTGTAGAGGTGAACCCTTTCGCGCGCAAGACTGACAGGTCCTCGGTTCGAATCTCACGAGGTGGGATCGTGTTTGTACACTGTTGAGAAGTCCCACAACGGCCGTCCAGTGCATCCAGGTTTTCCATGATGGTCTAGCTTCAATTGACTCATGATCTCAACTATTGAAATTATGTTGTTATTCGTTTGTTGGGTGAGTCTATAATTTATGGACGACATTCGAGCAACGCTAGACTGACCTTGAGATTGTTCACCTAATAACTAGAGCCAAATGAGGGTTATAAACCTGTGTGAGGAATTCGAGTTATGATTTACAGTTGATGATTAAGGTTAGGAATTAGATTTAGGGTTTTCGTCACGAAGTGATATCAGTTATAATGTCAAAATAGTATTTAACCAAATGAGTGAATAAATTTCGCGCCAAAATTCGAGATCTGTTTTCTTATATCTAATTGGTTCATCCATAAATTATAATCTCGCCGTTTGATGAACTCGAAAAATAATGTGAACAGAGAAACAGGAATCCTTGACAAACTAAGGAATCTGTTTTGAGGGGACGTTATTTCATTTGATTCAAAGCTTATAAAACAGTAACATTTCTTTTTGTCCCTAGTCTATTCTACAGAACATAAGCTGTCGTTTAATGTATGATTTACTGCCATAGCCATTTTTGTTTCAAAGATATTGTACATTAAACGTAATCTTTTGTACGCCGTTTTCTACTCTGATTCCCAGCTTCGGTCTGATTAGTTATCTATATATTCGTGTATCTTTTTACACTAATCTGAAATCGGGAAGCAGATTGGGATTGGGAATAAATCATGTAGCGTCCCAGTTGACTTGTCTTCTCTCACTCGCATGCTTGTCAGCCAATCAGGCTATATACTATAGTTTTCATCTCTCTACCCAATTTATTTATTTTTATTTATTTTACCACAAAGATATTGGTACAAAGAGGCAGCAATTAGATATGAGTCACATAAGTCATTCGATGTGTGTGAGGGTTGGTACACTTTCCAGGTGCCCAAACCGAAGCGAGTGGTTTTCTTAGGAGGCCACACCTGGAGCCTTCAACCTGAAAGTCTGATCCACAAGGCAATGGAGCAACGTCAAGAGATGCAATCCCATGGTAGTCGGTGACCAATAATTGGTTCGTATGCCATTTGTTCACTTAGGATCCTGGAGCCCATATGCATGATTGGTTTTGAATCAGAGTTTTCCAACTCCGGTAAGTGGACTCCCCGTGTCCACCAAGCGGGTTAAAGCGCGGGACATTTGTTTGTCGTCCTCTCAATTTCGTAAACAACACCCTCGCTGTGAGAAGGCAGTGAGTAGGACTTCCCTGGCAGAGGCTATATAGGCGTGGCCATATGAGAGCATTTGGAGAGGGAGAGCAGACTCTCCCCAGGTAGTTGATGTCACATAGAATTCACGCATACTAGTTTCAATGTTAAGCTAGTCAGCCTATCTCGTCAAGGTCTTAATCTAGGTTAGACAAGCTATCCTCTGCACAAAAATATTGGATACTACTGAATTGATAATCTCTATACATAGTTACATAGTTTGACATTCATTATCGAACTCCGGATGAACTCTGTATAACATGAAGCTGATAAAATTCAACTCTATTTGTAACCACCTCATGTTTTCTTTACATTTCAGTAATCATTTATTTTAGTGATTATATGAAAAATATTATTATCTTTTTTTCTTTCAAGCGTGATGGAATGAAAGACTTTATGGCTTTTCTAGTGACAACTAATGGAATACATCTTGTTGATTTTTGGTTAGATTGTGAAGCAATTAAAATGATTTCATCTATGCAGAATTCAAGTTATGAAAGTATTAAATTAAAATTTACTTTATTACGGTAATTCATAAATCTGTTTTTTATTGAGATCATGAACTGATCAATGTTAGACAACTATTAAGAACCTGAAAGCACTAGATAGTTGCTTCGTCCTAGTATGGAACTTCTCGACAGTGCGTTTTCACGATCCCGCATACAGAAATAGAACCCAGGACATTCGGTCTCGCGCGCGAACGTTTAACTTCCAGACCACTGAGCCGGTATTCAACTGTGTACATGTCTAACTTCAACCACTCCGTCATATTGCGCGATCATCTTCCATTGTCTGAGGTAGATACTTGTCTCCATCTGACATGGATTAGATTCATTGGTCACGGCTTCTCACTAGAACTTCGAGAATTACCTCCCGAAGCCAGTTACTAAGGAACACATGATATGTATTGGTATAGGTTTATGGAGATTGTTGACTTTTTATTGATACCATGAAGATCAGATCATTGAAATCAGTGCTTACAGATTGTTAATGGTCGTCTAACATTGATCCATCCATCATCTCAATCAAACCTTAACTTTATCCATAACCCTATACTGATAGTTTACGATTTATTTAAATGAAAGAGAAAAAAACGTTTCAAAAATTCTATACAATCAGTTTCCTTGATAAATCTAAACGGTTGTAGAACGACAAGGTTTGCAGAGTACAATGAGTCCATTCTATTTAATGGTCCTCCGATCAGTTGGAAACAGCCTGAAATTACAAAAGCTACTATGATTATAATTATAAACAAAGGTCTAATTTACTTTAGTCGGTGAATTTGAAATGAACGTTATCTTGTAAACGTTACATAACAGATACCTCTGCACAATTGAGTAAAATATATATTTGGTTGGTTTCTTAATTGTTTTAAATGTATATCTGTTATTGACTATATCTCTATTCTCTATCAGGTGAATGGTGACTGCATTTATGAAGGCTTTATTGTCTTTTAAGCATAGGTTACTCGAAAACTGATTAGTAAACCTGGTAGAAATATTTTTTTCTGCCGTTCGTGTTTACCTGCTGCCCTTTACTTACCTACTTATTTACTCCTGTTACTTCCCCCCATGGACGAGCATAAGCTGCCTACCAGGGTTCTCCAGGTAAATGTAAATTCATATATGAATTTGGAGGTGATATTGAAAAGAACCATCTGAAAATAGATGCCCAAAAATAATTATTCTGAAATCTAGAAAGGAATATCCTAAAAGTCATAGACAACCGATTGTTTTCAGGAAACTTGTCACTATCTATATTTAATTTAGAGGAAATAAAAGTTTCAGGAAGAATTAATGAACGAATCCGGATGTCACTGAGAAAAAGCTTTCCTAATGTTCAGTTTTTCTCACTATCTAACATTAGTTATTCGTTAAGCCAATCAAAAGTAGATCAATACGCTTCTGATGTTAGAGTTGTATTATTCATAAATAATAACTTTTCCATACTCATAAACCAGATAATGTCTTCAAATATTCTTATTCCCCAGAGGGAAATAAAGCACAGAGTGTAGTAATCCTATTCGTTATATATGTATGTTATTGTTCACTGTAATCTATTAGTTAATAATATATTCCATTCAGTTACATTTTAGTGGCCCGGGATCTGATTCTAATTAGATTGTATGAATGTTATTGAAGTACACATGTCGTCTATCCTCTTATAAAATTATCAACTTAATTCGCGTTAGTGTATAACGGAATGAAGTTTTGAATACGTACATTTTGTATACATTGATCTGGGCAGGAAATCAGAGGGACGAAGGGAAGAGAGGAGAGCGAAGCAAAATGACACGCGGTGGAGGTGTATGATCCAACTCCCACAGTCTAGATGAATTGGTTAAAATGCTGCGGTTGGTTATGCTCGGGTCGTGGCTTAATCGACATCTTGAACGCATATTGCGACTACGGGATATCCTGTGGCCATGTTTGTTCGAGGGTCGGCTTTTCATCTATCACGGTGCACAATAAGTCATGGATTGGGTGAGTGCCTGCCGGCGTGTATACCTGCATATCAACGCGGGTTGCTGGTCAAATGCTCCGTCCTAATAATACGGGCCACCAAAACATTAATTATAAACAGTCTTCTAACCAGCTAGGAATTAAGAAAAACTATCCACTATATCTGATTTGTTTAACAACTTTAAATACCAAGACTCTTTATTCAGGAGCGTTTATGTGATCAAATAAATGTATGAAATATTCACATTTTAACACCGTATCACTCGTCACCAATATAATATAAACTAAACATTTGATGGTTAAATTGAGCGCTATACTCCACTTAACTATTATTTGAACCACTTAATCGAATAGAAGCTAACAACTAGGTTTCCTGTATTCACTGTAAAAACTCTCAATTATAAACTATAGCTGACGAAAGGCATTCATAACTACTTAAATAAACTAAAATAACAACAAAGTCTAAATAAGATGGATTGTGGCTAGTAGTGGAATCTAGGACGCGCGTTTCGTCTTATTTGAGACTCGTCAGCTGAATGTACATGGGAAGATACAAGTAAACAACATCTAGTGAACACAGTCTATAGTTTGATTTATATAATCCTTCATCATCGTTTTTAATGTCTTTCTTTATTGACCTTGAAAATCGATCAAAATCACTTCGTTATTTTAGGAATTGCTCAATCTCATCTCTATATTATATTCTTACCTAAATATAATCAAGATCTAAATTCACTTAGTATTATTTGCTTGGATCTTCCAATTGTTATTAAGGACTGTAATTGATCAGTTTCTTATTAGCATATGTGCATCCTGTACGAACTGTCTCAATATTGCCTTAAGTCACAAGCTTTATAAGCAAAAATAGAAAGTGGCTAGCAGTGGAATTCAGGATGCACGTTTCGTCCTACTTTGAACGCGTCAACTGAATGTACCTGAGAAGATAGATACAAGTAAACAATACTATGTGAACAAAATCTATCGTTTGATTTATATGATCTTTTATTACAGTTTTTCTTGTTTGGTATCTGTTGTTTAGTGATCTTGAAGATCGTTACCTTCTTCAATTAACATCTAAAGCACGTGAAAAATTATTTACATCAATAAATACAATTTCAGATTATTTTTTAACAAATCGCCATGATAAAAATAATAATCCTAATGAATCTTATTTATATCAACTTGGTAATATGATGTTTGATTGTGTACAATATGATTGTTTACGTCGTTTAAGATATTATTGGTTACCAAGATGGTTATTACATTGGGAAAGAATAATCAATAATTGTCAATTTTTACCAAATCAATATGGTGGTTCTAATTTATTTTATATACCATCATATTGTTCATTAATTAGATCAAATCACACATCATCATCTAATGCATGTACAGAAAATGTATCAATAAATAGTTCTGATATTGAACAAGATAATGATCTTGATCTTATGGATCATTACAATCATCATAATGATCATGATCCTAATGATCAATATGAAGAATATCAATCTAATGAAGTATTTAAAGATAATGATACTACTGTAAACGGTCATTGTTTATTACAAACAACTGAAAAAACAATAAAGGTATCTAATGATGAAAAATCCTGGAATAAAGAAATCTATGATCTAATTATTAAAAATGCTTTAACAAAAAATGGTCTTATTCAATCAGATCATAATAGAGACATATTAAGAAATATGCCAAAACAACGTTTATTATCATATGCTCCATCATCTACATTGAATTCATCTCATAGAAATATAAAATTATCTCGAATGTCCAGTAGTACTATTACAACCAGTACTACCAGTACTACTACAACTAAATATACATCAAATATACCATTCTTTAAACGATTAAATATATCATGGACAATACCCTATAATCCAAATGATGTGATTGGTTTAAAATTATATCCTGGTTTAAAATGGGAACATTTAAAAAAAATCAATAATTGTCAATTATTATCCTCCTCCTCGATACAAATGGATATCATCAATAATTCAATCAATTATAATCATTCCATTATAATTGATTCATTGATATCTACATTAGGAATAAATAATAGTGATCATCTTAATGAGAATCATAAAATGACATCATCATTTAAACAAGATTTCATGAATAAGAAAAAGATGGAATCTTCTTCAAATAGGGAAAAATTAATTTCGTTCATACATTCAAAAGAAAAGAAAAGTTCAGTGGAAGAAATGTTAAAGAAAAAATGTTTAATAGCAATACATGGTGATGCAGCATCTGGTGGTCCATTTCAATTTTATTTAGAAAGGTAAATTTGGGCAAGACTTTGATTTATGGACGAGCCAATCAGAAGCGTTTTAAAGATTTCAAGGTTACAGCGCCAACTTCAGTGCTTAATGCTAACATACGATCGGTCCACAGGGAATTTTGTACAAAATGTGATAATTGAGCGGCTATAACAAATAAAACGGCGAGACTATAATTTGTGGACGAATCAATCAGGTATAAGATAATAGATCTCGGATTTTAACGCGAAAACCTTTCATCCATTTGGCTAAACAGATTTCTGGCATTATAGCTGATGTCAGTTCGTGATGAAAACCCTATATATATATGGTTTTTAACTAAGGCAAATTGTGACAATTATCGCGAACTGGATAATAAAAGCACTAGTAACACTGGCTGCAGCCAGGTACTACAATATATACGGATGTTTGGAGAGCGTACAGACTCCTACATAGGCTTGGTTATGTGCATTGTGTCGTTATCCACAAGTAGCATTTTGTGCACTTTACAATCGGAGTGCACATAAACAATATTGAAGCTGTGTAGTAGAGGCTGAAAGAGTTTTCGAGACTTAATCATGGCTCCGGAGGCCTACTATTTCTACTGCATGCATTACGATTTTAGATCCTCTGAACGCCTTTCCAACCTTGACAAGTTTTTGAACCACGTATAAGAAGTTTATCCACTTTATTTCCATGGTTTTGTATCACATATTTTTACTCTATAATTTCTGTTTGCTGACTGGCTAATATTTCTCAAGGTCACTTAAGATTCGTTCTAAGTTCGTTCATAAATTAGAGTCTCGCCGTAAATTTGAAGTAAATGTAAGGTATATACATGTTATATTGAAGATTGTGAATAGGTGTAATGACAAAGATTATTACTTATATTCACTTGATATTTTGTTTACTTGAATCTTCCTATGCGAACTGTTTCGATAATGTCTTAGATTATAAGCATTAGAAGCAAAGATGAATTGTGATTAGCAGTAGAATCCAGGATGTGCGTTTCATCCTATTTGGGACTCGTCAACTAGATGTACCTACATCTTGGAGTTGATGTCTCCTCCGTCACTTGATCTCAGTACCGTTCGCTTCAAACGTCATCACGTTATCCATAACATACAAGCAAATAATATCAAGTGAATTTAAATTTCACCTCATTGCACAAGCAGGTGGCTATCAAGACTTAGTAGCTGAGTGGATAATGCGAAGGCGTTTGAAGAGAATGGTGTTGGGTTTGAGTCCTGCAGTAGACATAAACTCTGAGATGCAGGTATATCTAACTGAAAAGTCCCAAATAGGACGAAACGCACATCCTGAATTCCACTGCTAGCCACTATCCATCTTTGCTTATAAAGATTGTTACTTGTTGATCAAGTAATGCAAACCAGTTGGTGATAATAACTGTTAGAGATATTTTCATGAGTAATTTTCTGGTTAGCGCTTTTTTAGCGAGTTAGTTTTCTACGGGATAGGGTCGTTTACCCCATGCCCAACCCTCCTCCTTTATCCGGGCTTGGGATCGACAGTAGCCCCAAAGGGGCTCTACGCGTAGCTATATTTTTATGAAAGTGCCATAATATTTAAACTTGAAGTACATTTGATTAAAAAAAGACGTTGAGAAAAGCTGGATAATATACGGTAGTAAATTGTTTCAATTTACCATAAAACTCTACATACAAAACTGAAAGTCAATCACTACGACAAAGTATTATAAAAAAAACTTTAAGGGCATTTATTTCGAATTGAGATCATGAACCGATCAACGTTACACTATTATTAGAAATCTAAAAGCACTGATAACCGTTTCTTTTTAATATAAGGCTCCTAGACATACACCCATGTTGGGAGATGCAGACTACTCAGTTACGGTCCTCACGACGATCGTAATCAATGGTTGGAGACTGTGGGTGACATGGCTCAGAATCGATCACAATGGCGTCGGTGTATATGCTCTCTGTCTTCCTTTAAACTATCAGATTAAAATCGCTTCATACCTTTCCTTCTATCAACTAATTCTTTCTTCCTGTACTATATCCTTATACAAAATCCTTATTTTATATATTTCCACCTCTGAATTAACTACTTTTATGAATCCGGTGTCCATCTTGTTGTGTTAATGAAGTATGGGAACTTGGACCGATGCATATATGTGCCTGGTCCTACATTGTAGCCGACTAAATGACCGACTGAGACTTATACCCAGGACCTTCGATCTAGCGCAAACGCTTAACCTTTAATACATTACACAATGTTATTTGTTTAAAATGATAAACTTTTGTAATTCTTACATCATACATCACCTTACTTTTTTCTAATTTCATATGGAAACTTATTCACAGAAATGGTTTAGAAAGACAAAATCGTATACTTGGATTTTTACAAGCTATTTATGATTATTCTAGACAAAATTTAAGTCTAATGGCTAATCGTTTTACTAAACTAACAAAAATTTGGTATATTGTAAATAATTTTCTAAGATCAAATAGTCGTTGGAGTATAGGTAAGTTCTTTTTATTATTATTTAATACCATTGTTGATTTTAAACATTGTATTCATTCAATTCAAGTTGTACATACTACTGTTGTGGTGTGTGCTACTTATATTGACATAAGTAGTAGATGATGTTAGTCAGGAACAGAATGTCCGGCAGCAGAGAGACAAGAGGATCAAACAGTAAAGAATAGAAACAGAATGCAATTTGTATGAAAATGCAAGAACAATGAAGTCTGAGTCATTATGAGACAATCGATGGACATTTTGCAAATTACGTATTTACTATTTGATTGTTAGATTTTATTAACAAGTCCTGCCATTTTGTGTTGAATACATTCGATTGTCCCCACTGGTGTTCTTGTTCACTAAACTGTCATTATGATTCTTAAAATACACCTTGGAAAGATTATTATCTATAACAATTGGTCAGTCAGTTAACCAGTCAACAACAACGTAAAACTTCGTATGTACGTACATCAGTTCAAGTTGACATACCACATTTGCACAGAGATACAATTGGCAATTCAAATCCCATAGCCGTAGACGTAGTAAGAGTATAAGTAGTAATCGTAAAAATTAGCGTTTGAAGATGTTATTCAAGGAGTATAATACAGTGAAATAAATTTGGAAAGAGAAAAAGAAAAGTGACATGAAGAATTCAGAAGATTAGAATTTATGAGAATACAAAGAGTGGATGCACCTGTGCCATATCAAATTATTTTGAGTCATGTCATTCAAGGTCTCTAACGATTGGTTGCTATTGTCTCGCAGATCCCAACCAAGTAGTCTACATCTACCAACATGGTTCAGTCCACTTTTCAGTGAATTCATGGATTTATGGCATTATTTCCAAAATGAAGTGATGAATTCATTGTTCGTTCAATATTCCATCATCTATTTCTTTAAATCAACAGTAATGTTTGATGTAAACATTGAATTAAAAACAAATGAGTTGATAGTCGTATGCAAAGACTTACTGACTGACTGACTTACTTACTTACTTACTTATTTACGCCTGTTATGGAGCATAGGCCACCGACAAGCATCCTCCAACCCACTCTGTCCTGAGCCTTCCTTCCTAGTTCGATCCAATTTTTGTTCATTTTTCTCATGTCTATCTTCATTTCTCGACGTAACGTGTTCTTTGGTCTTCCTCTTTTTCCTTTCGCCCTGAGGATTCCATTTGAGGGCTTACCTTGTGACGCAATTTTGTGCTCTCCTCAATATGTATCTTATCCACTTCCAGTTCTTCTTCCTGATTTCTTCCTCCTCTGGGATCTGTTTTGTTCTCTCCCATAGTCGGTTGTTGTCGATAGTTAAGGCTTTAACCACAAAAGATATTGTATAACTGTGTTGTTGTGAATTATGCAATCAGTATCTGTAATTTATAGCTATACTGTAAGTTATAAACAGATGACAATTATTCACAAAGAACTGAATTAATGATATAAAATCAAAAGTTAATAGTTAATGAAAACAGCTAGTTGGAGAAACTATAATTTATGGATAAACCAATCAGATTTAAGATAACAGATGTTAGATTTTGGCGCGAATTTCATTCATTCATTTGGTTTAATAGCATTTTTGGCATTTTAACTGATATCAGTTCGTGATGAAAACCTCAGATCTAATGCCTACCCTTAAGCATCAACTGTAAATTATCATTCTAATTCCTCACACTGGTTTATAACTCTCATTAAGTCCTAGTTAATAGATGGATATTCTCAAGGTCACTTTGGGATCGCTTGAAGGTTGACCATAATTTATAGTTTCACCAAGTAAGTTGCTTTTATGTTTTTATGCAAAAATTTTGAAAAAAACAAATGACTTTTATTCTTTGCTACACAAAATGCACGATAGAAATATCTTTATATAGTTCTCATAATGCTTAAAATTGTTAGACAACGTTCTTTTTGCCATTACATGACAAAAGTGATTATTTCAATAGTTGAGATCACGAGTCAATTAAAGCTAGACCACCATGAAAAATCTGGATGCACTGAACTGCCGTTTAGTCATATTGTGGGACTCCTCAACAGTGCGCATCCACGAACCAGCTTAGCGGGTTTCAAACCCACAACCTGTCAGTCTCGCGCATGAGCGCTTAACCACTAGACTATTGAGTCGGCCGGCATCCAATGGTGTTAGTATTTAACTTCAACGAATACACGAAATTGAGCGACATATCCACCATTATCATCGGTGAGTTACTAACTCACAGTAGACCCGGTTGAATTCCACTGGTCACTGGTTCTCACTAGAAAACCAAGATATACCTCTTGAAGCCAGTGACAAGTGAGCATATGCGATAATGATAAAATTATTATATACTCACTCTTATATATATTCAGATTTTATCAACATGTGAATGTGGTGATTAGGAGTATTTGAATTATTATACAACCAAGGAATCCCAGAAACAGTGCACTTTAACCAAGAAGAACTAGATGAGTATGAACGAACGTATTCTATTGGAAATTGGAAATCATGCATTTATCAAATACATAGGAATCATTAGTTCGTACAAACACCACAGTGAATTAGTGATTGCTCCAGCTTACTTTGTTTATCGTAAACTTACAGAAAAAAAGTTTTATTAATGCTTCGATGAACAATAAGCTGGAATCTGAATTAAGTTAAGTTAACCTTGAAAGACTAATAATCTTGTTGAAGCCATCTAAATAGAACAAGTTTCACCCGATTCCGTTACAAAATATTTCTGTTTTCCACAAACTCCCTACTTATTAGCCAGAAAGTAGTTTCAAAATCACTTATTTATTGTAGAAATTGCTCAATCTCATCTCTATATTGTATTCTTACCTAAATATAATTAAGATCTAAATTATTTGTTTGTATCTTCTCATTGTTATTAAGAACTGTGATTGATCAGTCTCTTATTAGCATATGTGCATCCTGTGCGAACTGTCTCAATATTGCCTTAAATCACAAGCTTTATAAGCAAAGATGGAAAGTGGCTAGCAGTGGAATTCAGGATGCACGTTTCGTTCTATTTGGGACTCATCGGCTGTATGTACCTGCATCTCGGAGTTGATGTCCCCTTCGGGACTCGAGCCCAGTACCATTCGCTCCGAACGCCATCGCGTTATTCACAGTTTGTCAGACTGTCAGTCAGTAACAACGTAAGACCGGGCGCATACATGCATCGACCCATGTTCTCTACCACATTAGCACAACAAAATGAACACCGAATTCATAGAAGTAGCTAATTCAGTGGTGGAAATATATAAAATAAAGATTTTGTATAAGGATATAGTACAGGTAGAAAGAATTAGTTGATAGAAAGAAAGATGTGAAACGATTTTAATCTCATAGTTTAAAGGAAGACAGAGAGTGTATACACCTACTCGATTGTGATCGATTCTGAGCCGTATCACCAAGAGTTTCCAACCATTGATTGCGATAGTCGTGATGACCCCAACCGAGTAGTCTGCATTTACCGACATGGCTCAGACTATAAGTTATTGACTTCAAGCACAGATGTCACGTTTTGGTTTGGCGTTATCCACAAGATACAAGCAAATATTACCAAGTGAACATAAACTTCACCCTATCCACAAGCAGGTGGCTATGAGGACTCAGTAGCTAAGTGAATAACGCGATGGCGTTTGAAGCGAACAGTCCTGGTTTCGAGTCTTATAAAGAGCATCAACTCTAGAGTGCAGATACACCCAACCGACGAGTCTCAAATAGGACGAAACGCACATCATAGGTTCCAACGCTTATAATTAACATTTGTCTATCAAGATTAATTCTTACTAAAATTTCGGTAGATCAGTATCTGTAATATCTAAAACTATTAAATAAGTCATCATTATATATTAATTACCCGTTAAAATGTATCCTATCGTGTCAGATTAAATCCTCTTAGTTTTAACCTTTTAGTTAGAATTCACGAGGTAGCATAAATTTATTATTAGACATTCGAATATTGACTCGACTCATTATTCACACCTAAAACATTTGATATCATATATCATGAATCGCTTTATTTTCTTTATTAAAATCTAGTGATATCTAGTTTCCCCTTGAAGGTATCAACAAAATACTGTTGATACTATATGCTCTGGTCAAGTTGGTTTGTAAAAATGAACAACCAGAAGTAAACGATTTGATTTGGGCTTCTAAACTTTGTTCAACAATTGATTGATCACTGGATGGTGACCAGTTTTATGTGTATCAGGTCTTTCTTAGTACAGATCGAATTCAATCGATCAATATTTAATGTGGCCACTAGTCTAGATGAGTGGATATCGTGAGCACTATGTTACGACGTAAGATGGTAATAGGATGTAATCGACAAGAAACTCCATTCTACTAGATTCTATCCTATCTAATTCTATACATTCGCTTACTTGTTGCTTATTGTTTCATTCTAAAGAGATTTGATAAACAAATATAATATCTGGAGTAAAAAAAGATAACATAAATGTGATTAAACATTACAGTTAGATATCTAAAAGTCAGTAACTATTTGGTGACTGTTGGATTACTTACTTACACCTGTTACTCCCAATGAAGCATAAACCGCCGACCAGCATTCTTCAACCCACTGTATTCCTGAGCTTTCTTTTTTAGTTCTATCCAATCGTTGTTGGCATATATTCTAAAATATGCTTATGAACTCTTTCAATATCAAGTTCAGAACTATATAATCCGGCATTGAACTCACAAAAATATCAACACAATCATCATAGATACCATTTTCAAGTTTAATCTCAGATTAAACTTTAATGATAACTTATTAATTTTATTGCTTAATAGATATTGATTCATCATTAGTGAAATCAATCATTGAAGTCATTCAAGCCAAAAAAGATACAACTCCTGTTCAAATATTCGACACAGTGAAAAATATTTGTTTACATGAAATCTATCCATTTTGGATTGAATATATGAAATCTGATGCTTTTCAATTTGTTTAGTAAGCATTTTAGTATGAACAAAGTGGGTAGTTTTATGTATTTGTCCATTTAAATTAACTACTAATTGTTTGCATAATGAAAGATCTATCTGCTACACTGTTGTCCATGATTCAAGATTTGAAAGAAGTTATTTTACTTGATCCGATAAATTGATGGTAATGTTTGAGATATTAGCAGTGTATAATACATAGAATGAATTTCCAAGATTGGGTCAGTTCACTCAAGGTTGTTAACGTATGCCAGTAAGTGAAAAATTAAGCCAATAAAAGATCAGTCAAGTTATAAGTACTTGTGATTAACTAAGAAATGGCTTGCATATCCTAAATGTGAGACAAACATTATTGTTGGGTTAGTTGTCTTAGAGATAAACATTTGCACTCAAGTTTAGCGTACAGACAACCGGATCTGATTAATTAGTATAAGCTTCCTTTTCACTAAAGTAGTTGGTTGGGGTAGTTTATAAGAAAATTTTCTCATATTCCCTGTTAAAGCCGAGGTTGGGCAGAGCCCGCTTTCCCCCTCAATATGCTCCCACATGGCCACGTTCACACAACCACTGCCAGGGAAGTCCTGATCACTGCCTTCTTTCAGCATTACTATTGTTTAAGAAATTGAGAAGAATAAAAGCGAATGTCCGGCGCTTTAACTGGCTTGATTGGCAGATATGGAAAATCCACCTCGGGGATTTGGAAACCCGTGGTTCCAAACCGATCGTGCACATGTGCTTCAGTATCCTGAAGGAACAAATGACATATGAACCTATTGTTAGTCACCGGCTATCATGGGACTGCATCTCCTAACGCTGCTTTACTGTCTTGTGGATTAGACCTCTAGGTCAAAGCTCGGAGTACGGCTCTAAGGAAACAACTTGTTTAGTTTTGGGCACCCGGGAAGTGTTTTAGACCTCACACAAATTGATTGATTTGTGTGGAGCATATATATTTGGTACCTCCTTGTACCTATGTTTATGTGTTTAAATAAATAAATGAAAATCCCTATCACTATCAGACTTGGACATCGTACAAAAATCCAAATTGATTTCGACATGCCAGTAATGAACAGATGGCGATAAAAACTCAATGTAACTAGGTATCAATCGAGTCAAACATCATAGCTTCTTGATATTTTGATTTTAAATCTTTGATTGCACTCAATAGGAAGTACACTCACAAATAATAGATCATCACTATTCTGGAAAGTGAGATAAACTAATCGGGGATTCATCATTGTAGTGCAAGTAACATGAAGAAAATACTTTGAAGAAACTAACTACTATCGTAAAGTCTAGATTGCATATATTTGAGAGTAAATCACTGATATATTCCAACAACGTCAGAGAACTTCGTAGTGTTTCAAAGATTCAAACCAATAAGTATTTTATCCTCTCAGTTAATGATGTTATCACTGTATGGTTCTAAGTTTCCATTTAATCAAAGGAATGTACTACTTATCTAATTTAGATTGCTTTTGAAACATTTAAATAATTTATATTCGTCATATCAAAGACTTATGAAATTACAATCATTGATCATGTTACTAAATATATCCGACATTTCAGTGATAAAGATGTTAAATTATTATGTAAACAAGGTAACATTCCCACTCACTTGTTGCTAAACTTCGATTATCTTTGACAGTTATTTTAGTAACAATCTTACAATTAATTTTGAAAACAGTTAATCCCTGCCAAACCCTTTCATTTGACAATGTTGTCGACAAAGTTACAACTCATCGGCGCAGACAACCGTATAGATCTAATGTAACTGAGGGACGATCCCCCCAACTATTCATAATAACGGTATCAGCTAGCGTCACATCTTCGAATAGCAGTGATGTTGTAGCATCGGATCTCAGCTTGTTTAATTCGCTGTCCGTTGTTCGCAAACTCGACAAAGCATGGTAATAGATTCCGAAATCAAATGAAAACCTTCAGATGAGTATGAGACTTCCCAGATATCTGAAAATGACGTTTTATTCAGTAGATTTCCGAACTATTTTCTCCAGTCAGATACTCATTCAAGGAAGTGTCAGGGATAGACTGTCTATCTGAGCCACCTCAGAGTGCGTCTACCAGTTTATTTGCTCTTGTAGAGCAGGTTACATTAACCTTACAAGGCAAGGATTTGGTAAAAGAATATCTGAGCACTACCTTGCATGGTTATCTAAAGGGAAATAAAAATAGATCAACAGCTCAGTTCTTGAACACATTTCCAATTGAGGCTATAGTAATTCACCATTTCAAACTTAAACTCTGAGTACAGAAGAGTCATTTTCAATTTCTTATTCTCTCATAATCTTAGCACTCCTTTGAATTTTATAAGTTGTAAATGCTAATTCTTACCTTTTAGCTCTCCTTTAGCATTTATTAATCCGAACGACAAATGATGTAACAATCAGTTCTTTGTATTTTTAATCTGAGTTACACAGTTCCCGCTAATATATTCAAATGATTCTTTTTTTCTATAATTAAGCCATCTGAAATGGTTTAGCTCTTATGGCTTATGTGTGTTTTTACACAAGGATGATATCTGAATTAAGAGTACAACTAGAACTAAGCAACTAAATAAGTTTCACTGATTGAAATCACGAGTTAATTGAAGCTAGACCACCATGGAAAACCTGGAAGCACTGGACGGCCGTTTCGTCCTGTTGTGGGACTCCTCAGCAATGCGCATCCACGATCCCGCACCCCGTGAGATTCAAACTCAGGACCTATCAGTCTCGCGCCAGGCACTTAACCAACTAGATCCCTTCTGATAACTAAATAAGTACCAAATTTGATATGTTATTATGAAGAATTTTGAATTAGTTCATCGGTGATAACCCAGAACTGAATTTAAGTTAGTACTTGTCGGTACTTGTACATCTTATAAGTATTACCTCGATATAGTTTTCTTTGTTCAATTTTTTATAGAATAGATGAATTGTAACTAGCAGTGGAATTTAGAATAATGAATTTCATGCCATATTCGTGGCCATTCACAAATGATGCATTTCAGTCAAAAAAAGACTGACTAAAATTCTGTCGTGAAAATCAACACTGAACTAATTCCAACATGTAGTAATGATAATTTCATCATCATACACTTTGAACAGGTTCGTACTTATCTAGATTCAGTAACTCAATGGATAGTGTGTTGACGTTTGAAACGAAATTTGCTGGGTTTGATCTCCAATGTGAATATCAGCATTCGGATTCAAGCACATCCAAATGACGAGTCCCAGTGAGAATGAAACGCGAGTCCTGGGCTTCACTGCTTGTCAGAATCCTCCTATTATATACAACCAATAACTTGGTTGATCATTATAAAAACAATTATTACTTACTTATATGTATATATACATTGAATCCATACTTCAATCAGTCAGCTACAACGTAGGACCAGGTACATATGTGCATCGACCTAAGTTGCCATACCTCATTAACACAACAGTATGAACTCCGATTCATAGAAGTAGTTAATTCAGTGGTGGAAATATATAAAGTAAAGATTGCATATAAGGATATAGTACAGGAAGAAAGAATTAGTTGATAGAAAGAAAGATGTGAAACGATTTTAATCTCACAGTTTAAGGAAAGACAGAGAGTGTATACACCGATGCCATTGTGATCAATTCTGAGCCATGTAACCCACAGTCTCCACTCATTAATTACGATAGTCGTGAGGACCTCAACCGAGTAGTCTGCATTTACCACCATGGCTCAGACTAGAAGTTAGTGACTTCAAGCACTGATGCCACGTTTTGGTTTGTCCGCCCCTAACTTTCTTCCAACCATCTCCAACGCTAGTCAGCGCACCATACTTGATATTTAATGATTAAAAACAAAATTACAGAACATCACAGTAAATCTGAGAACCAAACAGTAAATAATTCATTTGCAAAATGTTGATCAATCGTCTCGGGCTTCATTGTTCTTTCGTTTCCATACCAATTATTCTTTGTTCTCCTTCTCTTTTCTTTGATCTTCTTAACCATTTACCTCCAGGTATTTCACTTTCGATTGATGATACATACTACTTATATCTGTCGAAATCCGGAGCACACAGTACAATGATACTTTACTGAAAAGTTTATGAACGATTATTGATTGTTTTCTATATATTTTTTTGTGTTTTTTCTTTGTAAAATTTCAGTGCTTCACATAAAAGTAAAAATGAAGATTATATGATGCCTAAATCATCGAATGATTTTGATGTACTGTTGGATGAGAATTCTAACTTGATAGTACAACGTAAACCAATAGAAATGTAAGATGATAGATACCTACCAAAATATATTGTCTGTATTTCATGTTAATCATTATTTTTCAAATGAAGTAAATTATTTCATTTTGTAGACGGTATTCGTCATGGATTTGAAGTGATATTCAATGATACCTACAGAATAAAGTGATCTTCACAAAGTAATACATTTAAAACATTAGTTACTCACTCACTAATGATAATTGAACAAAAACTGATATGACTCAATGTAAAGAACATAATATAAAGACTTCAGATGGAGATGTAGGATACAATAAAGATGCCTGAATACATTGGTTTCGATTTGTTTTATTAGCATGGATCAATCGTTAGATTATAATAAACTGAAGTATGTAACACTTGACACTAAATAGTCAACAGCCTAATGCATAAACATAAGATACATTATCATAGGATTATACTACTTTAACCAATCAATTAGTCGATTCACTGAGTTATATGATAAATCCCTCATAACAATCAGTTAAAGATGAGTATTTGAAGTTCTATTATTAATTCGTAACCAGTAGAACTTAGTGTAATAAGTAATACTGACGTTACCAATAAGTTTTAACGATCATCACGTCATATCACAAATTGACTGGAATTGAAAACTTGTACTATTAGATTTCAACTCAATGGTTCTAAATTAAGTAAATAAATAATTTAGGGGATTTTTATTTTGTCTTAAGTGTAACTTCTCGTTCGAGTTATTAACTATCATATTGTAATGAACGAGAACACAAGTGGGGACAATCGACTGTACATGTAGTCAATACTTACTTACTTACTCCTGTTATTACCAATAGAACATAGGCCACCGACAAGCATTTTCCAACCCACTCTGACCTGGGCCTTCCTTTCTAGTTCGATCCAATTGTTGTTCATTCTTCTTATATCTGTCTTCATTTCTCAGCGTAGTGTGCTCTTTGGTCTTCCTCTTTTCCTTTGGCCTTGAGGATTCCATGTAAGGGCTTGCATTATGACTCAGTTGGGTGTTTTCCTCAATGTGTGTCCTATCCAATTCCAGTGCTTCTTCCTGATTTCTTCCTCCACTGGAATCTAGTTTGTTCTCTCCTACAGTAGGTTGTTGCTGATAGTGTCTGGCCAACGAATCTGAAGTATTTTGCGTAAACAACTGTTAATAAACACCTGTTTCTTCTGTGAATCATAAACAATAACAAAAGATTTGGAATACATTGTATCGATCCAAGTTTCCATATTTCTTATCAGTACAATAAGAGGAAACCTAAAAGAAATGTGATAATTATATCAATATTACTTGTGAAGTAACTATAGAAAGTATAACCCCGAAAGAATAAATGTATGAAATCAGAATGTCCGGCAGCAGAGACATAAGAGGATCGACCAGTAAAGAATGGAAACAGAATGCAATTTGTATGAAAATGCAAGAACAATGAAGTCTGAGTCATTTTGAGACGATTGATGGACATTTTGCGAATTACGTATTTACTATTTGATTGTTAGATTTTATTAACAAGTCCTGTCATTTTGTGTTGAATACATTCGATTGTCCCCACTGGTGTTCTTGTTCACTGCATTAGTATTCAGAGAAATATTATTATTTATTTATTTATTTATTTATTTATTTATTATTATTATTATTATTATTATTATTATTAGAAGCTTTATTCAACATTATATTTTTGGTACAATATAGAATTCTCAGCATAAAGTATTTCAACAAGTTTCCTTTTCTTATACCTTGATCTATTGTGACGATAAATTTTGAATGATGACCGGTTAGATGTTAGGAGTTCGGTAATCCACATTTGATTAATGTTCATTCGTTTCAATGCATATTGCCAGCCACCATGATGTCGCTGATTGTACCTTTTTGTATCACGTATAGCGAAAGGTTGTAAACGTTTCATAAACGCTCCTGAATAAATTGTGCGCACAATAGACATAATGATGTGCTAAAACAAACAACAAAACAGATAACGATGAAATATCTAGATTGGAGGAACAGGTAGCCCAGATAATCAAGCAGGCCGCCACAAAATATCTAGAACAAGTTTTGAAATAGTGACTATCAGCTATTCATATTTATCCGTAAATGTTTACAACCAATCTTGCTCCTATGTTATCTCTTTTCAGTCAGTCAGTCAGCTACAACGTAGGACTAGGCACATATATGCATCAGTCCAAGTTGCATATCAGGACATAGTACAGAAAGAAAGTTATGAAGCAATTTTAATCTCATACTTTAAGGGAAAACAAAGAGTGTATCTTGGAATATTCAGTGTCTGAATTCCTTTGTAATCATCTTTTATTACTTTAAAGGATAGAAAAGGAAAAAAATGAAAATATCATAATCACCTTGTTAATACTCCTAGAGTTCTCCAGTAATTAAATTTGTGATAGGTTGTAAACTTTTTTTTGAAAGTAGGTAACTACAACCTGTTGGTAGACATAATTTTGATGGGGTTTTGTTCTCTGAGATGAATGGTTTGGTCGTGGAGCTTTCGTCGTTTTTCTGAAGGGAATCATCAACACAAACTTCAGGTCGCTAACTAAAATATGTCTAAAACAGGTAGATTTATGACAATAAATTTAAACACAAGCCTGAATAAGTATGATGACCTGGAAGCTTAAGCAATCTGTCACATATCGATCGTAGAGTCTGTGCCTTCCCAACTGACTCATCCCAATAGTCAGATTTACCTAAGCATATCTGATGCCTCCATTTTAAAATCATCTTTTTCAAAACTGCTTCTATATTAGCCTCTATAGCATGTGTATTCAGTACATATCTCAACCATCCAAACCAATGAACAATCCAGTGTTTCTTATCTCTACCTAAAAATCTATATTTCGCTTGAGGAGCATCATTTCTCTCAAGCTAACAAATACTGATTGTTAACAAGTGCCAACTAGTATAGAACATAAATCTAGGATACCCTAACCGTTATGAACGATTAACAAACAGTAGTAAATGTATTTTACCACTGATTCAATGATATAATCATATATTTTCAATGGATATACTTGAATTGATTTGAACTGTTACTTATCATTGCAAAATTGAGCTTACATATATTAACATATAATACGGAATTCCTAAATTTGTTTTCTCTCTCAAGTCCACCAACAAATACATCATCTGATCAGCTTAAACGGTCATATAGTTGGGATCATTTAACACCTTCCGAAAAAGAAGAACGTATTCGAATGAAATTAGAACAAGTTAGAATAACTGAGAAAGAACGAAGAAAAGCTGTTCTAGCTGCACGAAAACGTCAACGTGAAGCATTAAAACCTAAAGTATAATATATATACTTAAAGATAGCTTTATAATTTTTTATGATATTGCATTCTTAGACCTTAATAATTTAACTGTATGTATAAGAATATTACTTAATTAAAATTATCGATATGGGGATTTATAGAGATTGCAGCATTTTAACAATTGAATTCACGAGTCCATCTAAGTTAAACCACCACTGAAGACCTAAAAGCGTTGGAAAGCCGTTTCACCCTAGTATGGGTCTCCTCAGCAATGCACATCCATAATCCCGACATTAACACTTTTAAATGCCAGAACATGAGACCAAAGGTCCTGGGTTCGAGTTTCGCATATGGGGTCATGAATGGGCACTGCTGAGGAGGTCCATACTAGGAAAAAACGGCTGTCCAATACCCTTCGCACTCTCAGCCATACCAGGGAATTTGGGGAGAACAGGAGAGCTGTTTCGTCTTATTATGAGACTCCTCAACATTGTTTATGCACGACCGAAATTGCAAGAATCGAATCAGAGAATATATTTCAGACGAGTGAAATTAATAAACTGGTAGAGTCAGCCAATTATCAGTAAAAAATTGATAAGATCATTTTGCTAGTCGAACGAGACATCTTTTGAAGTCAGTCTAGAAAATACAACCTTAAAACTAGATCTGGTATTTTTTTATTCTTGAATTTTGTGATACAGTGATTGATCATGAAGTCAGATAAACATATCTGCATTATGTGGAACATGAGCAGGGTGTATTATCAGTTTTGATGGAACTGATACTCTCAATGATGTTTAAACCCTTGCCATCAATCTTCACAATATAAGTTACAACTCAGCGATTTGTGCCACGATTAATCACTCAACATTACAAGTATTGCACGTTGTATTACAACTTGATAAATAAGAATACTATTAGCACTAATAACTTGACAAACAACATTGTTTACTAATTAGTATCAGTTATTTCAATAACTTATAAATGTTTTGTTTCAATATTGTCTTTTATTTTCAGAAACAAGACAGCTCATTATCAGGATTGGTCAAGTTAACCGAGGTTCGCTTTATTTGAATTTAAGTTGGGTTTTTTTTCAATAAATCCGATACCTTTTTAACATTGATAATTAAACACTGATAGGACATTGGGTTCAAAATTGCCGGTTATCAAGTTAATCTTCCTTGTGAAACATATATATATACGATACTTGGTAGTAGATGAAAACAATCGACAGGCAGACTTACATTTCTAAAAAAGGTCAGTTGCTGTTAGTATAGAGATGTGAATATTGTTGAGTTTTGATTAAAATCATGGATCGAATAATGTTAGACCACCATTGAAAACCTGGAAACACTAGACAGCCATTTCGTCCCAGTATAGGACTCCACAGCTTTGCGCATCAACGACCCTGCACACGAGGCTCGAACCTAACACCTTTGATCTCACGCGTGATTGCATAACCTCTAGACCACTGAGCCGGAATCCAACGGTGTTAATTTTTAACTTCAACCAATCCATGATATTGCTTGAGAGGCGATTCTCGGAGTTGTAGTGAGAAACCGTGACCAGTGGAGCTAGTCAATACTGAGTGTGAGACAGGTACCCATCAATAGCAATGGAAGATGGTTAAAGTTAGACATTAACACTGTTGGATCCCGGTTCCGTGGACTGGAGGTTAAGGGTTCGTGCTCGAGATCTAAGGTGTGAGGTTTGAGTCTCTTGTACAGGGTCGTTGGTGCGCAAAGCTGATGAGTCCCACAATAGGACGAAACTGTCGTCCAATGCTTCCAGGTGTTCCATGTTGATCTAGCTTTAATTAACTCATGAATCCAACTATTAAAACAAACAAGATTAGATAACTTTTTGAAAGAACTAAGTGGCGGAAACAAGTAACACAGACGTTCGGATTTTTCCTGATCTTATTTATGTTGTTATATCAAGAATTCAACGTGTTCTTTTTGTCTGAAATGCCGCTAAAGTTACTCACATACATTAGTACAAACAATGTAGTCTGATAGCTAATTGATGTTTCTGCAAATAAAACTAAATGGTCGGGCACTTTGAAATACATTCTGGTGATTTCAACTAGAAGAATAACGAGAGTTTTAGTCAGTATAAGGTTGCGGAGTTTAATCAGTTATTGATTGAGATCTTCAACCGATTGATGTTAGACCACCACTGAAAACCTGAAAGAACTGGACGACCGTTTCGTCCCAGTATGGAACTCCTCAGCAGTGCGTATCCATGATCGCGCCTCACGAGATTCGAACCCAGGACCTATCGGTTTGGCGTACGAGCTCTTAACCACTAGATCAATAAGCTGGTTGGCATTCAACAGTGTTATTGTCTAACTTTAACCAATCCAGGTTTTCCATGTTTGTCTAACTTTAATTGAATTATGAATTCAACTATTAAATTCTTATAATATCCACAAAAACCCTTTTCTGAATATAATTTGTTTTGTTATTGTTAATGTTCACAATTCTTTTTATTATCTACAATCAAGTCTGATGAAGAAACTCGATTAATAAAACAAACAGAAAATCAATTAGAATCACAATCAAGAAGAATATCAAATCAAGTATTCAACTTGAAATCTATGCTTGATAATAAATTGTAAGTAGTATATAAACATAATATTGTAATTTCTCTGTTTTTAGAAAGTTCATAGGTCAGAATATAAATTATAAGATATGATCCTTTAATGTGACTAGATAGATTGATCATTAGTACATAATAGCATTTCAGACTGTTTACTATGGGAGCAGTTATATTGTAATGAACGAGAACACAAATGGGGACAATCGGATGTTTCTGAATATAAAATTACTAAACATCTTAGTAAAATCTAAGAACCATACAGTAAATACTTCGTTTGCAAAATGTCAATCAATCATCTCAGAATTCATTGTTCTTTCTTTTCCACATTAATCTCCTTCAGTTCTCGTTGTCTTTTCTTTGATTTTCTTAACCTTCTGCCTACAGGCATTTCACTTTCAATTGCCCCCAAATGCCCTGGCACGGCCGAGAGTGGAGAGAGTCAGCTCTCGAACTACTCTCACATGACCACGGTCATACAATCACTGCCACGGAAGTCCTACTCACTGCCTTCTCGTAACATTGTTGTTGTTTACGGCGCTTTAACCGGGTTGGCGGACATGACGGACCCACCTGCTGGAGTTGGGAAACCCTGATTCCAAACCGACCGTGTACATAGGCTCCAGAATCGTAAGTGAATAAATGGCGTATGAACCAATTATTGGTTACCGGTTACCATGGGACTGCATCTCCTTACGTTACTCCACTGTCTTGTGGACCAGACTTTTAGGTTGAAGGCTCCGGTTATGGCCTCATAAGAAAACCAATTGTTTCGGTTTGCTCAGCCGAGCCGTATCCCAATCCCCACACAAATCGAATGACTTATGTGACGCATATCTATTTGGTGCCTTCTTGTTCCAATATTTATGTGTTTTAATAAAATAAATAAATAAATAATATCTCTCGAGATCAGTAGCACACACCAAAATACTACCTTGTCAGAATATTGACTTATTCGGCTCTATTTCCTATAGGACCAGTGACCTTATTATCTAGTATCGTAGCGACCCTCTCTAAATCAACATCTCAATGATTGTGAGTACTGATTAATGAATCTTAAGGCTCATTGAGTTATGAGACCCATTTAATCAAAAGATGAAGACAGCCAGCAGATTATTACTCTATTTTACCCTACACATTCATAACTCAAAATTCATATCACAATATATATCGAACACCTAACGGCTAAGCAACACAAGTTAGTAATTACAGTGTGTGCATAACTCAATCATAACTGATATAAAACGGAGCAAAATGATAATTTAATAATGGCAAATTTCTGCTCTATCCTCGTCTATCATTCTTATACTTAAAAGAACAGGGAACCATTACAATTACCTATGATGCGAAGTACTAATACCAAGACTGGTACAAGTGAATATTTATTAAACTCCAGACATAACGATAACCCTAGTCAAAAATACACTCTTTTATACGTTGATTGTACACCCATTTTAATAATTAATGGTGAGACTATAATTTATGGACGACCTTTGAGCGACGTTAAAGTGACCTTAAGAATGCCAACCTACTGACTAGGACTAAATGTGGGTTATTAATCAGTGTGGAGAATTGGAATTTTGATTTACAGTTAATGGTTAGGGTTAGGCATTAGATTTGAGGTTTTCATCACGAACTGACATCAGTTAAAATGCCAAAATCGCTATTTAGCCAAATAGTAACACGTGTAATCAGCAGTCACTGAGAGGCGGGGAAGACCAGAAACCACAACACACAATGTTAACCGAGCACTTCACACTAAGAGAGAGAACACGAAATGAAGCCACCAGTCGTTTATTTTGAAAAGTAAAATTCGCGGGTTATGTACAGAAGGGAAAGATAGTTTACAAAACAGTCTTCTGAGTCATCCTGTAGGTTCAGTGCATGCAGAGCTTGCAGGACCTATCAGTCTCTATTGTGGACTGATTGTGCATGAACTCCTTTTGAGTCTAAAATCTGATTCTTCCTTGTCAATCGCATATTGTATCCGTGTATACCATATGATCTAGAACAATAGTCTAACTAATTAGTGTGCCCAGTTGGATTAATCAATTGACTATATGATAATATCCTATCTCTATTCTGAAGTATGATTGTGTTGCCACAAGCATTACAAGATTCCGTCTTAATCAAACTCATAACATACACCTACATTATTAATTTAGTTGTGATTTTGTTCACTAACTTTTTTTGTGGTATATTGAGCACTATTTTGTGTTTTTATGAATCTACATGTTACCATGGCAACAAAAAACACAGATTAATTTCAATGTTTCAAGAATGGCTTAAAACATTGGACCAATCAGAATTCAATTATAATTCATCAAATAATTTAGCATTTATTTTAGAAGTAAATCAATATTTGACAATCACCAAAAATCAATTAAATATGGAAAAACTTAAACAGCGAATCGATAAAGCTAATTATATTTATGAGTAAGTTACTTGGATTATTTATTAATCAATATCAAAATCAATTCAAGATGTTGTCATCGTTTATGACTAATTAGATAAACAATATTAACAAATTCAAATTCTGATGGAGTTTTGTTCTTTGAGTTCGATGGTTTGGTCGTTCCTCTGGACGACATCGTCATCAGCAGCACAAACTTCAGATAGAAGTGAAGTATTCGAATTTCTCCACATGCGGTTCACAGCTTGTCCTGTACATCGTGATGTTGATTGGTTATTGTTGACCCTTAACATGTTATTGTTTACTTCTTTGTTTTGATTGTATCTTTCATTGGTTTGATTTTTGTTCCTATGTTTGTACATAATATTCCTGTATACATTTCCTGACCAGCCGTACTCATCATCAGAAACAAAGTCAAGTACAGAAATCAATAAAAGGATCACCCTACCATACATAAAAGGCATATTAGAAACGACAACAGGACTGCTGAAATCCTTCAGAATAGGTGTTGCACACAAACCAACAAAATCCCCACAATCAGTCTTATGGTAACCAAAGGATGAAATGATAAAAAAAGACAAATCAAACATCATCTACAAAATAAATTATGCCAACTGCGAACAACACTACATCGGACAAAGTGGACGCCCTCTTCATCTTCGCCTGAATGAATATCAATTAGCAGTCAAACACCATGGCATGTCCTCACTCATATCAATGCACATAGACAACTGCGGACACACACTCGACTGGAAAAATTTGGACATGTCGGATAGAGACAATTCCAAAAACACCACAGAATTTTTACAAGCATCGCACTCAGCTCAATCAGTAATCAACAAGCACGTTCAAATCGATCCAATTTATCAACCAATCACGAAAATTATGCACATACATAGGAACAAAAACCAAACCAATGAGAGATACAACCTAAACAATGAAGTCAACAATGACAGGTTTAAGGTCAACAATAATCAGTCAACATCGAGATGTACAAGACAAGCTGTGAATCACATGTGGAGAAATCCAAACACTTCACTTGTACTTGGACTTTGTGCTGCTGCTGATGATGTCGTTTAGAAGAACGGTGAAAGTTTAACGACCAAACCATCTAGCCTGAGAGAATAAAACTCCATCAAAATCATCCACCTGACCACAAATCTACTCCATCATCTCAAATTCAAATTCAGATTTGTGTAGTAAGGACAGAAGGCCTACAGTCTATGTTATTTCTTCTCTAGTATACCTCTGTAAGTGTTTAGTCTTCTCTTGAATTAGTTAGTTGAAGGAGCGGACACCACTGCTTCAGGTAACAGGTTCCAAGAATTGATGCCTCGGTGTGAAAACCTGTATTTCACGGGTAGTTTGTTCATTCTTGGCTTTTCTACTTACCTGCCATGTCCTCTGAGATGTCCCGATCTAGTGGGAAGAAAAAGAGAGAATATATTAAATTCAAAACCATTGCTTAGTATTCTGTGCATCAAAATCAGATCACCTCTTAATCTGCAATAAGACAGAGAAAAGAGTTCTAGTTTTTAACGCCACTTTTTTGTATGGTAAACCCTGGAGTTCTGGAATAGCACGAGTAGCCACCCTCTTTACTTTTCCGAGGATATCCGAGTCACCTTTCAAACAAGGGCTTGCAGCCTGAACGCAGTTTGCAAGTTTGGTTCTCACTAATTTTATTTATACTGTAGTCAAATGATAGTATCTTACTTGATGAATACTCTTCTTAAATTCCATAGGGTTGTAAACCCCTTATCTGCAACCTCCCGGCAATGAGCCCCGGTCTTAAGATCATGACTCACTGTCACCCCAAGATCTTTGTGAGACCGGACCACGAGTACAGGCACTTCCCCTATGCTGTACTTACTTACATTCCAAAACTTACAATTTAATAACGTGAGAGGTTTAGTGATCGATATTTGATAGATTGATCCAACTATCCCTTAGATTGGCTCTCAAGTACCTATTTTCATCGACAAAATGGTCGATGCTGACATTCAAGGCTTATCGCTAAGATTTTCGAGATCTTTTTTTCCTGAGCCACAAATAAGCGATTGAGATGAACAAAGATTAGTTTTTAGGATTTGAAATATATATATATATATATATATATTTGCATGTGTTCGATAGTCTTAAATGGGTCACTTTATATCTCACACCTTTCAGTATACTTAACCGTTTCATTTTTTACAGATTGATATCCGCTTGAAAACTATCAGAAAGCAGGAAACACTAGACAACTATTTCGTCCTGTTATAAGGTTCCCAAGCAGTATGCTTTCATAACCTCTCCAGAGATCAAACCTAGGACATTCAGATCTTTCAGAAAGCGCCTAATCAGTAATCTTAGGCGTTTTTAGCTCAGAAGTAGACAAATTGATAAATTTTCTTTAACTGAACAACTATATCACAAAATAATCTAATTGAACACTGAGGGAATTTGTTCCTACATAGTTACAAAATCCAATTGTTAACAATAGCTAGTATAGGGGTTGTGGAGATTATTAAGTTTTTGATTGAAATCATGAACCGATTGATGTTAGACCACCTTTGAACACCTGGAAGCACTGGAAGGTCGTTTCGTCCTACTGTGGGACTCCTCAGCAGTGCGCATCCACGATCCCGCTTGCAAGATTTAGACCAGGGGCCTTCGGTCTCGCGCGCGAACGCTTAACCTACTGAACCACTGAGCCTTCATCCAATGGTGATAGTGTCTAACATCAGCCGTGACCAGTGGAGCTAATCCATGTCGGGTAAAGACAGGTATCTACCTCAGTACAATGGAAGTTGGTCGCGCAATTTCCTGGATCGGTTAATGTTAGACACTATCACCATTAGATGAAGGCTCAGTGGTCCAGTAGGTTAAGTGTTCGCGCGCGAGGCCGAAGGCCCCTGGTTCAAATCTTGCAAGCGGGATCGTGGATACGCATTGCTGAGGAGTCCCACAATAGGACGAAACGACCGTCAAGTGTTAACAATAAACTGAATGGTCCGTTGTACTAGTGTTTTAGGTACACCAGGCATGAACTAATAACATTCATAAATTCTGAGTCTAGTAGCATCTAATGCTACACACCAACTCTCAAAATGCAAGCCTTATGTAACGTACATGGCTTTAAACAAAAAATATGATTGATAGCACTGACAAAATGTATCATTTTCTTATTATAATTTGTTAGTAATTATCTACGTACATCATGTGAAAAGCCAATAGAATTGCCAGAAAAATTTATCAAACGATTAGATCAAGAAAAAGATCGTCCAACATCAGCTACATTAAAAGGCCTCCGAGATCATCATTTAAACAATCTCTATTCCTTGTTTAATGAATTTTTAAATGTAAGTTAACTTTTTTTTTATTAAAACCACTTATTCATTTGTAAAGAATAAAACCTCACTCAAACTAAATGTCAGTATCTAGTTGATTTATTCTATTCCCATAGACACATAATCTAGTCCCGAGCGATGAAGCCTCTAATTACACTATGAATATATATATATATATATATATATATATATATATATACAACGCGTTATTTTATTTGTTTGAATCATCTTCAGTTGTTCATGTAACAACAAATAGAACTCAATCTCAAAGAGCTGCTTGGATTACACTTATTTACTACTAAAACAATATTAAGTAGCAATGACAGCTAAAAACCCGCTTTCTATTTATTTGTTCTGAAATTTATATTAGGTTATCAAAAAGGTACAGGTTTTTACAAACATTTGTATATGCAAGATACTCCAGATCCGTTAGCCAGACACTGTCAATAACAATGTACTGTAGCAGAAAATAAACTGGCCTCTACCTGAAGAGAAAATTGGGATAAGACGCTGGAATTAGATAGGACACATATTGTTGAAATAATGAAACTGCAGTACAAAGTAAGCCTAAACTTGAGATCCTATATGTAAAATGAAGAGGTAGACCAATGAACACATTGCACCGGGAATCGCAGACAGACGTCAAAAGAATGAATAGGATATGGAAACAACTAGAAAGGATGGCCCAGGTCAGAGTTGACGAGATATTTCTTGTCGGTGCTCTACGTTCCATGAGCAGTTACAGATGTAAGGTATTACCTCCTGATGACTAATCAATATAAACCTTTCTATCAAAATGAAGGTTAATTGCAGGGTGACATTTCTACCTTCAACCCAATACTTACTTTACCTACTTACGCCTGTTACTCCTCGTGGAGGAGCATAGGCCGCTCAACAGCATTCATCATCGAACTCTGTCCCAAGCAATCCTTTACAGCTCTTTCCAGTTGTTATTCATACTTTTCATATACTCTTTTATTTCCCGACGTAATGTGTTCTTTGGCCTTTCTCTTTTCCGCTTCCCTTCAGGACTCCAAGTTAGGGCTTGTCTTGTGATGCAGTTTGGTGATTTGCGTAATGTATGTCCTATCTATTTTCATCGTATTTTCCTAATTTTCTCTTTAGCTGGAAGCTTGTTTGTTCTCTCCCGCAGTAGGCTGTTACTGATGGTATCCAGTCAATAGATGTTGAGTACCTTGCATAGACAACTGTTTATAAATACTTGTACCTTTTTGATGATGTTTGTAGTAGTTCTCCAGTTTTCAACTCATTTTATTAACGATCTATCAAATTGAGTTTACACCAAGTGTTCTTTTTCTCTTCTAAATCTTTGAATTGTTTTTTTTCTTTAGGTAACAGCTAAAAAGCTTGGTTTATCAGTGTCTCAACTTTGCCAAATGCCTGAAATTGAATTAGCCCCATTAGTTGTAACTCCAAAAACACTTAGCCAGGCTTCAGAAACAAAACAGGTACTATTATTTCTTATTTATGAAATGTTTTCATAATATTTCTAATCAATGTTACCAAACTAAACGACTTGATTGTTGTGGTAGATCTTGAGACATTCTATTTTCTTTAACACTGTCATCTTCCTCAATTTCTTGTCCATTAATCATTCAGAACATTTTCAGCTAAAAATTCTTTGTCTATAGTCTGATTACAGAACTTTTTGATTCTATAAACATTTTCATGAACTGAATACGTACTGAATGATTTTTAGTAGTGTTATATCCCGATGAACTCCGCATGGAGTCCCTCCGGGGGCTACTATCGGTTCCAAGCCCGGATAAAGGAGGAGAGTTGGACATGGGGTTAGCGACCCAATCCCGTAGAAAACTAACTAGCTAAAAAAACGCTAACCAGAAAAAAATTATTCAACCTATATCCCGATGAGAATTATGAATGGTAACTGTTGAGATTCATTTATGGATCAATATGATACACATATTTTTATTGTATAATTGTTAAGTGGTTAAACTATGCATATTCATATTCCTCTTATTATAAGCTTTATATTGACCTATAGACTATTATTAGACGATTTACCGTTGTTGAGTTATGCCCAGTCTATTGATTACAGTCTCCCATAATCACAGCCATTTTTAGGTTAAATCTCGTAAAAATGTTATTTTTCTATTTTGTGGAGCGATGTGGTCTGTTTGGTTTGTATATAAACCCAGCATGTTTGAAATACATGATTTATATCTCGGAGGCTGAGATTGGTGTTCTGAACTTTAACAGGCATGGCTAGGAATGAAGAAGGACCTATGGAAACTATAGCCTTGCCGTACGCGTTTACGAGTCATTGGTTCGGTCGACAAATCACTATTCTCCAACCGTCGAAATTATTACGTTATATATTAATAGGGCTAATAGGCCATAAGTTATAACAAATAGAATTTGTAAAACTGAATATTTTCCCTCCCATTTGTGTACTTTATTATAGCCATTCTTAAGAGGTCACATTCATTCTTTAAAAAAAGTTTGATCTCCAGGGCTTTTGCAATAGAAGTGCAGTTATGTACTAAAATCAGAAGAACGAAAATGTAAACGTGCATTATATACAGAATAGTTCGGTATGAAATCACTAAAACTCGTAAAATTACTATGACATTATTAGTAGTATGAATAAATTCATCAGATCAGAAATATCTTATATACTTACTTATGCCTGTTACTCCCAATGGAGCATAGGCCACCGACAAGCATTCTCCAACCCACTCCGACCTGGGCCTTCCTTTCTAGTTCGATCCAATTGTTGCTCATTCTTCTGATGTCTGTCGCCATGTCTCAGCGTAATGTGTTCTTTCGTCTTCCTCTCCTCCTTTGGCCTTGAGGATTCCATGTGAGGGCTTGTATTATGACTCAGTTGGGTGTTTTCCTCAATGTGTGTCCTATCCACTTCCAGTGCTTCTTCCTGATTTCTTCCTCCACTGGAATCTGGTTTGTTCCCTCCCACAGTAGGTTGTTGTTGACAGTATCCGGTCAACGGATCCAAAGTATTTTGTATAGACAGCTGTTAATAAACACTCGCAAAATGTGAATCTCCCAAGTTCTAGAGTCATGAGGAAACACTGTTAACAACCCCCCTCCTCCGCCCAAAGCATAATATGACAAACGTTTAATGATTGACATTTCCCATTACTTTGACCGTTTATGTCAATTATAACAAGGTTTGTATAAATATCAAACTACACTAGATCATTGTTATACATTGACTACTTATATTTATTTATGATCTAATTCTATAAATTTAGAAATTTTCTATTAAAATGAGACCAATGTTAGAAGATAAAGAAGAATTATCAAAATTATTAAAACGTGCAGCTTTTCAACCGCCTGATTTTAAATTAATATTATTCTATCAGTATTTAGTTGATTATGGATTCAAAGAAAATTGTCCATTAATTGATCAAGATTTGATATTTCATATTGAAATTTTACGTTTTGAAGTAAGTTAGCTTCTATTAGTTGAATAAATCACCTTTGGATCGGTAATAATAACCATGGAAAACTCGGAAGCACTAAACGGTTGTTTCATCCTAGTATGGGACTCTTTAGCAGTGCGCATCCACGATCCCGCGCCACGAGGTTCGAACCCACGACCTATCATTCTCGCGCGTGAACGCTTAACCTCTAGACCACTGAGCCGGCCGGCATCCAACACTATTAATGTCAAACCTCAACCAGTCAACGTAATTGCACCACCGTCCACGATTGTCATCAGTGAGTTACTATCTCACAACAGACCAGGTTGAACTCCACTGGTCACGGCTTCTCACTAGAACTCCAGGAAATAACTCTTGAAGACAGTCACTAGTGCTTCCAGGTTTTCCATGGGAGTCTAGCTTCAACTGACTCATGAATTCAATTATTAAGCTATTATTATTATTATTACTATTATTATCATTATTATTATTATTATTACTTGAAGCAGTTAGTCCCTTTGATAAATTTTGATGGTGTAATAAGAAGACGAAGATTGATTATCAGAACTATGTGATATATTAGCCTAATACATTTCGAACAGTCTGTTACATAAAAATAAAAGGTCAATTAGACTAGAAACGAAGGGTAAAAGGAGACAAAGATAATAAAGAAAGTATTATGAAAACAGTCTTGAACCTGATCATACTGGATAATGAGTTAATATTAGCAGGGTACGTTTAAGGTGAGAACAAACTGTTTTTGTATACATGAAAGGGGGTTTGAATTTCGGTATGGCTAAGGCTTCAATAAACCTTAGTATACGCCCCTTTACACCTTTGTGCAATATCAAAAGTTAAGATCAATCATATGGCCTGTTTCAATTGAGGATGATGGATGTTTATCCTCTACTCTTATTAGATCATTTAATTTTATTTGTTTATGCAACCATTTAGGTACATGTTCACACACCCTAATTTTGAGATCACGATTACTCCTCCCTATGTATGTATGAGTGATCAGATTGTTCAAAATGTATTGCGTTAATAGATCCATATAGTTCTGATAATCTTCGTCTTCTTATTACATGATCGAAATTTATTATCATGAGATAGTGGAGATTTTTAGTTCAGGTGGATGATTTGGATGGAATTTTGTTTGGTCGTGAAACTTTCACAAAAATTGAAAGATCGTTTAAGTAATCATTAAGAACTCGACAATGAATATTGTACGAAGTATGTTAAACACCTGAACTTTATGTTTTATTCTATACTGTTTATAGTACCAGAAAAAGATTTTAATCCCTCACATAAGAAGTAAGAGGACAATTCACCTTCAACATATGTTTTTTTATAGTAAAATATTCTAACTAGAGCAAAACAGTTGTTAAGTTCCCTACTTGATTAACGCAGAATATAGTCTATGACTATGACACTCGGATGTTGGAACTTCACCGTCGCAAATCAGAAGGCAGACGAAAAGCTGGAGAAGTGTTTATTTGGTAAGAATCGAAATGTACAGAAAGTCACAGGTATTTAAAGATATTACCATTTATTAAATCAACATTATAATTCGTCCAATCCGTAAGGAGACATATTATGCTACTGTCCAATAGTAGCATGCCACGTTGGTATTCTAGAAAGCTCCATCATGTTCTAATTGGATGGAAACTTTTCGGCTTCATTAGCGCATCTGGAGGCTCTGTTGTAGTTCTCGGAAGCCGACTCAACACTTAACATTTAAACGCCTAACTACAATGTGAATCTTATTTAATTTATTTCAGGTAAAATTGTTTCATAAAAGATATACTAAGAACCTCCGTACAAAAAGACAATCAGCACTCAACCTAAGAAAGTCACATTCAATGAAAATTAAGTTGTTTCATTCCCTTATCTTATAATAGGAAAGTTTGTTCAGTTAAAGATTACTGGTATTTTCGTCATGTTACATTCATCTAAATGCACTAAACTAGTTTATCGTTAGCGTAATTCGATACATGAAAGAGCCTATTACTTAGGCTAAAATCTTTTTTATTAGATGATACAAAGACTAAGAGTGAAACCTCATCGGTTGTTCTGTGACCTTTATTTTAATGATTAATTAACCATTTATCATTTGGTAAGTTATACTATCTTGACTGAATTGGCATTCACTCAGTTGCTCTCTGTTGAAATGAAAGCTGGAGACAGGTTCAGTCAGTGACATGTGAATTTGGCCAGAGATTCATATTTTTTTTACTAAATCTACATATTCAAATATATATTTAGCACTGCGGTTCACTAAGTTTCGATGTAACAGTCCCAATGATTTAACCAGCCACTTTACTGTTGAGTGGTACTATTAGTTTAGCATATTCAGAATTGGGCACAATGGAGTTCCTTGTTCGTGAACTTTGGGTAAGCCATGAAGTCGTCTCCTAAATTCTGTAAAAGAAAGTTCCCAAAAACTTCGTGCATTTGTCGAAAAGATTAGGCAGAGGGCTCAAGTTTAAACGTTATTAACTACTATTGAAATGTGATATTTTTTAATCATTAAATATAACTTCGTCGAGTTCGATCTTTATATGTAACTGTCGAGCATTTTGATTATGGAGGTCCCTTTTGATGATCCTGGCCTATCGATTATCTTGATGATAACTTACAGAGTTGATATCAGGTGCATTATTGTAGTACACAAAATACTGGAATGATGTTTACAGGGATGAAAACAATTACTACCCAGCAATGAACTGGTGTATGACATTTCAATCTTCGGTGAGACTATAATTTATGGACGACCTTTGAACGAATCTTAAGTGGCCTTGAGAAATATTAGCCAATCAGAAAGCAGTTAGTATAGAGTAAAAATATATTGCACAAAATCAAAGAATTAAAGTGGATACATTTCTTTTACATGGTTGAAAAACTTGTCAAGGTTTGGAATAGGTTCAGAGATTCTAAAGTCGTAATACATACGGCAGAGGAAATCATCCATATTGGCTCCATAATAGTCGGCCCCTGGAGTCATAATAAGGTCGTGAAAATTCTTACAGTCCCGAACACATCGCTTCAATATTGGGTCCACAAAATGCAGCTTGTGGACAACGACATGATGCACATAGCAAAGTCTATGTAGGCATCTGTACGCCCTCCAATCAACCGTATATATTGTGGTGCCCGTGTGCATCCAGTGTTACTAGTGCTCTCAATATCCAGTTCTCAACAATCGCATCGTTTACCTTAGTCTCAATCTGGATTGAGCAAAAAAATCCTATTCTAGCAGACTACTTCTTCCAACACATATTACGTCGAAAGACAACATCATCATGATAGTCTGTACAAGGTCCACAAGTCATTTGATTACCACAATCACAAATAAAGGGACTCTTTAGTAGTCCCATTCGTTGTAGCCGCTCAATTATCACGTTTTCTCTAAAAAAAATCCTCTGTAAACCGATCGTACATGAGCATGAGGTACTAAAATTTTGCGCTGTGACCCTAAAATCCCTCAAACGCTTCTGATTGGCTCGTCCCATAAATTATAGTCTCACCTCTTAAAGTTAAGAATTTAATTTCAAAGGGAAATGGGGCGTATTACTACTGGCAATTCATGGTTAACATCTTATTTCGAATAATTTTCCAAAATGATATTAGTCAATAAGATCTATTCTCCCAATGAAATAGTTTGTATGTTTTCTCCTTATATGTACACATGTGTAAGACTACTTAATGACAGTTTTTATGTATATCTTAATTTCATTATAGGAACTTCATCGTGGTCATGTTGAACATAGTTTAATAAGGAAAAAGGTTTTATGTATTTTGCAAACATTTTTAGAATCTGTTTTTCCACCACAAATTCAAGTAAGTCAATTAATTATAAGTGTATGATAAAATGAAGTACTTTTCTTTTGCAAAAGCTCTTGTTAACTTTAAATCACTATGATGAAATGATATACCAACCTAAATTGACGTACACATATGCCTGACTATATTGTGATGGAGAACGGAAAGAAGCACCTTAGATACCATTACTGTTCTACATCACAATATAGTGTTTAGATTGGAAAAGGGTAAGAAATATGTTTGATGCACTTTTCTGGACTATACTTTTGCTTTTGATTCTATCCCAAGACAACTTTTACTTAATAAGTTAATTAGCGTCAACACTGACAGCTGGATAACCAAGTGACTATTTTCCTACCTCTCTGGAAAAGAACAGTACACTATGTTTAGAGGTAAGTGTTCAACGTCTCTACTGTCTCATGAAGATGTGCCACAAGGAGCTGTTCTTTCCCCTCTTCATTTCTCCTTTTTTCTACATGATCTGCCAGCTTCCACAGAAAACATTTTTGTGAAATATGAGGACGATTTCACTGTATGTATGCCGATTTCTACCTCTCTACATCTCATAAAAATGAATGGGTTTTTGTCTCGTATTGATTGTTTGTCTGTTGGTAATGATCTCATACTTAATCCGTCTAAATGTCAAGTTGTTAACTTTAGCCTAGGATATGAACACCACCTAGACACCATGTTGCGATCCCATAATGCTTGTACGATTGAAGATTTTTTTGATAAACGCAGTGTCGAAGGTCAATTATCTTAGTGTTACCCTTTCCTCTGAACTCTCTTGGTCTTCTCATGTTTTACTGTTATCCATCTGACTCATTAAATAAAGAGGCTACATACTTCTGGGATTACTCGACATTTACTTTTACAATTTGTCAATTCTTGCATATTACCTATCATTCTTTACTGTTCTGCATTATTCTTTCCCCGACTTTTGAGAAAAGACTTTGCTGCATTGTGGAGAGTGCTGAAGGCAGTTAGCAGAGTGTGTGATTAATCTTTCGAGGTCATTATTAATATGGTTGTGAATAGACATCTAAAGTCTTGTAAACTGATGGCAGATGCTACCTTATCAGATACTAACCATCCTCTTCATTCATATCTTTCTTCTTGTATGTCTTCTGGCAGAACGAGATGTCAATACATTAAAATCCATACACTCAAGCAAGGGTATAAAAGCTCTACTATAGCTTATCTAGCAAATATACTCTGTGATGAACAGGTCGTTAAAGTTGACCTAATCAACAACCTGTATTCTTAAGCATGTCTCTAATTTGAAAAGTTGTACAGATTCAGATCTTTTTTCACCCTTTCCTTCTTTCAATTTGCAAAAGAAATTTGTTGAAATACCTCGTGCTGAGAATTCCATATTGTACCGAAATATAATATTGAATGAAGCCATTAGTAATAATAATAATAATAACTGTCTACTGCCAATTCATACCAGAAGATACTGTTGAATGCTGTCGAGAGGGAGTCTAATTGATCATAAAAATCAACCCAGTACTTTCTCATGAGAAAACCAATACTCCACTGTATTTCTGTCTACTAATCGCTTTAAAAGTTTCATCTATAACTACTGACTTATCAGAGTGAATGATGTATTTACCTTTAACCAAATTAAACTTTAAAATATTTAATTACACAACTCCTTGGTATACATCCAAGAACATTCTCCTAGAAATGTCCCTCTGTTTTATCGATATTTTTAATGGTGTAGATTGATACAGGTGAGGGGTCAAAATGTAACTAGAAGTAATTAATGTAGAATTATGGTCTACTTTGTTATTATTACTGCTCTAATAATTGACTTAATCCTAAAATTGTAGATTTGTCATGATGTAACCGCCTAATCTATAAGATCTTACGTGAAAGTCACATCATTGTCTACCCTAACTCATCGTATTGTAACAATCATCAATGTATGATGAAGAACACATTCAGGCTGGAGATAGAACAATATATTTAATATGGATAAAATTATTCTACATAACTATGACCACGCCTGCAAGGCCGAGCCATGCCATCCGATGAATTCAATTTCGAATGAATGTTACCGTGTTCGCCATTATTGACCTTCTCTTAGTGTTGCATGTTGAAAGTCTATTTTCCCAGTTATCTCATGTTCAGCTTTGAGGATTTTGGTTAGGATCCAATGCCACTACATTAACAACTACCTTTCATATTGGGTAAACTTCCTAAATACTAATAGTAAAAATAATAATGTATTCATTCCCGTTTTACTTTATGATATGCCGTTTCATTTTCAGATTGGCCTACCAAATGAAGTTATTAATCGATTAGTTGGGAGAATACATCGTCAAACTGATCATAAAGGTCCTATAAGTTTAAACTTATTTGACGAAGCAGTTAGGTTAACTTTCAATGAAATTTTACCATTTTGGGCTGGATTCAAAAGAAATATTTTATGTAAATCAGGCAGCACACAATCACGAATCCAGTCAACAATGAAATCGGATTATCAGCAAATACATGGAACACCTTGGTTGTCTAGTCCATTGAGTAAATGTTGTTGTTTTTTTTAAGCGATTTGTATACTATAGTTTGGGAGGAGTTATATTATAGAGATGAACGTAAGGGAATGTCGAAGTAGTTTGGGGAAATTTTGCCCTGCCCTTCTCTCTGGTTTTCCAGACCAATTCTTCTGGATAATAATCTGTCATTCATTTCCTGTAATTGGTGGTGTAGCGCTAGAACCGCCTAAAATACAAAATAGATTCTTACTACTTCTTGAAATTACTTGTGTTTTTAGAGTCAAAAATAATTGTCCAATAATACACGCTGTCTAGATTGCTTCAACGATTAGAAAAGTGGCTTTCAGTTGAACTTCGAGCACTTGAACAGATCACTAAATCCTTCGAATTCCTTAAATCCAGATGTTCATAGCCGCTGTTTAGAAATGATGACCATCTTTGTTAGCATTACAAAAAATGTGTGCTGTTGATTTTACCTGATGTAGAATGTTAACTGCAAAAAGATCCTGCAAACTCTAGAGTTCTTAAATATTCTGTGTAAATGGTAGATCCTTTAATCATGCCCTTGAATACTCAAATATGCTAAAACATAATGATTCATTGATAACAGACATGTTGAATAGTGCTTATTTTAGTTTATACATCCAATAATTGGTTCAAAAACCTTCTACAGTCATATTTTCAAGAGAAAAGGGCATTAAGCAAGAAATATAGCTCTATTCGTGTTAGTGAGATCGATTTAGTTATTTTGAAGGTGAATAATCAAAGTTAGCAACAATATAAGGTATTCTCAACAAACAGAAAACATATTTTTATTCCTGAGGCATAGATCAAATCGACAAATTCAAATATGGATAATCAAAGAACGGTAAACTTATATGATGCCAGCCGGAAAATAATGTACAGGAAAAAAAATTAATACAGACAAATAAAAACTGTACAAATAAAGTGGAACATTGACAAAACTAAAACGACTAGTGAAATAAATATATAAATAAGATCCACTGTAATTAACATTGGACATAGCACATAAAATGGAATCATTGAGAATAACGACTGTACATTCAAAACTAAACAAAGAGATATTGTCAGTTGGAGGATTCAATTTCAATACATATACAAATGGAAGGACTTTCACATACCTTTCGTGCCTGTAGGTAACCTTCGTGCTATTGATAGAAGAAACCAGACAAGTAGTGAATACGTCTTCATTTAGATCTTCGTGCAGTCACAGTCGAGCGTGAGATTATTTATTTAGACAAACAAAGCCTCTCAATATTCAGTATAAGATAATAGGAAATATAACGCCTATACAAAATAAGGAAGTGAATGAATACTTGAACTATATTGTTTTGACATTATGCTTAGTTATTTGAGGTGAACTCTTAACCAACCAACCTAATTTGTTACATTAGCTTCCCCCTAGAATCGACTTCCGTAGGAACGTCGATTCGACTAACCTATCTATCAAAAACACAGTTTTGTTTTCTCTCAGCCCAGGGGAAAATTATCAACTCGCTCACTGTTTGACTTTCAATCAATGACGACTAACTCCGTCAGCAATCAACGATAGTCCATGGGTGTCTCTTCATTTGCTAGCTTGTCATCTTATTTTATTTAGATAAAACAGCTGCCCTTTATCTTTTGTCTGAAATCAGCAGCTAATGAAAACAGCCTACTAGCGTAATAGACATTTATCTCTAAAACTAACCAGATAAATTTCAACTTGTACTTCTGCTTGTTTTATGTACATTTCACAAATTAACTTGTAGGTTTATGTACTAACGTGTTAAACTAGTTTTTTTTCATTTTTTTCAGCTTACAAGTATCACGAGGTATTAGAAAACCGTTTAAAAGCACATCAAGATTGGAAGTTACCGTCAACAGAAATACAACTTCCCAATATGCCACATGATAAGGAGGCAAATTCCTTCACTTATTCAATACGAAAAGGTGTAGATTGGCAAAATGTTGGACATTGATTACCCAATATATCCCATTGTTTTACTTGAGCCATGGTAGCAAATTAGATTACCAGAATTACGTTTAAAATCCTTTCATATAACTGACATTTTTTATAGACAAAGTTGTATTACAGTTAATTAAAATAAAGAGACGATTCGGCTAAGAAAATTTCCTTTTCGATGAAATCATTTACTTAAGCTGCACATTCGTATTTACAGATGTATAGTAACATCCACTTGTAAAAATATGCTGTCTCAGTATATCGATAACTATTGTTATCCAATGTATTAGAGACCTTTATGACTAAAGGCAACTTAAAGCTGCATAAAATTTCTGAGTTCAAGATCCACGCGAACGATATGAAGAATAAGTGTGAACCACTTCTCCTGCTTCCTTATCAAAACCATGTAGAAGGATTGGACTGGAAATACTAACGTATTAAAAGTGGGAGTAGCACTGTAGTGAACAGACTACGGGTAGGGACAATCGAATGCATTTAATACAAGATTGCAGAGCATCTCAATAAAATCTGAGAACCATATATCAAATCGTTAATTTGCAAAATGTCCACCAATTGTTTTAAAATGCCTTAGACTTCATTGTCCTTGCATTTTCATACAACTTGCATTCTATTTCCGCTCTTGCTTTCTTGATCTTCCCCCATCTTCTGCTGCCAGGCATTACATTCCTGACTCGCGTCATACACTACTTATATCAATATAAGTAGCACGCACCACAGCACTACCTCATCATCATACTCCTGGGTATTACCTTACACTGTTGAATTTTGTCGAGAATTAGTTGCACTAATTTCGGCTAATTCCCAAACATATTGATCGGAGTTAGTTTACTGTGGCAAACACTCACCCAATATTCATTTTAACAACTCCACCTGGAGCACTTCTTGTGTTACTGCTGTTCCTAATGCTGGATGAAGGAAGAAAGTTGGATGCACGGTTACCAACCACATATCGTGAAAAACAACCTTACGAAAAAACCTTAACCAGAATAAATAATTTAAACCATTTAAACTCTGTCCTGGGAGTTGAAATACCTTCATTCATAAGAATTATGACACCTCATAGTGAAAGCTGAGATCCTTCGGGTGTCACGTGATCAACGCCCTTTCTAACAATTAATATAGGTACATGGAATGTCCGGAAAATACGGTAGACCTATGAAACCAACCAAATAGCTGCGGAAGAAGAAACTACGATGGAGGATCGTTGAAAAGCGATGAAAGAAGCATTAACTTCAACGTATCAAGACGTTCTGGGCCACAACAGACATCATCACAAGGAATGGATTTCTATCGGAACCCTAGACAAGATTCATAAAAGGAAGAAAAAGACAGTAATTAACAACAGCCGAACAAGACCAAAGAAAATCAAGGCACAAACTACATACACAGACGTAAACAAACAAGTGAAGAAGAGTATTAGAGCCGACAGGCAGAAATACACGGAATACCAAGCAACAATAGTGGAAAAATCTGCAACAGAAGTAAATATCAAACAACTATATGACACGACCAAGAAACTGGTGGGGAAATATAGTAAACCAGAGAGACCAGTCAACGACAAAGATGGCAAGCCAATCACTGAGATTCAAGAACAGAGAAACAAATGGGTAGCACATATTGAGTAACTCTTGAATGGACCAGCTCCACTGAATCCACCGGACATCAAAGCAGCACCTACAGACCTTCCTATAGACGTCAAGAGGAAATCAGGATGATCATCAGACAAATGAAGTGTGGAAAAGCAGCAGAACCTGGCAATATACCAGCCGGAGCACTGAAGTTAGACATAAAGGTAACTGTAAACATGCTTCATACTCTATTCAGGATGATTTAGTAGGAGACTTCGAGAAAGCATTTCACAATGGGGATAGGAAAGTATTATGGGACCTTCTTTGACATTATGGAGTACCTAAGATTATCAACATCAACCAAAACTCATACGACAGACTACAGTGAAAAGTGGTTCATGGAGGACAGCTGACAGATTCATTTCAAGTAAGGACCGGGGTCAGAAAAAGCTGTCTACTCTCCTCCTTTCTTTTTCTTTCGGTGGTTGAAGGGATTATGAAGACTTTGACCTCAGACGGGAAGTACGGAATACAATGAACAGCTTGAATCCAACTAGACGATTTGGACTTCAAAGATGATTTAACCCTTCTATCCTATACTCACGAACAAATGTAGCTCAAGACAGCGAGTGCAGCATTCCTACAGTTGAAGAACATATCAAAGTAAAACTCTCTGATATGAACATGATGATAGTTCCGTTGTACAGAGCTGAAACTTGAAGAACTACCACAACCAACATCAAAACAGTACAAGTATTCATAAACAATTTTTCACACAAGATACTATCCATCGGCCGTATATCATCAACAACAACCTATTGTGGGAGGAAACAATAAATTGTACTATTCGATCATCGTCACCTATCATAACAGAAAGCTATCTTCAAGCGTATGCTGCTTCAGATTTGGTTTCACCGATTTGCATATTTTCTACTGTCGTTTCCAATAGTCTCTGGCCAGTCGTACAACAACATGCTGGATTCTGGGGTTTTTTAAGTCGTGTAGAAGTAAAGCGTAATTCTGACCCTTCCGGTCGTCTTATCGTTTGTAAATGACCCTCACTCTCTCGAATAAAAAGATCATTATATGGTCGACAACAATATGATTCTTTTCGTCTAACTGACAAAGGCAATCTTACAACTGAAGCTTTCAAGCGTTTGTATCGAACCGATCTGAATTGTTTTACTGAATATGATTCAATAACACTAAACGATAACATCCAATCATCTGATCATATGGTTAATTTCAACTTATCATCTTTCTCACCACCAGTGTATTTTAAAACATCAGACAAGTATAATGATGAATCAGTTGGATGACCTTCCTGAAACGCTTATACGGGGTATAGATTTTTAGTACTTGATCTTTTTATAAAATTAACAAAACTAGATATTCCCTCGGTCTTAGATATTTTGACACCCGATACAAATTCTTAAAATATTTTTTCTGACAATTTAATGATAACAAATTGAAGGGTATTTTTATAGTTTTGCATCTACTCCATTACTCTCTAGTTCTCCTAGTGTTAATTCATATCATCATTTTCTCACGATGTGATATATATATATATATATATATATATATATATATATCACAATTAGTGTTTTGTACAAATGATTCGTTTTTTGGCAATTGTTGATCCGCAATTATGGTTACGAAAATCATCAGATACTTTCAAAGCAAAGAAGGAATGTCATCCAGTCCAACATACCCACGAACGAACCAGTGGGGAAGATAATGATTAGTTTTTGGTAGGCTGACATAGATCGTAGAGAGGTGTTCAAGAAGGGTTTCTGACATCCTAGTAGATACTTGAAATCCATAACACCAGGTATGAAGATATTATAGGGAGACATGAACTGGTAGAAAGGAATGATTTCGATAAGAGATTTGTATATCCATGTGTTCTCAACAAAATGGTTATCGGTAGCATCATATTCCATCAAAAACGCATAAATAAAGTTATATTAATATTATTACTATTATTATTCACAGACATTTTATGGTACATAAGTGTTGTGAAGAAACCATTTCGGGATTCTTCAAAAATGCAATAATACACAAGTTTCAATGATGTTAGCATTATATTTGCTATACTTGAAAAAGTGAATAATAGTAATAGAATAATAATAATAAATCAGGTTCTGTGTAATTGAAAAGAATATTGAGTTGAGTTGAAAGAAGGAAGTGGAGAAAATAAGGGTATAGAAATAAAAGAGACGTGAAATACGCGGATAGTATTGTAGCGTGGCATAGAGTCGCGGTTGACTAGGATCACCACTACAGGAAGACTGCGTGCCAGTTAACCGATAAGATCCTCCGTAGGCCAAATATCAGAAGGTAGTTGATGGCTGTAGTCGAGATGTATTTGCTGGCGATCTCGTGGTATCAAAAGAATACCGAGATCGTGCCAGGTTACAAGAGCGGCTACTGAGCGTAACCGAATTCGTGCAAGGTCACAATCAAAAAAAGGAAGAATGTCTTTAGTACAGATAAACAAGCAAGTATAGTAAAACAATCACTGGTACAATTGGTTATAATAATAATTGTTTCCACTAAAACAAATGGTGTTCACTTCATAAAAGTAGGTCACTACAGTTTGATAAGAATGTTTATCATCACAGAGAAAGAATAAACGACTATGTATTTATCGCCAAATTAGTAACAAAAATGAAATAGAAAATAATTGTGAAACTTATTAATGTAGTAGGATATGAAGCTAGAATAAATGTTTGTGTAGTCATAGTTTGGAGTGATGTTATGAAATTCCCAATTAAGTGAAAAGGATAACCAAATATCAATATGTATGAGTCATATATGCATAGTGAAGATAAAATGAGTCTGAGAAGTTCATTTGAACGTAACACAAGTTATTGTCTTAATTACAAGCATCGTAATCTTAAGAATAATATTTATTAAGAAGTAAAAAAGAGGGATAAAAGTAATGAACACAGTGAAAGAGTTAAACCATGATAATAATAATTGTTCAATGAATATCAAACTCTAAAGAAAAACAAGCGCCAACAGACTAGAAACAAGGATAACTCATCAACATATCATGGAGAAAAGATCACAGCTAGCGTGAGAACAACAGAGCCCACAAACTAATAACGCTAACAGAAAAGTTTTTCAACCGAACGTTGTTAACCTAAATGAAAGATTCAGTAGATACACAACTTCCACATCAACAGATTGGATTCCGCAAGAACAGATTGTGCACCGACTAAATTACAACATTCCTATAAGATCCATTTTCAATGTTTCGTGTGTGAAAATCCCTCCATGTATACACTTGCAGTTTGTTCCTATTGATTCTTTTAGTTATACATTGTTAGCCATTTTTATTCCATTTGAGTTGTTAATATTTGTATTTTATTATAGTTGTTATTTTTCTTACGCCTTCACTGAGTTTCCGTGTTTCTTCCTGAACTACGTTTATGTTGTTCTACTTGATACTTAGTCTTGGCGGCAGTCATATTGGTTTGTTCCTCCTTTTGATTGCGTTGCTTGTATTGACTGGAGTTGTACATTTTTGATTATGAATTGAGGCACTCTTCCAGAATTGGAAACA